AAGACGGCTAGCTGCACACAACGCTGTAAACACTATCACACATATACATTGTTAACAGTTAGGTACTAAAACTCCAGACACTGCTAACGAATCGACTGTAATAGTTCGCAGACCAGAGATTCGCACCCGCAGAACTTCGACGGTCTTGGAAGCTATAGCTCAAAAGCGCCAGCTTTTGATTATCTTTGTGACCAGCCTTTGTTTCATCAGCAGCAGCAGGAATGGCTGGATTGCTGCAATCCATAACCTCGGTGGGTGTGCTCCGAGCGCAAGCTTAAGGGCCTGTGAAGCCGAGGGCTTGGGATGCCGCTACCGCTGCTTGAATGGCTCTGCCATGCCAGCGGCCGAACCTCGGGCGGTTGCTTCCATGCCAGATCTGCTGCTATGAGCGCATCCAGCGTCATAACTCTTCCGTTGCGGCTGAAGAAGTCAAACCTCGGAAGCAGCCCCGAGACGTCAGCCGCACGTCCCTATAGCAGCCTAGGCCCGCTCTTTTCCTTTTCTGCTACATCTTATAGAATGCTCAATCTTTCTGGTTCATGCTCCGTTCCTGAGACTTTTAACCCGTTCACCCTTTTTAATCAAGTTCCTCGCTGTCACGCGCAGGGCGGACTGGTGCGCTACGGTCACCAGGAGCGGCTGACCGCGGAGGGCACGCTGCGGACCGCCAAGATGTACGAGGAGGCGGAGGACTTTTCGAGGAGGATGTCGGAGTTTGAGCGCGGCCTTCAAACCTTTCAGCACGCCACAACAGGTGAGAAGCTGCGCGCGCCAAGGACTCTTTGCGTACAAAGCCTGGTTCTTCCTTTTGACTGTCAATTTTGGCTTCCCATTAGCTAACGAAACCTATTGTTAGTCCATTCTTATCTCTGTTCATGAAAATATATGAACAGAGCCCTCTTCTGCCTCCTCCCGTCCCGCCCCACAGACTTCCTGGACAGTCTGCTGCCCATGATGTCCGCCCCGCTGCCGCGCGTGTGGGACCAGCTGCCGGACGGGGGACTAGCGGAGCCGCTGCGAGCCAGACGTGAGCAGCCGCCGCGGGACTCCAAGGGCGCGTGTGTGTGTGGGGGGGGGTTCCGTTCATCAACACGCTCCACCGCCACCACACCCCGCCCCGCCACCTTCCTTCCCCCCTTCCCTGCCGCCCCACCTCCTTCCTCTCCCTTCCCTTCCCGCCCCCCGCCCCGCCCCCCCCCCCAGTCTCCCACGACTACCCCTCCGAGCTGCTGGGTGCTGACGTGGACATCAACGGCCTGCGCGCCACCATGCTGGAGCTGGAGCGGCGGCTGGTGAATGGCATTAGCCGCCCGCTCAGCCAGTGGCGGGAGGCGCTGGACACCGCCAAGCACAGGCTGCCGGAGGTGGGGAAGGGGGGGGAGAGGGGAGCATGGGTGGGGTTGGGGGGAGGGGTAAAGTGGAATCAAGCAACTGACCGTGTGATACGGCGTCACCATGGTTGGGTCCATGACCCCCCCCCCACCCTGTCCTCCCCAGGTTGAGCGGCTGCGTCGCGAGCTGCTTCGCGAGCAGGGCGGGCTGGACCGCACGGTAGACAAGGCGGAGCGACGGCACCGGCGGGACGTGGGGCTGGACGAGCCCAGCGGGGTCAGCGGACTGCTGTACAGGTGGGGAGGGAGGAGGGGGGGAGGGGGGTTCTGCGAGCCACATGCGGCGTGTGAGAGAGAGGAAGGGCGATGGACTTGGCTTGCATCACACGCCCTCCCTGTTCCCCTACTCCCCTGCTCCTGTGCTCTCTGCCCTATTCCCCATGCATGCATGCATGAGCACCTCCTTCCCCCCCTTGCCCCTTGTCTCCCCTCCCCCCCCTTGTCCCCCTCAGGTGCACCCACCCGCGCACCGCCAGTCCCCCCCGCGGCCCCCACCGCGGCACTGGCGGACAGGTGGCGGCGGCGGACGCGGCGGCGGCGGAGGGCGAGATGCAGGGCGGCGCCGCCGCCGCCTCCACCGCTGCTGCTGCCGGCGGCGGCGGCAACGGCGCCACGGGGGGTGTGGGTGCGGGTGCGGTTCGTCCCTTCCGTGAGGAGTTCAGGATGGAGGAGCGCAACATGAAGACGGTGTACCGCGCCCGCCGCAGGGAGGGTGAGGGGGGAGGGGTGGGGGGTCAGGTGGGGTGTTGACTACCCTACGTGGGCTAAAGGGGGAGAGCTGACGGGGTGGGTGGGGGGAGGAGGAGTTCGTACGTGTTGTGCCCATGATGCTTGGTAGGCCTCATTTATTCATTCATCCTTCTTCCGCACTGGCCTCACCTCCCGCTGCCGGCCCCCCCTCGTTCCCCCGGCCCCCTGCATGCACAGCCTCCCCCGCCCTCCTCAAAACCCACCCCCGCCCTCCTCCCTTCCCCCCTCCCCGCCCCCCGCAGCGGTGCTCAAGTCGTTCACCGAGCAGGAGGGGCTGCTGAACGAGCAGCTGAGCGGGCTGTGCCGGGACGCCTCCTGGCTCAAGTCCTACATGGTGGCGGCGCTGGTGGCCAGCAAGGAGGGGCTGCAGGTGGGGTCGAGACCATGCCAGTGTGACGTTACCATAGGAAACAACTACATGTTGGCAACGTGGAGAGGGGATGGTGGAAGGGGAGGCGGACGGGTGAGCTGGTGGAGCTTCCGCTGCTGCAAGCTGTGCTGCTGCATTCCAGGGCAGGATGTTTGGCGTGTGGCCTGATTGTTAGCAGGGGTGAAGTGACAGCTCAGCACAACGACAGCTTCCAGACCCGACCCACCTCCCCACGTTGGGTATTTCTCCAACCCCTCTCTAACCCCCCTCTCTCGCCCGCCTGCTGCCCCCGCCCGCCCGCTCCCCCCGCTCCCCCCGCTCCCCCCGCCCCCCCCCTGCAGTCCGCCACCCACTACCTGGGGTCCACCAAGCAGCCGGTGCCGGGTCACGCCGAGGAGGTGGCGGGGCGGGTGCGGGGGAGTGTGGCGGACAACCATGCGCTCATACGGGCGGTGCCCAAGGTGGGGGTAAAGAGGAAACAACTAACTGACTGAGGGATAAGGCGTCGGGTGGGGGGAGGGAGGGAGGTGGGGAGGGAGAGGGAGCAGGACGTGTACGGTGGGCTTGTCTTTGACCTGTCCGTTTGACTTACAGCCGCCTCAACGCCGCCCTATTCAAACCCCCCCCCCATATCCCGCCTCCACCTCCACCTCCACCCCACGCCTCCACCTCCCTCCCGCCCCCCCCTCAGTTCCTGCTGGACCGCACCAGCCGCATGCAGGCCCTGGAGCGCATGCGGGGCCGCATGGGCCGCGAGGGGCTGCACGCGCACCGCGGCATCGCATCGCCCATGGAGCTGCACGCGCGCGGCGACATGAGCGCCGGTGAGTACGTGCAGCCGGTGCGGCGGGGCGCGGCGGACCGGCCGCTGGGGGGCGGCACGGAGGCTGGTGGAGAGGGTATGATGGGGCTGCCGTACGGCGGTGGGGGTGGGGGTGGGGGTGTGGCGTCGGCGCTGGCGCCGGCAGGTGTGGGTGAGGCGGCGGCGGGAGGAGGAGGAGGAGAGGTTGAGGGTGAGGGGGGTGCTGCTGGGGGGGTGCCGTCGCGGAAGTTGGCGGTGGTGGGGGATACGGTGCTGCCGGTGCCGAGTGGGACGCATGCGGGGCTGTAGGGCAGAGGGGGGGTGCGGTGGGGAGGAGGAGAGGAGAAGGAGGAGGAGGAGGATCAGGAATGAGGTGCAGGAGAAAGGCGGCGTGAGGAATGGGGATGCGGAATGGAGGAGACAGGGATGGGATTGGAAAGTGAGGGGCGGGAGCACTTTTGCTATCGGGCGGGTTGAGTAAGCGGGTCTCCTCCCGAGGTTTTGGGGTTGCTAGGGATGCATGGCTAACAGTTGCCGCCGTGTCGTACTGGAGGCCGGACCTGCGTTAAGCAGGACGGCGTTGGCGATGTGAGAGGAGGAGGAGGGGTGGTTGTTGTTGCTGAACGTACTGTGGCAATCAAGGGTCGCTCAAGGGATGACGTGTACTTTTAACCTATGCTTTCGGCAACCGTAAATGTTTTTGGGTTTGGAGGTGTTCTGATGAGCCAAGGTAGAGGAACAGTCGGGGTGGATGCGTTACGGCTTCACAAGCCTTTGCGTGGATGCGAAAGCGTATCCGTCAGTCCCGTTTGTTTGTGGACCAAATCTGTAATTGAAGGAGAGCCCTTAGGCGTGTTTTGCATTGCTGGGCATGTTTCGCCTCGCGTGTACTCGCCGTACCGATGGCACCAAGCGTGGCCTTTGCTTTCTTCTTACCTGCGGGCGAGCGGGCGCTGCGGCCTGGGGATCCCCGTTGGTGTTGTTGTTTGCTTACAGTTGCTTGTCAGTTGTTGTCAAATGAGTCCAGGTAAAGCTGGGCGCCTGTTTCCTTTTCGAGGTGTTTTTGGCTTCATACCGTTCCTTGAGGGATATATTGGCGCTACTATGTTTGTTGTTGGTAACGCGGTTGCTAGCGGCCTAGCGCATACTGCGTTACGTTGCCTGCAAAGCCTTGGTGGCTTCGAGGCGGTGTGTTGCTGTCCCGTGGGACAATTCCGATTGTGCGAGGCAGGAAGGCTTATAATTGGAAAACACGTCCGCTTTGAAGAGCGCTTCTGGCGTCCACTGTAGCGTATGCAAGAGATTTTGGGTGTGTATGAAACGCCAGATGGACAACACAGACATGACTTCTTGTAACAGTTGAAGCGACTAGCGGTTTCTGAGAACATTGCTATTGCTTGCAAAGAAGCACCGCGACAATGGCGCAGCCATGCTTAAGGAGTCGCAGGTATGGAGCGCACAATGACAATGAACGGGTAATAAAGAAAGGGCAGTGAAGGGGAAGCTCTTCCAAGACGAGGTAGTTCAACGAAATCTGCAAGGAAGGCTTACAGAAAATGGATGGCATAGCACCTTGGCTGCAAGCTATCAACTATCGAGGCAGCGTTTAGGACGTGTACGGAGGAAGTGTGCCGTGCATGCGGTGCACTGTAGCAGTTGCAAAACGGCTTCTATTGGCACTGTTGCACCGTGAATTACTTTAGAATTGAATCTGAGCGGAATACTGCTAACTCTCTAACCAAATTACGCTGAAAGTCTACTGAGTGCAAGTGCACTGTCCTCTTACCTACCTTAGTACTTCTTACAAGACGTGTATCCTTGTACAAATAAGGGTTATTAGGCTTTACGAGGTGCATTTTCGCCTACCTTTCTGTGGATTGCAAGCGAGCTGTCACTTTGGGGCGGGACGAATGGGGATGCGCCTCTAGGAATATTAGCGAGTTGGATGGATCATTCGAGCCGAATACATGGCCATGTATATAAGTTTTCCGGGAGGAGGCTGCTGTTGCATGCCGTCCTACTCATGGCAGTTTGGACAAACGTTAGGTGTGATTTAAACGACGGCGACCGGCTGAGTGATTTTAAGGCGACCTGTTCAAGCACCGTTGCGGATAGCCTATTTGCAACTTGGTACTTGGGCGGGGACCCTTGTGCGGATGGCTTTGAACACATCGCTTGCGACAGCAACAGCAGGGTCACCAGTTTGCAGATCGACGGGCAGGACTTGTCAGGTACTAAATTTGTATGGGTGGGTGATGGAATGGCCTGACTGGTGCTCACTTCGCTTGGCTGCCGCCGCAGGTTGCGTTGTTCCTACCTCGTGGAATCCATGTAAGCCCTGGCTACTTGGAAAGGAGGGATTACAAAGGTTGGGGTACTCCATTGCGCTAGGAGATAGGGCAAAGCATGTAGTACCAGCACAATTTGTCACCGGTCTTGGCACAAACACCTCATTGTGCGTATGGGAATGGGCCCTAAACCTTTCCCCCGTCATGAAGCTTCTAACCCCGTGCTTCGTTCTGCCCTTCACTTCCTGGCCACAGCCAACGGCTATCCTGGCCTCGAGTATATGACCGCCTTCCAAGTCACAAACTGCCAAAACTTCGACGTCTCCCTCGACCTCGCTGTCCGAACGCAGTTGCGTGTGCTGGACCTCTCGAACACCTTGCCAACAGGTGCGTCCCTGGTCTGCGTGACGCCCACCTTCCATGCCTCAATTCATCGCCACATGCATGTTTCCTGCCCATCATTAAGCTGGGTCTCCTGCTGTCTCTTTAAACGCCGCCTCTTACTCCCTGCTGTCGTACGTCACCGTACGGCTTCCCATGCCCCATCCCACAGTTGCTGCGAACGACTTGCTTGACTACACGACGCTGACCGGCCTCGACACCATGCGGCTGACCGGCTACGGATATGCTGGTACGCAGGGGTTGGGCCCTCAGTGCTTGGGTTGGGTTGCGTTGGGCTGGGCAGCCCCATAGGAGCAATAGCCATAGACCTTGTGCCCGTGAAGTTCGCGTCTCTGTCCAACTAAGGCGGTTACGCCAACCGCCAAGTCACAAACCTGCCGAGCATCCCTTTGCTCGTCCCCTCCGCGAAACTTACGTCTTTGTGCTGTACACGGCGTGACCCTCCCTCCACAAACATGTAAAACTCGTCGCTCGCCTCTGCCCCCCGGCAGGCAACATCCCGTCTCAGTTCAGCGCCCTGACAAGTCTGACGGAGCTGCGGTTGGGTCAGAACCAGCTCACCGGGGGCATACCCGAGTCCCTGAGCGCCCTGACCAGCCTAGAGATACTGTGAGTGGTGGCGAGGTGGCGGGGTGGGGGTCTTGCTGTTGTTTCCCTGTGGGGTGGCCGTAGTGGTGGCATGGCAGTAGAGGGTTTTGATGTGGGTCGGGGGTGTGAGCTGCAGAGGGGCACAGCAGCGGTGCAGGTGATCAGGAGTGCCTGGCAGCGTCTGGTGTCCTTAGGTTAGGGCTATGCATCGGGGCCGTCCGGGGGTGCTTGGATGGGGTGTGGTAGGGATATGAAGCTACGAGCGGTCAAATGGCGACGCGTGGGGCCTCCTAGCTTGCTTGCTCGCCGTGCCATCATCGAATCTTCCGCAAACACTCGTTTGCTGTGTCTACAGGGATGTAAGCGGCAACTCCGGCATGTGCGGTGCCATTCCCACTACCCTCAAGGCGTGCACGACGTTCGATTACACCGGGACGAGCATTGGTAGGTCTGGCTGTGCGTATGGCGCTTGGAAGGCTTGGCAATAGGGGCTGTGTCTGAAGGACAAGGGAGACCGGGAGGGCATTGTATGAAGCTGACAGAGTCTTGCTCAGTTCCGTACACCCACGGACCCAAGACCCACGGAATCCTTATTTTTGGAGGACTAACCTTCATGCTGTTTCATGTGCCGTACGTAACTCGCAGACCTGGATTGTTTGGATTGGACGACTCCGCTTGGAACGGCGGCCAGCCACACAGCTGCTTGCGGAGGGACCGTAGGAACGCCCCCACCGTCCCCCAGCCCGCCATCGCCTAGCCCCTTGCCGCCTTCACCCAGCCCTCTTCCCCCTAGCCCAATTCCACCCTCCCCCAGCCCTCTACCGCCCAGCCCGACACCGCCTTCACCTAGCCCGACTCCCCCTAGCCCGACTCCACCCTCAACCAGCCCAACACCGCCTTCACCCAGCCCGCTGCCTCCTAGCCCCACGCCCCCTTCGCCCAGCCCATCCCCAGAGCCACCGAGTCCTTCTCCGGATCCCCCTAGTCCTACACCGCCTTCACCCAGCCCGCTGCCTCCTAGCCCCACTCCCAACCCGTCACCGGAGCCTCCAAGCCCCTCCCCGGATCCCCCTAGTCCTACACCGCCTTCACCCAGCCCGCTGCCTCCTAGCCCCACTCCCAACCCGTCACCGGAGCCTCCAAGCCCCTCCCCGGATCCCCCTAGTCCTACACCGCCTTCACCCAGCCCGCTGCCTCCTAGCCCCACTCCCATCCCGTCACCGGAGCCTCCAAGCCCCTCCCCGGATCCCCTTAGTCCTACACCGCCTTCACCCAGCCCGCTGCCTCCTAGCCCCACTCCCATCCCGTCACCGGAGCCTCCAAGCCCCTCCCCGGATCCCCCTAGCCCCACACCACCCTCTCCTGAGCCGCCTAGCCCACCACCCTCACCGAGCCCCACGCCTTCTTCCTCGCAGCCACCAAGCCCCATACCGCCTTCTCCTGAGCCGCCTAGCCCACCACCCTCACCCAGCCCCACGCCTTCTTCCTCGCAGCCACCAAGCCCCATACCGCCTTCTCCTGAGCCGCCTAGCCCACCTACCTCACCCAGCCCCACGCCTTCTTCCTCGCAGCCACCAAGCCCCATACCGCCGTCTTCTGAGCCGCCTAGCCCACCACCCTCACCCAGCCCCACGCCTTCTTCCTCGCAGCCACCAAGCCCCATACCGCCTTCTCCTGAGCCGCCCAGCCCACCACCCTCACCCAGCCCCACGCCTTCTTCCTCGCAGCCACCAAGCCCCATACCGCCGTCTTCTGAGCCGCCTAGCCCACCACCCTCACCCAGCCCCACGCCTTCTTCCTCGCAGCCACCAAGCCCCATACCGCCTTCTCCTGAGCCGCCCAGCCCACCACCCTCACCCAGCCCCACGCCTTCTTCCTCGCAGCCACCAAGCCCCATACCGCCGTCTTCTGAGCCGCCTAGCCCACCACCCTCACCCAGCCCCACGCCTTCTTCCTCGCAGCCACCAAGCCCCATACCGCCTTCTCCTGAGCCGCCCAGCCCACCACCCTCACCCAGCCCCACGCCTTCTTCCTCGCAGCCACCAAGCCCCATACCGCCGTCTTCTGAGCCGCCTAGCCCACCACCCTCACCCAGCCCCACGCCTTCTTCCTCGCAGCCACCAAGCCCCATACCGCCTTCTCCTGAGCCGCCCAGCCCACCACCCTCACCCAGCCCCACGCCTTCTTCCTCGCAGCCACCAAGCCCCATACCGCCGTCTTCTGAGCCGCCTAGCCCACCACCCTCACCCAGCCCCACGCCTTCTTCCTCGCAGCCACCAAGCCCCATACCGCCTTCTCCTGAGCCGCCCAGCCCACCACCCTCACCCAGCCCCACGCCTTCTTCCTCGCAGCCACCAAGCCCCATACCGCCGTCTTCTGAGCCGCCTAGCCCACCACCCTCACCCAGCCCCACGCCTTCTTCCTCGCAGCCACCAAGCCCCATACCGCCTTCTCCTGAGCCGCCCAGCCCACCACCCTCACCCAGCCCCACGCCTTCTTCCTCGCAGACACCAAGCCCCATACCGCCTTCTCCTGAGCCGCCTAGCCCACCACCCTCACCCAGCCCCACGCCTTCTTCCTCGCAGCCACCAAGCCCCATACCGCCTTCTCCTGAGCCGCCTAGCCCACCGTCGCCAAGCCCCACGCCCCCTTCCTCTCAACCACCAAGCCCCACGCCTCCTTCCTCTCAACCACCAAGCCCCACGCCTCCCTCCTCTCAGCCACCAAGCCCCGTACCGCCTTCTTCTGAGCCGCCTAGCCCGCCGTCGCCAAGCCCCACGCCTCCTTCCTCTCAACCACCAAGCCCCACGCCCCCTTCCTCTCAACCACCAAGCCCCACGCCTCCCTCCTCTCAGCCACCAAGCCCCGTACCGCCTTCTTCTGAGCCGCCTATCCCGCCGTCGCCAAGCCCCACGCCTCCTTCCTCTCAACCACCAAGCCCCACGCCTCCCTCCTCGCAGCCACCAAGCCCCATATCGCCTTCTCCTGAGCTGCCTAGCCCGCCGTCACCAAGCCCCACGCCTCCTTCCTCTCAACCACCAAGCCCCACGCCCCCTTCCTCTCAACCACCAAGCCCCACGCCCCCTTCCTCTCAACCACCAAGCCCCACGCCCCCTTCCTCTCAACCACCAAGCCTTACGCCTCCCTCTTCTCAGCCACCAAGCCCCGTACCGCCTTCTTCTGAGCCGCCTAGCCCGCCGTCACCAAGCCCCATGCCTCCTTCCTCTCAACCACGGAGCCCCACGCCCCCTTCCTCTCAGCCACCAAGCCCCACGCCCCCTTCCTCTCAACCACCGCCAAGCCCTAATGCGAACAGCCCAGTACCACCTTCCCAGCCGCCCAGTCCCCTTCCTCCCAGCCCGGTGCCGGCGTCACCCCAGCCGCCCAGTCCCCTTCCGCCGAGCCCCGTGCCAGCCTCCTCTCAGCCGCCCAGCACCAACCCACAAAACACCACATCACCACCGCCCCCTTCATCTCCTCCACCGTCCTCACAACCGCCAAGCCCTGTGCCCCCAAGCCCCACGTCAACGTCCCCTCAGCCCCCGAGCCCCCTACCGACGATCCCAACACCACCACCGTCTACCCAGCCCCCCAGCCCTGTACCGCCCAGCCCCTCACCCACCTCCTCCACATCGTCCGCTTCTCCGTCCCCCAACGCGTCCACTCCACCGCCCCAACCCCCATCGCCCACTCCTTCCCCCTCACCCGTCCCGCCTCCAGCTCCCTCTCCCTCTCCCCCAGTCCCTCCCTCACCAAGCCAGCCCCCTTCCCCAACTCCCTCTCCGCCGCTCCCTCCCTCACCGCCACCATCCCCACAACCTCCGCCTGCCCCCTCCTGGGAGCGCATGTTGGATGCCATCCTGGAGAGCCCGCTGCAGCGTGCAGGCCGCCCCCTGACAGTCCTCCTGCGCACCCGCATGGCCTTCAACGCCTCATCCTCCCAGGTCTGGACTGCAGCCCTGGCTCCGCCGCAGCTGCAGCCCGGCAGCGCTGCCAGCCTCATCGCGGTGGGGCAGCTGCAGCCCTGGAGGTACTACAACGCTGAGTACCAGTGGCGGGTGGTGGTGCCGGGCGAGCGCATGCAAGCGGTGGGTAGGGTGTGCTGTAAGGGAGGGCGCAGGTAGCGGGGCCCGTGTGCGCGGCGGTGACTGGGAGTAGCTGGTTTGGGGTCGTAGGAAGGATATGGAGGGCGTGTGAAGGGTATTACCAGACAGTCGGCTATGTTACTTCGGGAGCTGCCGCGAGTTGTCAGGACCGCCTCACCAACGCTTCGCTTGCTGCTAAACCGCACCACAGGCCGGCAGGTATAGCCTGTATGTATACTACGGTGTGAACGGTACCGAGTCGAGGAACGTGGCTCGCAACGGCAGTGCTATCACCGTCTACCCTGGGCTGCCAGCCACACAGCTCTCCAGTTTGCAGGTGAGGCGGGGCAGGCCACTTTGACTGTCTAGAATTGCTGTAGGGAGGGATACCCACATCTCCTCCATACATGCACGGATAGGAATGAAGCTCAAGTGTCAATATGACGCAATCCCCGTTCCCGGTTCGCCTCCAGGTTGTTCCCCTGGACGGCACCATTGCCGTTGGTGACCCAGTGGCCATTAGCCTGACCCTGCGGGACTTGTACGGCAACCCCGCCCTGGCGGCCGCACATGTGGCTGTGACGCTCGAAGGACCCGTTTCCTTGCGCACCGTGGTCTCCGGAGCCAACTTCACAGCGCTAGGCGGCGGTTATTTTCGTTACGTCCATACGCTTGAAGCTCAGGAGCTGGTGACCGTGCGGCTGAACGTGTCAGGTGTCTTGGCGGCTACTGCCGTGGTAAACGTAACAGCAGTCTCGGCAGGAGCCGTGGCGTTCGCTGCGTCGGTGGGCGCCGCTGCCGTGGAATTGTACGGCAACAAAACGCGGGTGCCGGTAGCGCCAGGGCTGGTGCTTCAAGGACTGGCGCAAGTCGGGCACGTGGTGTACCTCCCGGTGATGCGACCCACGGGTCAGTCGTTTGGCGGCGACCCGGGCCTGCGTGCCACTGTGGCGCTGAGCCAGCAGGGCTTGTCAGGCCCGGTTTACAATGGCAGTTGGTCTTCCAGCAATCGGTCTTACGTGATCTACTTCCAGGCGCCCTCAGTGGGGATGTACGATGTGGCTGTGTCGCTGCAGCACCCGGTGGAACAACTCACCCAGGTGGGCTGCGGCGGAGTAGGGACGCAGTACATAAACGCGTATCAGTCCGGGCTGTTTGCGTTGCTTTCCGAGGCAGCACTAGCACGCAATAGACGTACCGGTAGTTACGGTTTCCCGACCTCCATGTTACTGACTATTTTACGTACTGGCTATTTTTTGTACACCTTCTGCTTTCCCCGCAGGCCACCATTCTCATGCGTCTTGACGCCTCCCAGCCGCCGCTCGCCGTCAACGGAAGCCTTGACCTGGCCACATCTTACACCCGCGTGGGCGACTGGGCCTACCTCACAGCCACCCTGCTTGACGTGGCCGGACAGCCGGCGCCGTCCACAGTCGGGGTCTCACTCACCGCGTTCGGTGCCTACAGCGGCGCAGCAGATCTGCAGCTCGCACCCGCAGCTGAGGGTGTGCGGCTGTGGCGCGCACGGTATAACTTGACAATGCAGGAATCCGTGACGTTTACACTGCTAGTCGCCGGCAACGTGGTTGACAGTAAGCCCCTCGAGGTGCTAGGCGTCGCACCGGAGTTTCTGGACATTCCAAGCTCTCTCGCCGCCGCTCGCCTGTACAACGTGTTGGGTGGCACCACTGCAACCACCACTGCAACCGCAACCAGCGGGGCTAACACCACAACAAACACATCCTCCTCCTCCTCCTCGAGTACCGCAGTTTCATCCGCCGCTGTCTCCCCGGACTCGGCCCTCATGGTCCCGGTGGCGCAGCAAGTGACGCTGGAGGTACCCGTGTTCACCAAGGCAGGTGCCAAGTGGCTGAGTGACCCGGGCCTCAGCGTCGTGCTGTCGCTGGTGCCGTCGGCGATTGAAGAGGACATTAGCAGCGAGTACGCGGCTGCATTGCAGACCACCGTCCGTCGGCTGCTGCGCGCCACAGGTCATGGAGGCGGCGGGTATGGCGATGTGGGTAGCAGTGGTCTTGTGGGTGGCAGCGAGGGTGAGGATGATGAGGAGGAACCGGGACGGCAGGGCGGGGGAGGTCGTGAGCTTCTCCAGACGTATTATGACGTCGCGTCTTGGAACGCCAGCTCGGCGTCGCAGTACGGCAGTGCCTACATGCAGACGTACGACTACCCCAGCTACACAGGTGAGAACCTTACAGCATTGGAAATTAGGCGGCGCGTCGCTCATGCCTGTGCACGTCGCCTCAATACTAGTTTTTAAACGCTGCCACAGATACCCATTCTTGTGCTTACAGCTTGGACACTGCAAACAACCCGAACATCCCATGTTGTTGTCCGCTCCTCTGCTAACACCCTACGTACCAAACCCGCAGGCGAGTTCGCCTCGGACAACGCAGCAGGCCAGGGGGTGGATCTGGACGCGTACGGTATCGCTGGTTACGAGCCTCGCGACCCATGGGTCGTGGCTCCCGTCACTATCCCCGCGCCGCCTCTCAGCAACGAATCCCCAGATGGCCCGAGTGCGCTGCAGGACAGCCTTGCACGCGAGCAGGGCGTCATAACGTCCACAGGTGCGCATGCCAGAGTTTTGCATGTGTTCAAAGTCTGCACATCTGCAGAACCCGCCGCTCCAATTACACCAATCATTACGCTCCTACCCGTATGCCTACACGTCGCTTCCTACCAGGCAACTTCTCCGCCTTCAAGCAGTCATATCAGCTGTCGTTTTGGCTGCCTACTTCGGATACCTACCTCGCGCTGCTCTCCGTACGACACCCCGGGCTGGCGGGCTCGCTGCGCCTCACTCGCTTCCTGCTGAGCGCCATGCAGGAGGTTTCGCTCCGCTCGACGGGTAGGCCAAGCCAAGACGGTTTCCTCTTACCTCCTAGGCCCCGCTACCTTCTCTTTTCTGCTTTCTGGCACATCTGACATGCTCATGGGCTAGTAGCAACCTAGCAATCGCTCGGAAGCCCTCTCACTAGCGCATCCGTACCCATGCCACCCCCTCTACTCCTCCAGGCAGCAGCGCTGGCTTCAACCCCAGCGTCAATCCGCTGGTGGCCCTGAACGTGGTGCTTCCTGCCGTGTCGCTCACATCCTACCCCGGCGGCACTTCCACCCTGCTGGCCAACTTCCAGTCGCTTCTGGCCGCTCGCGCCGGGGTTTCCTCCGCCAGCAATGTGATTGTGTGGGAGCTGCGTGCGGGTGCAGGCTCGAATGGCAGCAGCACAACCAGCGGCAGCAGTGGCGTCACATTCGTGTCGCAGGTAAGGCTGGGGTGTGAGGGCCACACCCATCCATCGGATTGCCGTCATGAATGTTTCTCGTTGGCTTGGGGTACACTCTGGTGACATTATCCAACGGGGAGCTCTAACTAGCCTTTATGCAACCCGTGTCAGGTCTGGTTCGACGCCAACTGGTCGAGTATCTCCAGCGGCTTTGCCTCCATGAGCGCGCTGCAGTTCTTCTACTACCGGCTTCAAAACCAGCCGGAGCCGCTGCTCACGGATGCGACAAACTACCCGGCCTTCAATGCGACAGGCGTCCAGGTACGTGTGTAAGGTAGCAGCGGGGTACACCCTCCGTTCTTCCGCAATTTCAGTTCCGTGTCCGTCTTCCTGTGCTCTTTACCCTTCTTCGTTACCTTCCTGCTTCTCAGCATGCTCAGATCTTAGCATGCTGAACCCCGATGCCACCGGTACTGCTGGGTACTAAGTCTCGTTATGCCGTCGGCTCTTGTCCATGCAGATCTCCAACCTGTCGCTCAGCGAGCCCTTCGCGTCGACCCTGGCCGCAAGCACTACACCCGCCGACGTTGCGGGTTCAGCGCCGGTTGCCCCGGCCATTACCATCCTGGACCTTGACTTGGACCAGGACCCGGCCTCTGCCGCTGCGGCCTCCGCCTCCACACCCATGACCCTGCCCACCGCCGTACTAGCATCGCCGCCATTGTTGACGCTAGTCGGTGAGCCCTACATGGAAGTCCTTGAGCAAAACACGTTCACGGACCCCGGAGCATTCGTCTTTGATTCCGTCGACGGCTTTTCCATGGACGTGCGGGTAGCCGTACGCCTGTGTGTACGGCAGCCTGGCCTGTCGCAGCTGATGTACGACGTGAACTCAGCGGCAGCGACCGCGTCAACCGCCAACAACGGCAACAACGGTTCGGCGGCAATCTCAGTAGCGTCTTTAACCGCCGCTGCCTCAGCGGCTGCACAGGCGGCGCCGCCAGCGGTTTTTAATTGCATTAACACCACGTCCTTGTCGTACGGCGCGTCAATAGCCACTACTGGGGGTAATGCAACCTCAGGGGGGTCTACCATCATCGGCATCTATTCTGTTGGCGCCGTCACCCTCAACACCAGCATTCCGAATACGGCATCTCGGATGTACTTGTTGTCGTACAGCGCCGTGAACTCCCGCGGCATTGCTGCCGCGCCGCGGCACCGCGCGGTGATCGTACAGCCACGGTGTGACACTAGCGCAGGGGAGTTTTGGTGTGTGGCGCGGTCGGCTTGCTCGGTGGGTGGGAGCTGCAATGCTAGCTTCACCGCAGTAGCCTCGGCCCTTTCGGCCATAGCCTCAACCTCATCATCGACTACAAGCTCTGCTACCGCCGCCGCAGCAGCCGCAGTTGCCTCTCCCAGCGCTGTGACGGCCGCAGCAGCTGGATCGACCCTATCCATCGTCACCACAGCAGACGGCGGCATTGCACTTGTGTCAAGTGACGGCAGTGCCACCTTCATCGACCCCCTGTCGTTCATGCGTACGACACTTTCCGCGCCCCAGGCCCTCACAGACACCAACAACTATGGCATCCTAGGCAGCATTCTCCTAACCGTGGCTAGCGGGGGCACCACCACCTCTGGCTCCTCCACGACCGCCACTGCCTCATCAGCCATGGCGCCGCAACCCACCTACGTCCGTGACACGCTGCCTCCTGTAATCTCCCTGTTGGGTTCTGGCGCCCCGGCGGTCACCAAGAGCGGCCAGGCGGTTATGACGGACACGGTGGTGGTTGGGACGGCCTGGGTGGACCCGGGCGCCTCCGCATGGGATGCGGCAGATGGCAACGTGACTGCCAAGCTGCAAGCGTACGGCATCGCGGCTGTGGAGACCAGTAGGCCTACTCCGCCCGGCGTGGCTTACTCGTTCATGGTGGAGTACCAGGTGGGAGGGGACAGGCTGCAGGATGCAGTATGGAGGAGGGGGGTGGGATTTCACGTTAGCACAAGGAGAGGACCTCCGCAAGTTGTAGGCCGACTGTCTCTTTGCGTCCTAGTGGCTGCATGACGTATGGAGGTCTTGCCCAGCGGGTTCATGCGCTTGGTCTATTGGATGAGACTTTATTCCCTTGCTGCTTTCCTATGCCCAACGCATTGCATTACAGGTGTCGGATATGGCAGGTAACGTGGCGCAGCCCGCCCGGCGGCTCATCCGTCTCGTGTGCGCTGACGGCGAGTCCTACTGCACGGACCCAGATGGGCTGCCCGCATGCACGACGTACGGCATATGCGGGGCGCCCAGCGCTGCGGTGTCGCAAGGGACCTCCGCTTGGTCCCTTGTCGATTACGACAGCAGCACCGGTGCCGACTCGGCCGCCAGCACACCGACGTTGGTGCTGATAGGGCCCTCGGAGGCTAGAGTCCAGCAGGGAGTGCCGTACGACAGGTGTACGTCTGTGGTTCCGCAGGACCAGCCCTGTGACTCCGGCGCAACGGCTTGGGACGCCGTTGACGGCAGCCTTGACCTCCGTATAAGCGTGTGCGGTGTACCCCTCCGTGCCACGAGCCCAAGTCAGGTGTTGCTGCCTCTCTCACTGGCGTGCAACTTCTCAACCTCGGTGCCGGGTAGCTACAACTTGCTTTATCTGGTAAAGAACAGCGCTGGCGGTACCGCTGCCGTCGCCCGCACCCTGACCGTCGTACCCAACTGCTCGCTCGGCGAGCGGCTCTGCCCTGACGGCATCTCATGCTCCACAGACGGCGGGGCCGTCTGTTCCCAGAGCTTGCTGACCTCGAGCGTTTCCACCACTTTTGTCGCCGCTCTTGCAGCCACCAGCCCAGCAGCTGCCGCTGCAGCCCTGCGTCCCAATTTGAAACTCATCACAGCGGTTGCCGCACCAGAGCTGGTGAAGGTGCCTCGCGGCAGCACGTACAGCGCATGCTCCGCCGATGCCGACCTAACCTACGCCGACACGCCGCCCTGCGAACCGGGCGCCCAGGCCTGGTCAAGCAATGGATTGAACCTCACGGACCGGGTCGTGGTATGCCCTCCCGCTGCATGCTTGGTTAGCGGGAGTAACAGCCGCAGCGGTGGCGGTGGCTGTTCCGCCGACTTGCTTCGGGGGCACACGCTTGCAGCCAAGGGTCTCGCGGGTTGTTCCATCAACACGCTTGCACCACCAGGGACAGTTTTCTACGTGGACTTCTGGGTGTGGGATGACGCCCGGCCGCCTAATAACGCCACCATCCGTCGTACGGTCACAATCACCGAGCCATGCCAAGACGCCTCATTGCCGTTCTTTTGCGCCGACAGCTCGGGCGGCTACCTCTGCTCGCCGACTCCATGCGCCGCGCTTCCAACCTTCTTGCCGCCTTTCACTGCTGGGCCTACAGTCACCCTGCTTTCCCTGGATGGCAGTGACAGCGGCGATGGCAGTCTAGTGTATGTGGAATTCGGCGCTGTGCCCCCATCGTACCTGGGCCCCTGTGCCTCGGCTGCCTACACGCAAGGTTGCGGCGCCATTGCCAGCGGCTCTGTACTGCCGACCTCCCCAGGCGGACCCGTAACCGTCGCAGACCTCTCTGCCTCCATCTCCGTCACCCCCACGACGCCATGCAACCCTGACGCCGGCGCCGCTGGCTGTGTCGCATGCAGCCTGGAGGCACTGGCGGTGGCCGGCAGCTGCCTTCCAGGCGTCTACACCTTTCAGTACTCGGTAACCGACGAGCAGGGCAGGACCGGGACCGCCAACCGAACCGTGGTGGTGTACCAGCGCGCCATCGTCAACGCGACACTGACGCTGCTGCCGCTGGGGCTGACGGATGCTGAGGCCGCGCAGGATTTGCTCGAAAACCTCCGCAACACCAGCCATGCTGACTACCAGCAGGTCGTCCAGAACGTCACTTCGCTCATGGCGGCGTACGGCGTACGGCCGTCTGATGTGGACGTGACGTCAGCGGCGCTGTCGCCGCCTTCGCCGCCCCCTAGCGCCGCCACGCCTGCTAGCCTGGAGGTGACCCTGGCGGTGTCCTTGTACAATCCCAGAGTTGTGCACCGAGACGCTGGCGGGCTGGAGCTGGTACCGTCGTCGGCACGGCGGAGGTTGCAGAGACAGTACGGCCGTGACCTGGGCTTACCCGGAGAGAACCCAGTACTGGCCTCTGGCAACGTGAGGATGAGTGTGGCCGAGACGGTTCGGGAAGACGCGGCGGCAGAGAAGGCAGAGGAGATATGGGAGCGGCTCGGGCAGCTTCGGCTGCGGCAGCTGCAGGACCGTCACCAGCAGCTGCTGGAGACTCTGCAGCGGCAGCAGGACACCCTGGACCGCACATGTAAACACTCTGACACTGTGAACAGCGCGCAACAACAGCATGGCGACATGGACAGCAACGGCGAGGAAAGCACCAACGCCCGCCAAGCCCACATTTTGATACCTGCTGGTAGCCACCAGGCTCTGCGGTCGCTGTTGCAGGATACCTCTACCGACAGCCTTTCCACGCTGCTATCTTCCTTGTCCGACCTCGTAGCCGCCTCCCTGAGCGCAACCTCGGTAACCGTTGCCCTGCCGGACAGCATGGACGTGTCGTACGGTCTCGCCACCGCCCTAATCACGCTGACCTCCGCGCTGGTACAATCCAACGACCTCCTATTCACCGACGCCTTATCGCTAGCTGCCAACATCAGCCGCATCATGGGCGATCAAGCCGATACCGCAGAGCAGCAGCAAGTCGCTGTACAGCAGGGGGCCTATCAGGCCCTGCTAGCGGACGCGACGGCAGCAGCAAACGCAACCCTGGCCCTCGAGGACAAGCTCTCTGCGCTGCTGGATGCGCAGTTGGCGGCGGAGGCCGCGCTGGCGGGTCAGAACGCGGAACTGGCGCTGACTCTGCGGGAGTTGGCGGCCGACACGGTCGCGCAGACGGACCGCGCGCTGTACATTGCGATGGTTGCGGAGGAGGCGGCCGGGTATGAGTCGGAGGTGTTGGCGGGTTCGGGATGCTACCGACTGGAGCAGACCGGCTTTGCGGCCGCGTTTACGTTGTCCAAGTTTTCGTCGAAGTCCTCCGCTGTGCTTGCCTCTACCTCGTCGACGAGTGACGGCAACGGCGGTGGTGGCGCCCGGCGACGGCTGGAGAGTGCGAGCACCCTTACCGGCGGCAGCAGCAGCAGCCAGTCCGACACGAGTAGCCTGTCCATGTCGATACCATGGCTGGGGTATTACCTGACAAATGGTGCCATCGACGGGACTCAGTTGCCAGGAATGTACGAAATCGACGTTGGCGCGGATTTGCCATCCGGCAGTACGCGGCCGCGTCATCTGGGATCTGGCTATGACAACAGGGTCATTGGCGGGCTACTGCTGTACACCACACGCCGGGCGTTGCCCATGCCGCAGAGCTTAAGCAGCTCTGCAACAGCGACGGGGTCATCAGCATCATCGTCGTCGTCCTCGGTGGCAACTGATGCATCATGCGATGGGGCCTTTTCGGATCTGGATGCCAGCTGCCACATGTACGAACTGTCGTATCTGCGAGGCGGCACCGCGGCGACATCCATGCTGCAGCGCATGTTTGTGGGCATGAATGACAGCCTCGCGCCCTACGGCGTAGACCCCCTGTTCCTCAGGTACGGGCCATCACGCGCTAGGCCCCCAAACGTGCTCCACACTGGCACTCTGCCAGTAGCCTCATGGGTCGCGTCTTCCATCGCTGTCTGCACGCCGCGCGGCACACAGCACGCGCTTTGTGTACCGTAAGTCCGTAACTCCTCCCTCCCCTCTGTCCACCTTCCCCTAGATCCTCTGCGCTCTACCGCGAAGACCTCACCTCCAAAATGGACTGGTACTACAACACTTCCAACACCAACGAGGTGGGGCCCACCGGCATGCCGTACGGCTTCTCCGCCCGCCCGCTGTCCGGCCGCCCCCCGGGCTTCCCCGTGTTGGTGGAGACGGGGCTGTCCACCCACCGCACCGCCCAGCTGGTGCGCTACCTGGCGGACGGGAACTACCTGGACCGGCGCCAGACGCGGGACCTGTCGGCGGAGATGCTGGTGAGGGGAGGGGCACATGCGGCTGACACATGGGCAGTGTACTGGGGTGATATGCCTTTCCTGTGAGACTCCTGCGACGATGTGATAGGTGTATCCGTCAGGCTCTGTCCTTGGATAGGTACGTACTGGAGCTCCGACTCTGCCCTTCCTGACCCACATCCCCTCTTGCCTTTCCGTTCCTGCTGCCCAACCAGGTGTACAACCCCATCGTGCACGCCTTTGCGTACTTCCGAGCCGACTTCACCTGGGACCAGCCGGGCTCCATCACCGGCCGGCTGTCCGCTATAGGGTTCCCCGCCATGGCCTACCTCGACAGCAACCAGACCCTGTCAGACGCCCTGACCGCCATCTTCGCCCATGAGCTGCTGCCCTTGTGGGTGCTGGCCGCGTTCTTTGCGGTTGTGACGACCGTATCCTGTGTTGCCGCGGTGATGCGGGCCAAACGCCATGTCGCCGCGGCCGTGGATGCAGCGGCTGCGGAGCGCAACGGAGACGCAGGTTACAAGGGCTGCACAACAGCAGCTGAGGCGGCTAAACGCAAGGGGTACCCTGCTAGCAACGATGACTTGGTAATGGGAGTATCGGAGTCACTGCCGTCATTTGGGACACTGTCACCCGGCGCCAAACAGGGCGTTGTTCCATGGGCACACTCGAGCGTTGGCCGACCCAGATCGCCCCACATCCGCGTGCTACGTGACGAGGCTGCGGAGGTACGTGAGGAGAGGTTGGAGCTGCACGGCACTGCAGGCCTCACCCACAGCAACGCCTGGTTCCGAGAATTCGCACGGCATGACGGCGGGCTCTTGTACGACATCCCATTGGCTGTCCTCCTTATTGCCGTCGCTGCTTTCTGGACGGCCATTGTTGAGCACAACCTTGCCCTCTACAGCGCCCGTGCAACGTACCGCGTATACGATGCCATGGCCTCGGCGCCAGCCCGCTGGCTGCTCCCAGTGCGCGTGGAGCCGGACGCCGCCGCCGCCAGCAATACCTCGGCGCTGTATGCCGCCGCCAGCAACCTGGGCCTTGACGTGCCGTCGAGTCCAGGCGTCCCGGGTCGCTGGCTGCTGGCGGGTCGGGACGGCGACTGGGATGAGCTGAATGCGGTGCTGCGAGGCGCGAGCCGGCTGGTGGACCTGTGGACGGTGTACGGCATGTTGCAGGCGGTGGTCATCATTGCGCTGATTGCCAAGTGGGTAACGAGTTGGGGGCGGCGTCTTTGGGGTGTAGGCAGAGGAGAAGAGAGATCAGTATGTGCTTGGTTGGCTGCACCGCGGGGCAAGCGTGTGCAGGACCCCGTGTCTTCTTCAGCTTGTTGCCCCCCCCCACCCCTCCAGCCTCGCTCACATCCCCATTCTCATTCTCCCTCTCCACCCGACCACCGCCCTCCCATCCGCTCATGCAGGCTGGTTGGCGTGATGGCCTTCCAGGGCCGTCTGGGCATCATCTGCCGCACCCTGATGACCATGGCGGGCCCCATCTCCCACCTGGTGCTCCTCCTGGTGCTCGTCCTCGTCATGCTGGCAGCCGCCAATAACACCGTGATAGGATACCGGGTGGGCGCAACCTCCTCCCTGTCCGCAGCCCTGGCAGACAGCGCCGTCCTGCTGGTCGGCAGCAACGGCATGGACTTTGGCCGGCTGGTGGCGAACGGCCTCATCCTGCCGAGCGTGGAACGGGTGGCCGTGGGAGCGATTGTTGCCGTACAGGTCCTGCTGATGTTGTACGTGCTCGTCAACTTTTTCTTCGCCACCATGAGTCATCTGTTTCTGAAGCAGAAGCACATTGTTGACTGGGAGAATACGCCCTCGTTGCTGCATGACCTCCTGCGGGTGGTACTACCGGACATGGTGAGGGCGTTGGTGAGCGTGATGCCGGGCGCTGCGGCAAGGCGGCGCCGTCGCCTGGCGGCGTCCTTGGCGGCAGCGCGCCAGGCCGCCGTGGCCAGGCCAGCTGCCGACACGGGCGTTGTCATGGATGCTCGGAAGCCCTCCACGGAGGACGAGGTTGAGATGGGCCGCAGCGGAGGCAGCTGCGACAATTCGCATGCACCCACAAATCGTCAGTTGCTACGCACGCTAGCCGCGGGTGGAATCGACGAGCGGCTGCTCGCAGTTCAGCTGCCCAAGACCTGGAACGGCCGCGTGCGTGCGGCGCTTGTGGCAGGTGGCAGGAGTCTGATCGACAAGCCTACCATGCGGCAGGTCATGTGTGAGGTTGCTGCCACCTCCGCCCCCATTCAGGCTAAGCTGGTGGATGACAGTGACGATGACGTCAGAGGCTCCTCCTCAGGTTCCCTCAGGAACCGGGTTTTGGCGCTGATTGTCGCACGGCGTGTGATGGACCGAGTTGGGCGCACCTACGGTGCTGGCAGTCTTGAGTTCCGTGCGCTCGAGGCGGCAGCTGAGGCAAGGACGGAGCGCCAGCGGCTGGGCGGCGGTGTGGCGGGTGCGGCCGCTGTTTGTATGGCGGATGAGCGCTCCCGGGATTCGGCGGCGGAGCGGTCGTCCGATGACTCTTCAGGGGCGCCGCTGCGACACAGTTTGAGCGCAGAGATCCAGATCCACCTGACGATATATGAGGCTCTGCATGCCGCTGTGGAATCCATTGTGCGCTGGCAAAGCGGCGTTCATCGATGGCAGGTGCGTATGTGCGCGCGTGCACGCCTCGTCCACAGCCACTGTGGTTTGGAGGAAGTGTCAAGGTGACAAACAATGCAAAGTCTGAACTTGCATAGCAACAACCATATGGGACAAAGCCCTTACCTTACGCAGTTATACTCAAACCTGGTGAACCGAGTCCCGGTGTCGGCCCACTCCCTCCCGTCAGGTCCGCACCTGGAAGCAGCTGGCCTCCGCCTACCTCCTCAACCAGCAGATGCTGGTGGGGCTGGGGGAGGCGCCCGGGCCGGCGTTTGTGGAGCGCCCTCGCGCACTGCAGGACGAAGACCTGCCGCACGCGCCGCGGAGCCCTAGCGCCACAGCTCCAACAGCAAGCGCCAGACCGAGCATCCCACCGCCGCCTCCGCCGCCGCTTCCGCCTGTCGGCAGCACTGACTCGGCGTCGCTCATGCCGCCATGGGTGAGGGTGGGCTCACCGCAGGGCCAGGCCCCGCGGCGCCGCCGGTCGAGCTCCAACGCCGTCATGCCCGTGCGGGCCAGCTTTGCGTCCGACTATGCTGGCAGCGTGCTGTCTCCCTCGCAGCTGTCACTGACGGAGGAGGCGCGGCGGCGGATTACCGAGGAGAAGGCAGCGTTCGGGTCGAGCCGCTTCTGGGTGCGCCGTGCAAGCTCCAGCGATACAATCCCCTTCGAGACCCACACGCCCGTATCGAGCGTCAACTCCCAGCAGCTGCATAGCACTTCGCTGCAACAGCGTGAAATGCGTGATTCGTCTTCGTCCCTGCGGATGCAGTACCTGCAGCAGCAGCAGCAACAGCAGCAAAAACAGCAGGCAGGAAGCCGTGGATCCTCGCCGCGTTCACAGCCTTCTCCGTCGGCGTCAGGATCGCAAGCGGTGCAGCGGCAGGCTGCTCAGCTGGAGGAGGTTGTTTCGATGTCAGCAGCGGAGGCCATGCCGGTTCTGGAGGAGGTGGAGGAGGTGAGCGACGCAGAGGTGGCTGCCGCGATGGAAGCTTGGCCCACCTTGACGCCTCCCTGGCGGCCGCTGTCCCCGGCTGGATATACCAACACCGCCGCAACGGCAGCGGCAGCAGCCGCTGTTGCAGCCTCCTACAAGACTGCGGCTGGAGGCGCGGCTGCTGCTATCCCGGCTGTGGACTGTGCGCTGCCTCCTCGCGTTTGCACCGCGGATCCAAGCGTCCGCTCGCGGGCCTTCACCTCTGCTCCCAACACTCCATCCGGGCCCGCCGGAACATCATCAACAATATTCATCCGGCCCGCGACTGCCAGCCTCGTGCCATCGCAGCCGTCTAAGCTATCAGCCCAGGCGAGCTGGCAGCGGACGGCGCATTCTGTGGGTTCAGGCGGCGCGCATGTGATTGCTGCCTCTCGGTTGCCTTCGCTGGCGGCCCATCCTCGGGGCGGCATCTACAACAGCGGCTTTGAGGTGGTGCCGGAGGACGAAGCCGGCGAGGAAGCTGAGGCGGAGAACCGCGCTGCCCTGAGCCGCTTACGCGTCGCTTCAGACGTGGCTCCAGGCACGCTGCGGGCGCCGCCGCCCGCCGCTCGCACCCGCACCATGTCGGGTGGCGGCAGCGCTCCGCTGCTTGACGACATGCGGGAGCGGCTGATGACGCTGATGCAGCGGCGCAGCAAGGGCTCGTCTGCAGGCGGGGCCTCTGGGAGCGGTGGGTCGGACAGGGGCGTCGGCCGCCGCCCCAGCGCGGGTAACTGGATGTCCAGTGGCGGCGGCAGCAGCACTGCCAGCGCTGCTTCGGGTAACGGCGGCGGGGCTGCTGTGGGGCCGCAGGAGGCTCGGCTGGTGCATAACTTGGTGTACGGTGATGACTGACGACCGGCAGGTCTAGCACATGAAGGCGATAATAGTGGAGGGTAAGGAGGATATCACGGGTTGAGGCGGAGTACAGCACATATGATTAATTTTCTGTCAGTGATAGTTGATCCTATCAGTGCTATGATTGTGACCTTAGATGGATTGTGAGCATCATTACTTGATTGTAAAGCTCTTCAATAAAGTATGGAGTGTCGCCGCTTTGCCCAACGAACGGCGCCAGTGGCTTCGATGGTCCGTGTGATTGCAGGGGTACTGCCGTACATGAGCAACAGCTTAGGTTAGGCGGTGTGTCTCGTGTCACACCTTAAACGTGACATGTAGGCGCCTGTATTAGCAACTTAGGATGTTACAACACGCATAAATTTTTGCCTGAAGTAAACGTTCCTCGTTGTACATGCGACTTACGTGATTTTGCGTTTTTATGTCGTCTAGATGTGATGTGCGCCCTCGGGCGCTCGTTTTCTACAGGTGCTTCCTGGCACCATGACATTCGCGGTCAGGGGAGTAAGTAGGAATGCCCCGGGGTCATGGGCGGGGGCCCCTTGTACAGTGCGGATGTCCATATGCTGCTGAGAACGTAGCGTGTTAGCTTGACGTTAGGACGTCGATACGGACGTTAGAACGCATGGTCTGGCATTAACTAGTAGCCTGTATATGGGCATAGGCTTGGCATTGCAACTCCTAAAGCAGGACTGGAAACCGTATATGCTGACAGTGTGCGTGTGCTGCACCTTTTAGACGCTATAACAACCGTTTCTATGTTAGAACAGTAGTGGCTTGTAGTCTTTCTCTTTGTTACGTGGGGTACCGGACCTACCGGTATCGTCCTTGTGTCGTCCTAGGCGTGGTGCCTTTTGCAGGTGGCTTGCAAAAGGCACCGGAATGCAGGCAAGCGTGACGTGGCATATGTTACAACCAGCACACTAGCAGGTGCAGTTGTAAACCCATGCCTGCGTGCAAGGCATGGGTTGAAGCACAGTGCTTCCCGTGAGTCCTTCCATTCAGCGAATGCCATGGCAACAAGCGAACCAACGTCCACTGCAAATGGGGAATTTACCGCAACAGCAGTATTAGGAAAACACCCTACCGAGCAATCTCCGTTCTCAATGCTCCAGGGCACAGTCCCCATCACAAGCACTGCTACTACAGTCCTACACTACTAACGAGCTACGAGCCACTGTCCCCTCCAAGGCCCCGGCTAGGTACCTAGACCACTTGCCTACCTGCCACTTGCCTACCCTGCCTACCATACAATCTAAGCTAGCCAACATTCAAGCTAAACTCTAAACCTAACCTGGACCAGCAGGCCTTCATTGCCCCTGCAGGAACCCGCGCACGGGCACACCCGAGGGCACACGTGCAGCTAAAGGACCCGCACACCCGCAAGGCTACCACTACCCAAGCTGCCTGCCACATCAACGCTGCCTTATCAATGCCATGGCCCGGAGCCCCATTGCCAATACCCCCCATATGGCCAGTACCCGCCGGTGCCATTGTAACCGCCGTACTCCCGACAGCCGTACGGCTGGCCAACGCCACCATGTGGCCAGTAGGGCCCTCCATACGCCTGCTGCTGATGGTTACCGCTGCTACTGCTGCAGCTGCTGCAGTAGTACCCACCACCGTACTGCTGCTGCTGCTGGTGTTGGCTGCAGGGCTCATCATCCTCCACAGCGAGTGAGAGCAGCTCCCAGGGCAGTGCGGGAGGCGGTGGGGGCGGCGGCGGGGGCGGGGGCAACCGCCGAGGCCCAGCACGGCACTGCTGCGGCCGCTCTGCTTGCGACAGCGGCTGCTGCTGTTGCCCGCCTAGCTGGTGCAGATGCTTCGGCGCGGTGGTACTGCAGCTGGGTCCTGAGCCGTCCGTACGTGCCACAGAGACCGCGTGGCCCGCTGCCTGGGCATGCTGCTGTGGGCGCGAGGCTGGAACAGCAGCGTGTGTCGCATGCAAAGGTGTGGCATGAGGCCCTTGCCCTTTCGGCTTGGCAGGTCCGGCGCCCCGTGCCTCACATACGAGGGTTGAAGGTGCGTTTCCTGGGTGAGGGTTGCTGGCTTTTGGGACTGCTGTAATGGAGGTGCGGGCCGGGGGCTGCGGCTCGGCTTCAGGTCGCCCAGATGTGCTGGGAGTGGCTTGGCCGGGAACGGGGGTGGTTGAGGCCGGAGCGGGAGCACCCGTGCCGGTGTGCAGTTTGGGAGGGTTACTGGGTCTCCCGCAGGACAAGGCTGGGGGCCTCGGAGCAAGATCCCGGTGAGATGGGGGCTGCGTAACGTCCATACCGGCACTGATTCCATTACAGCTGCCGTGCTTGTCGAGCGCGTGAGCCTCTGCAGGCTGCTCACAGGAAGCTGCAGTACCAGGACTGTTGCTGACTGCCGGAGCCGTTGACACAGCATCTACCCGCGTCGCAGCTGGGGTTGAACCTAAACCCCTGTGTCATAGTGGTTTCGTTTACCGTTAGGAGGCATATAGCGACAGAGGCCAACCATGCGGCAACGAAATCGCTTACCCGTCCCCAACACCTTCACTGAAGGGAAATGAAGCATCATGGTAGTATTTATATTTTTGGACAGCCAGCAGGTATGATCTGCAAGCCGCGGCAGGCGCGACGTGAGTCGACATACGTTGTCGGCGGATGACCAAAAAACCAACAAGCGCAAGCGACGCATCTATATCAGCAAAGGATATCATCATCCGTAGCGACCACATACTTGACCAAAAGGTCGCTCGCCAGAGTCTCCAGTTGGCCCGGCATTCTTGCACGGTCGACGTCCAATACCAAAATTTGTTGATCCACACACGCGTTATGAGGAAAACATAAAAGAAGTTATGCCTAAGAAGATTTTTCAGGTGTGCTTATATTTGCAAGGCTTCACACCGAACACTTGTGTGTTGCAGACTTCTGGAAAGATAGCGCTCGTCGCCTAGCCCTTCCGACGCTAAACACACCAAGTTTAACATAACATTTTTTACACCGGGAACAGTTTACAGATCACACGACTCGTACGGCATCGTGCGATGAACGAGGCATCAAGCCAGGCGCTGCTTTACCATCGCTTCGTGAGCGACATCAGCAGGTCGAGGAACTCGAGGGGGTTTCCGTACCTATCCTTCCGCTTCTTGGGCTCATCCTGCAGCAGTAAATAAGCAGCACAAGCTCGCTACTCGCAACCACGGCTCCCATACAGGTACCCCTCTTTCCACCCCACCCCACCCCATGCACATCAGCGCATCACTCCCCACAACCAACCACCGGTATACGCTACACTCATTCTAAAACCAACCGCGTTCACGTCCCAACCCACCTAAATCTCTGCATACCCCCACCCACAAAATCCTCTTCCTTCCTCCTTTCTAGTGCTACCTCCTATCCTTTCATCTCCCCTCCCTCACCTTTCCCCTTCCCGCATCCCCCTCACCCCCCATCTCAAATCCCCCGTATAAAAAACTCACCGGCTTGGACACCGCCGCCAGCGCCGAGCGCCAGCCCACCAGCAGCGCCCCGTTCACCGCCAGACTGACCGCCACGAACGGCAGCGGCGGCACGTAGCCGCGCAGCAGCCCGCGCAGCAGCAACCCCGCGGGGATGCCCACCGCCCAGCACTTGGCGGCGGTGGTGGCGGCGGCGGGCACGCCCTTCTTGCGCGCCTCGGCTCCGAAACCACCCAGGAAGGGCGCGGTGGCGAACCAGGCTGGTGTGGTGCGGGGGAAGGGGGAGAGGAGGGAAATAAAACGAGGAACGAAGCAGAGAGGGGAGAGGGGCGGGGTGCACGGCAGGGACGACCGTTGAAGAAGGTAGAGTATCGGTGTGAAGGCAGAGAGCGGAGGAGCAGCTGAGAAGCAACGTAGGTGCACCAGCACACACAAATGCCCCTGAGCAGCGCTTCCTTACAGCCCGCCAAACACGAACCAGCACACCTCGCTGGCGCCCCACGAACCGCGGGTCCCCCCCACCCGCTGGCGCCCCCGTGTCCCTGCCTCCCTCCTCAGTGACCCCTTTCTCCCCCCCCCCACCAGCCTCCTCCCTCCGCCCCCACCTAGCACGAAGGGCAGGGCGGTGCTAATGGTCTCCGCACTCAGCGGCTCCCCGTGGTTGGCCCGCCCCGCCGCAGCGAACAGCGCCAGCGCAGCCAGGTCGCCCGCAGCCAGCAGGGCGGCGGACCTGCGGGGGGAAGGGGAGGGAGGGAGGGAAAGGAAGAATACCCAATGAGTTGGGGAAGGAGTTGCAGTGCGTCTCGTAACACCTCTTCAGGACACTGTTCGCTTTGCAACTCACTTCCAGTCGAACTCCTCCTCGCCCCGGTCCACACGCGCCACACCCGCCCAAGCCTGCTCTGACATGTTCTCCACACGCACGACCTGTGCGAGGGGGCGCAGCGCCGCGTGTGCGTGAGAGCACCGTAAGCACTTGGACACGTGGACTTGTGAGATCTCCTCGCCAAGCGAAGTTGACAGGCGGGTACAGGCAGGCAGGAGGCGGATCGCCTGTTCACGATTGTCGTACCTCAAGTGGCTGACCGTCAGGACCCAGAAGCACGTCGGGGCGTTGAGGCATGCCGGCGCCACGGCGTGGGGGAGGCATGGGCCGACCAGCGGCAGGGCGAGGTGCCGAAGCAGGTCTCGGCGGAGAAGCGGTTTGCGTTGGAGCGCTTCCCGGGCCACCCTCGCCAGCCTGAGCTCGAATTCCGAGCCGTGGATTGCAGCTGGAGAATGGGCGGGCCCTTCGAGAAGCGCAAGGCGTCACGTGCTTGCTGGTAAGCATGGTCCTTATCGGAGTCCTGGTGCGATGACAAGGATTGGAAAGAAGTAGGTGCAATTGAATTTTAATACCGCTTTTGCAGGGGCACAACGATGTAATGCGGTGCCTGGCTTCCTGCATAAGATGTCCTTGTGTCCGGTCCGTACAGAAAGGACGATTTTCCCATTCCGACAGGTGTCTAGCGGCAAGGTTCCCTTATATGCCCCTAAACGCTTCCTATTAATGTTTCTTTGAACACATCGCGCCAAGCCCCGCTTTTCTTCTTTGTGCTCAAGAAGTTGCCGTTCATGCCACAGTTAACACCTTACTAGCCTATTGGTGTCCTCGTAAATTTTGGGGCCCACTTGGCCCCGCCTGGCTTGGCCTGGCCACGCTTAGACCAACTCATAGTTGCATATTAGTAGGCCAAGAAAGACTTTTACCTTGTAGTTAGTTACCCAAATACCTGTTAGGGCTCTAGGCCACAGTATTAGCAACAGTCAAAAAAATGGTGCTCGCGGAGTTGGGAACACGCATTTCCAAGGCCATATCGTCGATGGGCCAGGCGATGATCATCGACGAGAAGGTCTTGGACAGCGTGCTAAAGGAGATTTGCACAGCCCTGCTGCAAGCGGATGTGAACGTCAAGCAGGTGGCAAACCTGCGCAACGGTGTGAAGAAGCGCGTAAACATAGCAGAGTTGGCGGCAGGGCTCAACAAGCAGCGAGTCATTGAAAAGGCCGTATTCGACGAGCTTTGTGATATGCTGGACAGCGGGACGGACCCCAAGAAGCTGGAGCTGAAGAAGGAGAAGGGCAAGCAGCAAACTGTCATGTTTGTAGGTCTGCAGGGCAGCGGTAAGACTACGACTTGCACGAAGTACGCGTACTTCTACAAGAAGAAAGGCTGGAAGCCTGCGCTGGTTTGCGCTGACACGTATCGCGCTGGCGCTTTCGATCAGCTCAAGCAGAATGCCACGAAGGCGCAGATCCCCTTCTACGGCAGCTACAAGGAGACCGACCCAGCGGCGATCGCGCAGCAGGGTGTCTTGCGGTTCAAGGAGGAGGGGAGAGACCTGATTATCGTGGATACCAGTGGCAGGCACAAGCAGGAGGCAGCGCTGTTCGAGGAGATGAAGCAGGTAGCGGCAGCAGTTGCGCCGGACCTGATCATCTTCGTCATGGACGGCAGCATAGGCCAGGCGGCGTTCGACCAGGCGAAGGCCTTCAAGGAGGCCGTCGAGGTCGGGGCCGTCATTGTGACGAAGCTCGACGGCCACGCCAAGGGTGGTGGTGCACTAAGTGCCGTCGCGGCCACCAAGTCGCCCATCATCTTCCTCGGCACGGGTATGTTCAGTAGTGGCATGGGGGGAGCGCATGGCTCTGGAGGATAGTACGGGAGTTAGGGAGACGGGACCCTTGCGTGCGTTTTGGAAGTCCGGGGGACGGCCAGAAGGCTACGTATGGTTTGCATGGGGGACGAGGGCATGTACACGTCAGATACCAGTAGACGACTTGGTGGTGGGTGATGTGGGGGGTCAGGAAAGGGGAACTAGGATCATGCGTTTCTTGAGCTTGCATGTGACGGAATGCTGTTGTGCCAGGGCGAAAAGTTTCACACGGTGCATCAGGCTAGTTCGATAGACGGACAGCGGCATAGGCGCATGCCCGTCAGGCGAGCGTACCGGTATCTTATGTCCAGCACCAGCAAGCCCCATCCTATGCTGCACCCTCAAATACGCCTTGACAACTCTTTGCCCGCTGCCGTCCGCCACAGGTGAGCACATGGACCAGTTCGAGTCGTTCGAGACCAAGCGGTTCGTGCAGCGGCTGCTGGGCAAGGGCGACGTGAGCGGGCTGATGGACAAGATCCAGGACGTCATCCCGGAGGACAAGCAGCCCGAGCTACTGGACACCATCTCCAAGGGCAACGTCACCATGCGCGTGCTGAAGGACATGTTCGAGAGCGTGCTGGAGCTGGGACCCATGAGCCAGGTAGGCGGCGGCGGGAAGGAATGGGGAGAGGCCCTTAGGACACGCGGACGGCACATGATGCAGGGCTGGATAATGCAGGGCTGCTGTTGTGGTAGTCGCGTGTTGCACAAATCGTACAGGGGCTCCTCATCATACCGTTGTCCGGAGCGTAACTCCGGGCTTAGAGAAAATCCGACCGCGCACCCGATTAGGAAGGCACGTGTTTTGGGTTGAGTGTCGACTGCCGTTAGCAGCATCCTGCGCATGGCATTATATCCTGCGCATGGCGTTGCTCCTACGCTTGCTAGCTTTAAGCCACCCATTCCAAAACCCCGACCTGCCCGCAGATGATGTCCATGCTGCCCGGCTTCAACAGCGAGCTGATGCCCAAGGGCAACGACAAGCAGAGCCAGATGATGATCAAGCGCTACATCACCATCATCGAGTCCATGACGGACAAGGAGATGGACACCAACAACATCAAGATGCTGCAGGAGACCTCCCGGGTCAACCGACTGGCCCGTGGGTCGGGCTCCTCCCCGCAGACGGTGCTGGCCCTGCTGGAGTCGTACAAGCACTACTCGAAATACGCGACGCAGGTACGCCGGCAGGCTGCGGGCTTCCTTTTAGGAGCCTGCTTACGTCGCTACGTGCTTTCGAGCTTAGTTGCCATCAGGGATGCTCCAGGCGTGGATGTGTCTGGTTGTATCCTGTATGTTTGCGTCCAGGCTTCATCGGGTTACGAGTCGTGTTTCCTTGTTTGTTCCGTCGCAGGCGCTCAAGGCGGCCAACCTGCCCAAGAACCTGAAGAACATGAAGGGCGACGTGCAGATGAACCCGCGGCAAATGCAGCAGGCCCTCAGCCAGATGGGCAAGGCGTTGCCGCCCAACCTGCTGCAGCAGCTGGGCGGCATGGGCGGCCTGCAGTCGATCATGAAGGGCCTCGACGGGAAGATGGGGGGTCTGGGTGGTTTGGGCGGCCTGGGCCGGAAGTGAGGGCGCTTAGCCGGGGGGGGGTTAAGTTAAGGTGGCGTCAGCAACATATGCGGAGTACAGACCTGTGGTTGTAGCTGTGCGCAGTCCAACCTCGGGGAAGCGACTGCGTTGCTTGGGACTAACTGCTGTGAGAGACCAAGAGCGTTGAAGTGAACGAGAGACGTTGTGCATTGAGTGTCGTGTGTTTTGCATGTAGCATATTAAACGAATTTAACTGGTCACGCGTGTCAGGCACTTCAGACCTCGAGGCTGCATTAGGTAATCATCCTAATGAAGGATTGGCTCGCGTAGGGTAGGCTTGGCTTATGGGCTTGCATGCAGGAGTCTGCTGAGAAGGTTCCCATGTAGTACAAGTTAAAAGCATGAGAATGGGCCGTAAGTTTCACAGTTGCTTGCTGCAGCGATGGCTGTTTCAGGAGATAGATATGGTTCAGGTACCATTGCTGAAGTTCTGGTGGCCGTACTGGTTAACCATACACGCAATCATGCGCAGACGCGCTATGTAAATCGTGGCCTGCTGTCCTATCCACCTCATGTGCATGTGCTAGGATACCCGTGCCCGAGTGGCTCAAACGACAACCTTGGCTGGAATCGAGGGAACTGTATTGGGTATGGGATGCGGCATCGTTCTCTGTGCAGACCGACTGAGGTAGGTACCAACTCATATCCCAACAGGTTTACAGGTGGCATGTGAAGGCCGCAAGCTTACGCCGAGGTGGCGGAGGCGGCGCCGCTGCGCAGGCGCTTCGCCAGCTGCACCTTGCTGATCTTGCGCTCCTTGGTGTCCTGCATGGCGGAAAGGGGAGAATATGTCAGCATACGGGCAGCTCACGGCACACTCCATGCGCAACTGGACTAAACAGTGGCATCCCCCGGTAGTTGCATGGCCAAGCAAAAACTTGGGTAAATTCCACTCCGTGGCAAGTGAAGCTGCTGATCATTGCCTATCCAGTCTGTCCATCCAGGCCAAATTGTAAGGCTCTAATTCCTCGCGCAACCTTGAGCCGCATACATTTAGCACATGCACATGAGGTGCGCGCCCCCTTATGGGCTGCAACTGAGCAAACACCGAGGGGTATCCTTAGCATGACGGACTTCAGCCTTGTAGGAACCCATATGCCCTAAAGAAACCTGCCCTGCATGTCATGCATGCACCTTTCCCTTTATGTGACGGCCTACACAGCCCAGGAGGTTAAAGCCCACAACTGACCTTCTCGGCCTTGACGCCCTCGGACTTCTCCGAGATCATGAGCTCAATGTGGCAGGGGGAGCTCATGTAGGGGTTCACGCGACCGTGCGCACGGTAGGTGCGGCGGCGCTGGCGCATGGCCCGGTTGACTTGGATGTGCGAGATGACGCAGTTGTCAATGTCCAGGCCCTTAACCTGTCGGGGGGAGAGAAGGAACGGCGCCATTTGAAGTTGCGCTAACTCTACCCCAGTGTGCCATAATAGTGAGGATGCAAGCCATAGAAACTCTAGCATCTTGGGTCCTGGAACTGCTTTGTAGCCATGCTAAATGCGTGCACCCTTGCTTCCCCGAAACACTGCGACGACGGAGACAAGTGCTGCCCCGAAGCTGGAGGGTCCGATGGGGGCAGGAGATGCAACCCAATAAGGGCAACAAAACGACTGGCCCCTGCGGATGCTGCAGGCGAGCTCTGTTGGGGCAGTGAAGCCGTCCGCCAAGGAAGCTGCGCTGCCACTGCTGCTGCTAATAAGCTGCTCGCTCCAGTCTCCAGGTCCGGTCTGAAAGGCCCACAGCGGCTCAAGGCTGTTCCATCCGTTCATTTCGCTACTATATTTTCACTGAATTTGTATGTAGACCCTCCCTGCGCTATGTACCTCAGCGTTGCTCTCCGCGTTCTTCAGGAGGTTGAGGATGAACTCAGCCGACTTGACCGGCCAGCGGCCCTGGCCGCCAGGGTTCCCCTCGTTCTTTGCCTGAGAGGTGCGGCCCACGGCGCCCTGGTACCGGCGGAAAGGAATGCAGCGCTTGTGCGCAATCACGTCCTCCAGGTACTTCTTGGCCTTGTTCAGGGACATCTTGCGCAGAGCAAAGGCGGTCTCCCTGGTGTTCTTGAAGTGAACACGCAGGTCAGACCCCTTGGCCTGCAGGATTGGGCATAGGAGGCGCGGACCATGCCGGCGCCAAAGTCAGTCTGCTTTGCTGTAAGGAAACACGAGCACTATATTGTTCTACTATTATTGCTTTTCCTAAATAGGTATGCGGTCCAACAGTGAGTAAGTAAGAGAGAGCGTGGGAAGGCAGAATGACGGCCGCAGCGCCGCACCTTAGCGCTCCTGTCCGCATTCTCCGGCTCACGCGCGTACTTGACCATTTTTGCGAGTAACGCGGCGTATAAGGCGCGACGAAAGAGAAAGGTCAGGTTTAGGACGGGCACCCTCTAGGCTGGGAGCCGCCCCCCAAATACGGCACTCGGCTCCGAATCCGTTCCCCGAAGCAGAGAACTTACTCACTAACACCCATGCTCACTATAGACTGCATACGAGATAACAATTACACAAGATACACGCTGAAACGTTCCGCTTTTTTTACTCCTTTTTTCCGAGTGACGTAGTAGGATACCAACGTAAGAGAGAGATGCAGTCGCTTCGGCCTCTGGCCGTGGCAGTGGCCTCGACTTCTGGCTCTGCCACAAGCGTTTTCCCAGTACTAGCAACGCAACTTGGTCGGCGCTTATATCACAAGAACGTTGTCGACCATTACGAGCGCCCGCGAAACGTAGGCTCTTTCGACAAAAGTGACCCCGACGTCGGCACCGGCCTGGTCGGAGCCCCAGCATGCGGTGACGTCATGAAGCTTCAGATAAAGGTGGACGAGGAGGGCAACATCGTCGATGCACGCTTCAAGACGTTTGGCTGTGGCTCGGCCATCGCTAGCAGCAGCGTGGCTACGGAGTGGGTCAAGGGCAAGTCCCTAGAAGAGGTTCTTAAGATCAAGAACAGCGACATCGCCAAGCACCTTAGCCTCCCACCTGTCAAGCTGCACTGCAGCATGCTGGCGGAGGACGCCATCAAGGCAGCTGTGAAGGATATCCAGGCCAAGCGGGCGGCCAAGTCTTAGGTGGAGCGTGTTGACCCTGAAAGGCTCTTTTACGTAAAGCCTTTTGACAAGCGGTTGTAGGTTGGGTGGTTTGCGGCACGGGTTTCCGGCCCTACTGTTCGTGAGGACCATGTTGGTGATTGGCGCACACGTGTTGCTCAGGGCTCTTTGGTAACGTTTTGCTGGATAGTGTTTGGGGGTGCTTCTGCCGTGCCATCATGTAGATTTTTCGGCCTTAGCATCATCATAGTTCGATGCTGCCCCAATTGGCAGGGATGGTGTTGGATGAGTTTATACCGTGCCTCCGCAGGGCTCCATGTAAAGTTTACGGCTTAGTCATATGGTGTGTTATGTTGCCCCAATAGGCACAGGGTATGTGATGCGTGGTTGCCGCATCCGTAGTGCAAATCGACATAGGTGGACACATAGTGTTACAGCAGGACGATGGCTTGGCTACAGCCAGGATATACGGCTGCCTTCCAGCCTGCTCGCTCGGATGCACGCTGTTGTAAAGTAGCTCGTCATGAGCATCACTACCTTGCAACTCCCCAAAACTCCGCCCCAACGACAATGCTACTGTCTATAACCATGAACTCCGCGTTACGGTCCCCAGCCGGAAGGCGGCAGCAAACCGGAAGGCGGAACAGTGCTGTTGCCGTTGTCCTACACTACCGCCTCCGTCCCAAACCCTGAGCTCTCCGCATGAAGTGCCAGCAACAGCTGCTTACTTCTTGGCCTCCAGAACCGCAGCGGCGTCCTGGTAGTCCACGACCGGCACCTGCATAAGGACACAACTCGGGTAGTTAGATACTGTAAAACAGCATGCAAGAGCGTGCAGCGCGTCCGTACGATCCAGGGGGACAAGGGGTGCTATGAGGAACGGAATTAGTCCGGGTCAGGGGCACGGGGCAGTTGACGCATGTGGGAAGAAGAACTAAGCCAAGCACAGCAAACGAATGCATCCGGGGTCCTGGCACACCGGTACACGAGTGATCACGGTACACGAAAAAGCGTGGTACCCACCGCATAGTCCGCAGGCACGTCCCACGGCTTGGTGCCTGGTGGGGGAGGGCGAGTAAAAACAATTTTCAACTTGTTAAACTTCAATCCGACTTCACACTGATCACACAGAAATCCACATGCATCAACCCTGCTTACCAGCAATGTAGGTGGCAAGGCGCGCCTCTTCCTTGCACTCCTTAATGAGCTCCTCCAAATGCGCGTCGAGCACCTCCTCAATCGCCGCGTCCGACTCGTTCTGCTGGCACACCTTAAGGCGGTACTGGCACGTAGCCTCCACAGCCTTCCGGTAATCAGAGGTCTCGGGTGCTGCCTTGATGGCGTTCAGCACCTCTGAGAGCGCCTCGACAAGCTTGCCGCGCGTTCCAGGCTCCTTGCTGAGATGGTCCCTAATGCCTACATACTTCTTTAGGGTCTCCCTGTTGCTGAAGTCTATCTCAACATCGGCCACCGCCTTAAAGCCACGGTTAAGCGCAACGGGAGTCACTCCGCAAGCAGCGCGGATGGTGCCTGGCAGAACGTTGCTAAGCTGCCTCAGCATGGTTATCGCGTAAAGCTCAGCGGCCTAGAAGTGGCAATGGACACGCCAAGCCGCCGTCCTCGGCTAATAAAGCAACCTAGCTGAGTCCTAAGCGAACGTGGCCTTACTTTTTTGTCCTCGCTAGCGTAGCACCTTGCACCTCCAATTGTACGACTTGTTACGGGGATACGACCTAGTCGACGATTAATGCAAAGGAAGCTAGCTCATTATTGGCTATTAATAGGGTTGAGCTATTGAACTTGCATGACACTCTTTATTTATCGGGATAAATTATCAACGGTTGACAGGGCAGGAACTGAGAGGAATGGCATGGGCACTCCTCGGGGCTCCATGTTGCCCTGTGCAAATAGTAATCTTTCAAATGCCTTGCAACGCAATCAGTGAGCCAGGCTGGGATTCTGGTCCGACCGTGCCTGTGGGATTCTGGTCCAGCGGGCCCGTGGGACCGCGTGGACAGGCGTGCGCAGCCCAGATAACCGCGCCTTGCAGCCATGGAAAATAGTTGTCAGCAGGCCCTGGAACAGCAAGTACAACAAGAAGAGGGCCTGCGAAGGCAGGGCTTGGGTCAACTCCCTTCCACCCACATACCAATTGTTTTTCCACCCAGAGCTCTGTTAGACTTTGGATATAAGGGTTCAGGGGTGGCGACAAGAGGCCAGGGGGGTTTGTGGCGGGACGGCTCCCTCCAAATACAACTGTGACGCCCATAACCTCAACCCACCTCCGCCTAACCCACAGCTGCTTAGCAAGTCGACACCTCCAGATCCAGAGGCGCTATGCGTGACATGCAACCCCTTACGCTACTACTCGAACTAGACAGGCGTGCACTTTGGCATGTTATGCCGTTATGCGCGGTGCAGCTATCTTGGTTCCCTTCCTCATGCCTTTGATTTGAGCACCTACTCGGCGCTGCTGCATCTGTGCGACGCGGCGTTAACGTATTAGCAGTATGCCATGCAAGTATGCCACGCGACCTTGCAGCTATTCAGAAATATGGCTCATGCGGGCGCAATGTGGACGAGGGCACGACGCTACGTCGCCCAACCGACGCTAACTGTCGTATGCACGGTAACCTTTATGCGTAAGTTGATCATCTGCTATGCCTTACCCAAATCGATGCAGGCCCTGACGCCCTCGCATGTGCGTTGCATGAGGCAGACACGCAATTAGACATTATTTCTCTACATCGCCGGTGTCTTGTGGAACACAGCCGTGCACAGGCTCTTTAAGCTCAGATGCGAGTCAGCACGTATTAAGCACTAAAGGTTCAACTGTTAGGGCAGTTTAATGGCGGCATCGCCGAGTAAACAAGTAAGGCGAACGCATGCTTCGCACCTTATGCATATGCACGTTGTCTGCAAAGGTTTATTGCGGTCATCCGGTGAACGGCAATAAGGATTTGCATCGGGATGCCAGCTTTTATCCAACAGTTTGGCCTTTTTGGGCTTTGCCACAGATCCGTCGACCGCCGGGCGGCCGGTTCCTTCCTTTCTTGCCGAAGGACAACCTAACATGGCAGGCAGATGAAGTGATCCGCTCAATCAACGACGACTTAGCACGCCTACTTAGCCTCCCTGCCGCGGAGTTCTGGTCGATTGTGAGGAGCGATGACTCGCTGCATGTGTGCCTTGACACCTACCTGCGCTACAAGAGGTGCGTAACCTGAAATGCGCAAAGGGGGAAGTGACCTTAAAGGCAAGGGTGGGGAGCACGGACCTTCTTGTGCATTTATTCAGCAGCCTCACTAGCATCCCACTCGGTGGCACTACGCGGCTTAGCACGCGCCCCTCGCCTCCTCTGCTCCTCCGTCGGGTGCCTTGCCACGTTTGACATGGTTTGCAGTTGCCGCAGTAGCCCCAGCCCGACCCCAATTACCCGTCATTCCCCCACTCCGCTGGGCCCGTACGGCATCCACAGGCGGGTGTACGACGATTTCCGAGAGGACGTGGAGGGCGCCTCCGCGCTGAGTCAGCAGCTGGCTCGCCGGGTGTTCATGGTGCTGCTGCGCATGTGAGCGGAGGGGCAGCAGGGGGCTAAGTAGATGGCGGGGCGGGAGTAACGAGGAGATCGAACCAAAAGCTGAGGCCCAGGAGCAGAAGGGAGGAGGAGTCGGCACGGGGGAGCCGTAGGCGGGGACAAAATTTGATCGAGGAGGGTGATCCCCATGACTCCGCTGGAAGTCTTGACCTGAACCCCCATACACCTGCCCCTCCCCCCAACCCCTCCCATGCAGGGTTACCCCCCGCGAGCGCGACCCCGGCGGCCCCCCTCGCGAGCAGCAGGCGCAGCTGCTGTACGACATGTGGCTGCTGGACGTACCCAAACTGATGGACGTTGCCGTACTGTACGGCACACACAACCGCCAGCTCACCCGCACCTTCCTCAGCCAGGTGTGTGGGGGGAAGCACACATACCCGATATGTGGCGATGCAGCGTACGGCATGAAACCTATGCACTGCTATACTTTCGTCACCACGCACCTCTTCCTGGCGCGGCACATACCGCACTCCCTGCTCTCTCCACTCCCCCCTCCCCTCGCATCCGCACGATCCCTAACAACATGTATATCCTAACCCTCCTCTCATCATCCTATCTGTATCTAGAATCCCTCGCCCCCCCCTTCCCTCGCCTCACCCCAGGTGTTCTCCCTGCAGCCCCGCTACCTCTCCGACCTGGCCTCCCTGGCGCCGCTGCTGGCGGGCAACCTGGCGGAGGTGGCGGCGCGGTGCGGGGCGGCGGCGGAGCGGGCGCTGCGGGCGGGGGCGGCGGCAGCGGGGGAGCAGGTCAAGGAGCTGAGAGGTGGGGTGCGGGGCCTGGGGCCTGGGGCGGGGCGGGAGGTCGACAGGGATGGCGTACTAAACACGCGTGTGCCCTCACATGCTGCTGTCTCCACATGCACCTCAACCCAACACACCTCTCCCCCCCAACGCCTCCCACCCTCCCCCAGACGCGGTAGACTACCTGCGAGACGCCACCGTCACACTCGCAGCATTCGTCTCCTGCTACAGCCCCGCAGCCGCCGCGCTGCTACAGCCGGATCACGGTGCCGTACTCTGCACACTGGCTGTCGTACACGATCGGCTACTGCCGCAGCTATCCAGGGTCTTCAGCAACGCAAGCAGCGGTGCTGCTACAGCTGCTACAGCTGCTGCTGGTGGCAGTAGCCGCGCTAGCGGGGGCCGGGATGGCGGCGGCGGCAGTAGCAGCATGGTGGACAAGCTAGCGCGTGTGGCGGTCTGCTGCCGCCGGCTGTCGTACCTGCTACTGCTGTACGGCAGTTGCGGGGCGGTTCCGCCGGCGGGGGAGGGAGCGGGCGGCAGCGGAGCGAGGACTTCACCTCAGGTGTGTGAGGCGGGGTAGGGGTAATGTTCATGGGCTACCTTACTCACGAGGCGCGACGAGTCATGGGGACTAGGGGGCTCAACATAACCCCTCCACCCAACGTTCCTAACCCTGCCCCCTCCCATGTCGGTCATCCCGCCGCAGGTGGCGGAGGCTCGCGGTCACGAGCTGATGTCGCTCCTGATGGCTGTGTCGTCCGCGGCCGGCGGGGCGGCATCCTCAGGCGCCACCGCCTCCGCAGCAGCGGCAGCGGCCGGAGCAGCAGCAGGAGCAGGCGGCGGAGGAGGCGGCGGAGGGCTGCTGGCGTTGGTGACGCGGGAGCACCAGCTGGATGCGGATGTGGCGGCGGCCGTGTTGGAGGTGAGGACATGGAGGGATGGGAGGGACGGCGGGGAGAGACGCGAGTAAGAGGAGACACTTGTGAGGGTTGACACTGGCAGGAGGGGTAAGGGGTGCTCCCTTCCTTGCCCTCACGTATGGTTTGGTTTTCCTCTAATCTCTTCCACGCCGCCAACCCCCCCCCACCTTCCCCCACTCCACCTTCCCCCACCCCACAGGGCCGGCTGCTGCTGGACGAGGCGCAGTTCGACTACCTGATGGCGCTCATCGGGGGTGACCCACGGGTCATGCAGCGACTCCGTAACGCCCCCAGCTCCTCCTCGGGCGCTGCTGCCGGCCCCAGCACCTCGGCTGCTGCCGGCCCCAGCACCTCCGCAGCTACCTCCGCCTCCGCTGCCTCTGCCCAGCGTGCCTCCCTGGTGAGTCAGATCAAGGACCTGCTACCGGACTACGGAGACGGCTTCCTGGCGGCGTGCTTGGAGGCGTACGGCAACAACCCCGAGCAGGTTATCAACGTGCTGCTGGAGGGCTCCCTGCCGCCCCACCTGGCCAAACTGGACAAGCAGCTCGCTACATGGGGAGGCGCAGAGCAGCAGCAGGGTGCCGCCGGCGCAGGTCCCTCAGGCTCCGGAGGCTCCGGAGCCGGCCCCTCAACATCATCCGCCGCGCCTCCTCCGGACGCCCTTGCCGCTATGTCTTCTTGGAACTCACTGGCGGGCCTGGCGGCGACGTCAGCGTCAGCGGCGGCGGCGGCGGCACGAAGTACGGCAGGTGTCGGCGGCGGCCCCTCCGGCTACTGGCGTACGGCAGCTGGCGGCGGCGGCGGCGGATCGCTGCATCGGGGCACACTGAAGGTTCTGGACCGAGTGGATAAGGACGTGAAGACGCTGACGTCACGACTGGGTGACGAACTGCAATGGGAGTACGACGATGAGTACGACGACTCATTCGATGATCTGGCGAACGGCGGCGCCGACGGCGTGGCTGACGTGGAGGGCGAGGATGAGGATGACGAGGGCGGCGGGGGAGGGCGGCCGCTGCGGCGGGGCCGCATGGGGTTGCCGGCGGGGGCTGCTGGGGGGCAGCAGCCCACGCGGTTGGGGATGTCGTCGACGTCGGCAGCGGCGTCGGCGTCGGCGTCGCGGTTGGCGGCGGCGGCGGCAGCGGCGTACGACGATGAGCCGAATGACGCGTCATACAACAGCCGGGGACCTGTGGTGTCGACAAGTGCCACGATCTCCCGAGGAGGAGCAGGAGGACAGCAGCAGCTGCAACAGCGGGGCGGTACGGCAGCGGCGGCGGTGTCACAACCGTCGTCGTCGTCAGCGGCGCGGGGTAGCGGCCGCCCGCCAGCGTCACCGGCAGGTGCTGCTGCCGCTGCTCCCGCCGCCGCCGCCAGTGCAGCGGCAGCCGCAGCGGCAGCACCCAAGCGTGCGCCCATGTTCGTCGGACAAGGCCCCCAAGCCTCCGCCGCTGCTTCTGGCGGCGGCGGCAGGGGTGCCCGGGGCGGCGGCGGAGGAGGAGCGGCGCCTCAGGGAGCAGTGGGCGGTCGTGGGGGCCGTGGCGGCGGAGGCGACAGCGGCCGGTTGTGGGTGCTTGACGGGCGCATTTACAACTACGCCAAGGAGGGGGCGCAGCAGGTGCACGGGCGGCAGGAGGCGGAGGCGGTGCTGGATGCGGCCAAGCAGGCGGCGATGGTGAGAGGGGAAACGGGGGCGGGGCTCTCTTGAAAAGAGGAATTCCTAGTAAGGAATCTTGGTATTCGGTCTTCTGAGGGTTCTTCAATGGGAAGCATTACTGGGCTCTGTAGACGTCATGTTGCAGCTGCCCGGTTGAGCTGCGGGTGCTGCTGTGTTGTGCGCTGCTGGGGGCGCCGCTGGCGACTGGCGCCCTGTCACTTGGCACTAAGGCACCAGCCTCTCCCCATCCGAGCTGCCCGTGTCCTCCGCCCGGACCGGCGCCTTCCCCTCCCCCCTCCCTCTATGGTCACAGTCAGTGTTTCCTTGCGGCTCAGTTTGCCTAATCCCCCCTCCCTCCGCGTCAGGCTATCCACGGCCTAGGTCCCGGCGGCAACAAGGGACTAATGCGGCAGCAGCAGCAGCAGCAGCAGCAGCAGCAGCAGGGGGGCGGCGGCAGTAGCAGCGATGACAGCGGGGACGAGGGGGCGGGCGGGCAGGCGGGCGGGTCGGGAGGGAGACATGGGGGAGGGAGAGGGGGAGGAGGCGGCGGCGGGGGACGGGGCGGCGGCGGCGGCGGCGGTCGCGGCGGCGGGGGCGGCGACGCGCGGCAGCACGACAGGAAGGAGAAGAACAAGGCGGCTGTTGCCAACCACCACCGGAAAGACCGAGCGCTGCGGAAGCAGGGGATGTTGTAGGAGGATGGAGGATGCTGGGTGCCCCGGTGTGGGAGGTGCCTAGGTCCCACTGGGTGTGTGTGCCCCCTAGGACGGGGGTGTGGGGGACGTGAGCGAGGCTGCGGGGTGAGGTACCGTAGCACTTCGGCCGTGTTGCCGGTGTTGACAATGTGGGCACATGAAGGCACACACACGTCTTCGTCACGTGAAGTGCTGGCCTTCCATGTTTTGACCGAGAGGGGCACTCCTTGGCAGCATGTCACCGAGGGGCATTACCGCAATCAACCAATGTAAGGGTTGCCGGCAGTGGGCAGGTGTATCGTGCAGCGCTTGGCAAGTTTACCAGTGCGGCAGGGCATGCGGCAGAACCCCAGTTGACCGGCACTGCCGAATCATGTGCAATCCATCGCGCTGATGCAGCTTTACTACCGGTATGTTGGCATGGGATACAGGGTGTCTACAAAGTTGCAACAGCCTTTGACTCGCATCCTGCACACCTGAACACCAATGGGGTCGTAGTGCCGTTCTTCTGCCCCGCAACAGCAACATCCCGCGCCTCCTTCCAATTCCATCAGCGATACCGTCCCCCAGATCCTGTGCATCCCCCAGGTCCGAACCTCCCTTCATGCGCTCTCGTTGCCACTCTCGCTACCGCCATCCCCCCCACTGCTGCCCTCGCTGTCACTGCCGCTGCTGCTGCCGCTGCTCGCCTCACCGCTACTGCTACTGCTGCTGCTGCCACCCCCAGCACCTGCACGAAGACCCTCCACAACGACAGCAGCAGTCTCCACACCCCCAGCTGCAACCCCAGCAGCCGCGACGTCAGAAGGCCCCTGCAGCTCATCTTCGCCACGGCCCCTTGCTTCCCGCCGCCCACCATGCTTCCGCCTCCGCTCCCGACTATCCTCCCGTTCCCTCTCCCGTTCCCGCTCCTTCTCCCCACCGCGGCCGCGGCTGTAGCTGCGGCTGCGACTGCGCTCCCGTCGCCGCCGTTTGCTTCGTTCCCGCTCCCGCTCGTGCTCCCGCTCATGCTCCCGCATCTCATCATCGCTAGAGCGGTCTCGGCGACTGCCGTGCTTGCGTGAGCGCCCTCCCTCGCCCTTCCCCCGCTCCTCACTCCTGTCTCGCCCGCGCTCTCGCTCCTTCTCGCCCTCGCGCCGACTGGACTTCCGCTCCTTGCGCTCCTTCTTACTCTTCTTCTCCTTCTTCTCCTTCTTCCCGTCCTTCTTACTGCGCTTGCGCTCCTTCTCCTTGCTCCGCTTCTTCCGCTTCGTCTTCTTCTTATCCCGGTCCCTGTCCCGATCCCGATCCCCTTCCTTGTCGCGCCCTTTCGTCTTCCCGCGACTGTGCTTCTGAAACAAGCTAAGCGCTGCGCGAATCCGCTCCTGAACCTCCGGGTCCACCGAACCCAGGATACCTCCGCCCCCAGGGCCCATTACATGGGATCCCACACCGCCGCCGCCGCCGCCTGCCTGCAATGGCGGTTGCGCTGGCGCCGTCAGCTGCTGCTGCAGCTCCGCCGCCTGACGCCCCTCCCGGGCCTCCTGGGCCTTGCGGGCAGCCACCTCCTGAGCCCGCATGAGTGCCTCGGCGAGCGACTTGGCGGGGCCCGGCGCAGCAGCGCCAGCACTACCGGCAGCAGGAGCAGCAGCGGCGTCGGGTTTGGGTTCTGTACTGTCGCCGCCGCCGCCGCCGCCGTTCGGCTGTTGTTGCTGCTGGACTTTCCCTTGTTCCTTCTCTCCCTCCTCCTCCTCCTCTGAGTCGGCTTCAAAGATGGCGGCAAAGAGGTCCAAAGGCCGCTCCAGGGGAGCCATCTCAGCCACCATCACTTCCTCAGCAGCCGCCGCTTCCGCAGCTGCCGCTCCCGACCCATGACCCATGGGTCCGCCAGGTGCAGCAGCCGCCGCTGAGGACGCAGACGGCGGGAAGGCCTGAGGTGGCGGCAACTGGGGGGGCTGCGGAGCAAGGTACTGCGGCTGCGCGGCCGCATGCGGGAGCCCGGCAGGCGGAAGCGGAGGAGGGGGAGGAAGCACGAGTTGCTGCGGTGCGGAGGCGGATTGCAGCGCCGTGGGAGGCGGTATCTGTGGTGGGTGCTGCGCTGGGATTGCCCTTCCTCCTGCGGGTCCCTCCCGCGGAGCCTCTCCCGCTCCGCCGCTTCTGGGGGCGAAGAGGCTCTGACCGAAGTTGGAGAGGAAGGCGGCGGCGGCGTCGGTGGCAGAGGCAGCGGCGGATGGGGACTGTAGGTGTGGTGGCGGCGGTAATGGTGGTGGAGGTCCTGGCGGCGGCGGGGCGTGTGGAAGTGGAGCTGGTAGTGGCGGCGGCGGCGGGAAGGCAGCGGGCGGTCGGGGCAGGGGTAGCGGCGGGGGCGGCGGGAATGGGGCGTGAGGTGGCTGGGCAAAGTGCGGCGGTAGCGGCGGCGGCGGCAGTGACGTGGCTCCAGCCGACATGGCGACTGCCGTGGCGGCGGCTATGGATGCGGTTGCGGAAGCGATGCCGGCGGAAACAGCGGGGACAGCGGGGACTCCCATCAAGCCGAGTGGCGGCAGCGGCGGTGGTGGCGGCAGTGCTGCTGGCGGCGGCGGCGGCGGCAGCTGGCTGGCCGTCTCCGGCAGCAGCAGCTGGTCAGTTTTAAAGCGAGGGCCCTGTTGCGGCGGCGGTTTCCCCTTGTACGGATCTGGCACATTAAACCGTCTGCACAGCAGCGGCTCCGGCCGCCAGTCCTCAACCGTACGAACAGGCTCCTGGCGGACCTCCCCTCCTCCTGCTCCGCCGCCGCCGCCGTCAGTCCCCGCCGCGGAGCCCCCCTCCGCCTTGCCTGCCTGCTGCAGCCCACCGGCTCCGTCGGGTTGCAGTACGGCAGTGTCGGCGGAGGTGCCGCCGGTGAAGCGGGACAGGAAGGCGGCGGCGGCAGCGGCGGCGGCGGCAGCGTGCTTTCCGCCGGGCCGCAAGCCCACTGCAGGTACGGCGCTGGCGGAGGTACCGGCGGCGGAGGCGCCGTCGGCCGCCAAGTCCTGCGTCTCCCCGCGTACGAAGTTGCTGTTCAGCAGCGCCGCCAGCTGCCGCCGGTCCGCCTCCGCCACACCGGCGGCGGCGGCGGCAGCGGAGCCCGCTACTGCCACTGCCGCCGCCGTCACTGCTACGGCCGTGCTACCGCCGGGGCCGCTGCTTGCTGCCAACAGCGTTGCCGCGGCCGCCGCCGCCGCCGTGACAGCAGCAGGGGGTGCGGCTGCGGGTGCGGGCAGGGGCTGCTCGCCGAGAAGAGCCATGCGGTCATCCACGGTTAGGGGCCGGCCGGGCCGCCCCCCTGCAGCAGCACCAGCAGCAGCGGCACCAGCGGGCTGTGCGGCTTGCGGGGCTGCGGTGCCCGCGTTCACCGCTGCTAGAGCGTTCTGTGAGGAGGAGGAGGAGGAGGAGGAGGAGGAGGGAAGGCGGCAGGATAGGTTAGGTGTTGCTAAAAGCCATAGTGTCGTCGTTTAAACGGACAGCGCAGTGCGGCGCGTGCATTCACTCTTGTAGCAACAGCAACAACAGGCATGTAGACCCGTAAGGCGTGCGAGTGCCTTCAGCCACGGACGCCTTGCGCGCCCCTCGCTCCACAGCCTCCCACCGGCCCCATGCAACCCACCCACCCACCCACCGCGGCCCACTTGCAACCCACCCGTATCCGGTGCAGGCGCCACAGGTAGTACGACAAGCCCTCCCCAGTCACCAGGAAGCTGTACTTGGTCCGCCCGCCGCCGCCTGCTTCCCCTCCTCCCCCTCCTGCTCCTCCTTGCCCCCCTGCCCCTTCCCTCGCTGCCCCCTGCTGCGCCTGCACCGCCTGCTTCCGCGCAATCTCCTCCAGCTGCGGCCCGCTCCGCGCCACCATCGCCGCTAGCACCTCAATCTCACGGCGGAGATCCGGATCCGAAGGAGGCGGAGCCTCCGGTGGCGGCGGCGCCGCCGCCGCCGCCGTCGCGCCCTCCTGTCGTACATTTGTCGCCGCCGCCGTCAGCGCTGCGCGCGTGAGGGTGACGACGTGGCGTCCGGTGAAGTCCGAGGGGACGTCAGGGGGCGGGAAGGCGGCGGGCGGCTGCACGATTCCGGAGGCGGAGGAGGAGGCGGAGGGGTGGAAGTTGGGGATGAGGGAGTCGGGTCGGCGGCTGAGGGGGGCGTGGTGGCGGCCGGTGAGCAGCAGGGGCGGCGCGGCGGAGGGGCCGGAGCCGAGCAGCAGGGGCGGGCGGCGCCTGGGTGGTGTGGTCGGAGGAAGGGGAAGGGAGAGGGTAAGGAGAGGGTAGGGAGAGGGTACTGGCGAACAGGAGGGAATACCGCTACGTAGCATGAGGCAGCCCGCGCCCCACAGCTCCGACTACACCACCGCTGCCTCCCCTTCCTTCCCCTTTGCAACCTCTATTACAATAGCCCCCTTCCCCCTCCCCAACTCACCCGAACGGCCCCCCTCGCGCCCCTCCCGCCTCCTCCTCCTCCTCGCCCTCCGACACCACCTCGTACGACAGCGCCAGCCGCTCCCAGTGCTTCGCCACCCCTCCCCTGCTGCCCCCTCCTCCTCCCTTGCCTCCTCCTCCCCCTCCGCCGCCTGCCTCCAGAGCCAGCAGCGCCCCCTGCCCCATGCGACCTCCCCGCCCTCCCCCCCCTCCCGCCCCTGGCCCCCGCTCCAGCGCCATCAGCTCCTCCTCCTGCTCCCCCACATAGTCCTCCAGGTAGCCGAACGTGTCCGTCTCCTCCAGGGCGCCTGGGGGGGGGTGAGGGTGAGGGGTGTAGCGGAGGACACTAGCAAGCGGACCCGCAGCCGCCTCCCTACCTCCCACCTAGAGTATCGACAGCATCCCTTGCCTGCCTTCCTCTTCCCTGCCTTCCCCTTCCCAGTCAATCACATGCCCATGAGGCCCACCCCGCCCCATCCGCCCACCTGTCCCAAACGCGATGCGCCCACGCCGCTTCGCCGCCGCCGCAGCAGCAGCGCCTCCCGGCCCCTGCTGCCCCCCTGCTGCCCCGCCTGCTGCCCCTGCTCCTGCCCCCATGCCGCCCCCGCCGCCCCCCTCCTCCGCCCTCCTCCTCTTGGCCGCTTGTCGGAACTCCTCCGCACCCGCGAAGGGGTCGAACCCCAGGCCGTGCCGGTCGTGCTGCGCGTGGGAGGAGGGGGCGGGGAGGTTTAAAAGGAAACGATTAACGAACCGTCTGATAAGGCGTCATCATGGTTTGGGGTGGTGTGGGGTCGTGGTTGGCGGACGCGGATCTATGGTGTTGCTCGCGACAGGATGTAGCTGCGTGCAATACTGCAGAGCAACATGAGCGGGGGAGGCGACTGCTGCCGCGCCCGAGTACGGCACACACACACCCTGTCCAGCTCCACCTCCTAGCTTCTTCCAACACACACACACGCCCCCCAGGGCTCCTTCCATTCCTCCCTGACACCCACACCGCCGTTTCTCTCCCCCCCCCCTTCACCCAGCCCCCCCCCCCAGCCCCATACCTTGGGCTCCAGCACGTACAGCGGGGTGTTGTCACCACTCAGCCCCGCCTCGCGACCCCACTTGCCGCCCCCACCGCCCCCGCCGGCCTCCGCGGGGGCCCGGCTGGGGGCGGCGGGGGCCAGCCCGCGACCCGGCCGCCAGCCCAGCTTCTGGAGCAAACGCATGCCTGCGGGGGGGCGGGGGGTTGGGGAGGAGAGGGGCACCGGGGAAGGGGGGCAGGAATGGAGGGCAGGAGGAGGGCAGGAGTGGAGGTAGAGTAAGAGAAGAGGGCCAGAGCTCATGTGAGGGGCGTGGTCACCATTGGACGGTACGTAGGGCTGCGGGCGGAGAGCACAGCCCACCACCGCTCGTGCACTGTAGCGAGTGTACGGCACCGGGCCGCGTGGCAAGCCTCCCTCCCCCTTCCCCCCCACCCACCCACTCCCTCCGCCACCGGCACCACCAGCTCCTCGATGACGGGACCCGGGATGAGGCTGGGGCGAGCGGAGGCATCGCGGGCGGCGGCGGCGCGGGCGGCCTCAGCGGCACCCGTACCGAAGGTGTCGTACTCGTCCTGGGGTGCCGAGGGCGGGGGTTGGGTGGGTGGGGTAAGGGTCGGTGCTCCATTAGGGCTCAGCTGCATTGCACCCTGTCTTTCCTCACCCGCACTCCCAGCACCGTCCTAGCCCCTAGCCCCTCCCCCTCCTGCCCCCTGTCCCTCCCCACTCCCCCTCCCCTCACCCGCACTGCCACCACGGTCCGCGCCCGCTCCTCCCTCATCCCGCCCCCTGTCTCTCCCCCCTTCCCCCCTCACCCGCACTGCCACCACGGTCCGCGCCCGCTCCTCCCGCTCGTCCTCGTCCAGGAAGTCCTCCACCTGCTGCGGGCGGGCGGGCTGCTGGCGGGAGGAGCGGGAGCTCTTGAAGGAGGCGGGCTGGAAACCCTCCTGTGGGCGGGAGGGAGGAGGGAGGGAGGAGGGAGGGAGGGAGGGGAGAGGGCGGAGGGAGGGAGGGAGGGAGGGAGGGGGCGGAGCGGGGTGCATGAGGGCAGGGCGGGATTGGAGTGCATGTGGGTGTTGCAGGGTGCAGATCCAAGATGGGAAATAAGGAATATGGCTCTTCTAGCGTGCAGCAACCTATAGGATGCGGCCAGATAGGAAGACAGCACAAAGTAAGCGGCGAGAATGGTGTGTGCGGCATGCGTGCAGGGAGCCTGGATGGGGGCATGCAATGCGCCAGCCATCTACAGGCGGTTGAGTGTTGCGCAACCCGTGATGGAATGCGATGCGCTGTTGGCTGAAGGCACCCACCGCGCTGCCAACAGTGTTGTAGTATCCTGCACTAAAGCCGCCGGTGAATGCACCATGGAAGCGCTTTCGCCCTTGCTCATCGGTCGCCTCTTGCTTCCAGATCGGTAGAGTTCGGAGCTGCGCAGCATCTTTCACTGGCCTTCGGTACTGGTTAGCCCTGCCTTCCTGCTCATCTTCCAACGGTGTCCCGTAGAAGTGGTAATCCTCATCCTCTGCGTCTGCCATGATCGTCAATTTGTATGGATGACTATGACGTTTATCTACTAGTGGTCATCGTTGGTAGGAGTACGCAAACAGGTCTCAACGAACGAAGAGGTTGGCGATTCTGAGATGTTGTAGCAAGACAATTGCAGCTCTAAAATGCAAGTACCGACGTATTCCTCTAATATAGTACCCAAACCGTGCATGGGTCAACGGGCTGGCGCACTGCGCAGGATTCGGACGGAGTCTCTGTACGAAGTTTCGGAGCCGCGTGGAACGAGTCCTGTGGTGCTGTCAAAGTTATCTATCTTACCGGTTTGCCTTGTATGAATATTTACCCTTTTGACCTTACTGTCAGCAATGGTTATTGAGCAGGATCTGCCGCGTGTACGGCACGGGAGAGGGCGGAGCGGTTGAAACATGGCAACGTCCCTATAGGTGTTACTACGCTGTGGCTGCTAAGCCCCCGTAACAACATCAGTGCAGCATAGTATCATACCCGCGGCGCCCATACCCCAGCTGGTGAGACACCCTCCGTAAAAACATTATTAGGTCAGACGCTGTGGCTTCTGGACACAGCAGCCAAGAACAGCCCATCACGTTGCTGCAGTAAGCTGCCACCTGCATATGTGACTAGACAAGGAAAAGGGAAGGCTGCAGCGCAACGGATAGCCGTGTTACAAGCCCGCATGTGCCGGTCGGGTTACCGTACACCCAAAGTCGAGGATCATCCTGACGCGTGCAACACAAACTTTGCCAGGGAAACTCACAGGCCTCCTCTTGTAAGCCCTCAACCGCCAGTTTGAAGGTCAAAAGAGCAGAATGCATAAAGTGAGAAGCAAGCAAGCAACAGTTCAAAGATAATGCAACGGGCTTGACACCCTCAACAATAAGACACATCGAGTATACCGTAAGCAACCAACAAGTGGAAAGGATTCTTGACTGTGGATAACGGCAGGTGCAAGATTCCGTATTTATCTACTGCGCTAGGGTAGTCAGGTAGTCCTTCTGTCAGCTATCCTGTCCAAGGCACACAACAGACCCGTGACTGCCTGTCTCACAGTGGGCCACACGCGACGAAACCCAGACCATAAGCCCTCCGGCAGCAGGTGCCGTACATAACAGCGTGCTCCTGCCAATAGTGCCGTCCTTATCAAGCACGTCGCCCCGATGTGATGCTTGAAGCCGCGGGCCTTCAGAAGTCGAGATCGCCTGTTGCATATGCCCCACTCATACCACGTTAATCGACTCGATCCGGCTGCAATGACTTGCAGCGACACTCCTCGGCCCACTTCTTATGCCCCTAGAAAGGAATGGCGCATAAGAGAATACGAACCATGCTTCGCTCAATACCGCTAACTGCCTCCGCACACACAAACATGCAGCTCCAATTTCCAACCGCCTTCGACTTAAGCCCTGCATGCAGCATTGGGGGCAGAAAATAAACCGTCCGAATAGCATACAAGTAAGGTCCGGTCCGTCCATTACTAATCTATTGGCAAACCGTGTTCATGCGTCCGTATAGTGGTTAGTCCATTATATGACATGTCCCCTGCTCATTCGGCGAGTGGGTCCTTCCACTGGGAAATGGCTCCCTAGCCAACTTCAGTAACCTAACAGCGCATGACTCCTACAGATGCGCCGCCCAGTTCCAAACAAACATACTTCCAACCGTCAACGAACACCAACTGCAGCCCCCAACGGTATGAACGACCCGCCGTACAACCGCGAAGCACCGCTGTACGTCACCCTCGCCTTCGAACCCAGCTGCCCACCGCATGCATTTGGCTACGTTGCATGCGCCATTGTCAACCTGTTAACCGGCAATCAACGTCTCCTCCTCCACTCAGGTCAAAGTCGTACGACGGCACAGCAATTTATAATTATTTAAAACGCTAATCTACAGCTTGACAATCCCCTAATCTGTTCCAGATGCAAACACTGCATGACCCTGGCGACTGCATGTCCTCCGTATAGCCGGTGCCGCGTGCATGCCCGACTGCATGCAGGCCCCTTTATTACCGTATATTCAGTTCCAACGGCCAACGGCCCAACTCCCACTGAAGTCACAATGAAGTAAGCAGTACAGCACAGCTTGCCTTTAAAACCAACCCCACACCACACGTCCTTCCAAGCCAAGTTACCGGTACGGTAACGGGTTGTGTCGCTCCCGGCCCGCACCCCACCTGCCCACCGCCGAGCAAACCGCATCCGCATGCAAGGTGCCCACACACGCACGCACCCGCGGCCCGTTTCCCTAACGCATATAGGGCCCTGTGTGTTGCTTCAACACACCGGCCCGGCCGGAGGAAACACCAACCAACGCAGTGCAAGACGGCAGCAGCCCACCGAGTAGTCCCTCCGCGCTTCCTCCCAAACGCTGTACACAAGCATTACACCGGCATGTGCCCCAATACCAAAAGACGCAACAAACCGCATGAGCTGGGGGTACCGGATAAGCTTTCCCTGTCCAAGTAATGAACCTCCTGTCCGTCCGTCATGCTCATTCCACTTATCGGCGGCAGCAACAGTAACAAACAGCAGAAGTAACAAGTTCAGGACATACATGTTATTATCGTACTCCCAGACCAAGCCAGGCCAACCACCGAGCAACGGCCAACAAGGTTATAGGTCCCATGCCGCCACCCCACCCGGCACTGCAACTGACCAACGACAGCAGCGCCGGGGACAAGGGGCGTGTGCCCGGGAAACGTCCACTCCGCACAACCACCCGCTTTACTGGCACTGTGCACCGTGTGTCAGGTGCCTATCCTCGTGTTGTTGTTGCTGCGTGTTGGAATGGCAAGATGATGCACCACAGACGGACGCTGTCTCTGCAAGGGTGGGTTGCTGCCTTCTGCTGCCGATGTTATTGCGTTTGAACATCAGAACATCAAAACAAACAACAGCAGCAGTAGTAGGATGAATGGCGCGAACCCAGCGCTAAGAGCGCTAGAAGCATGCCCGGGGTACGTGTGAGGCAAGACGGAGTGAAGGCGTGCAGGCAGCAGCCAACCAAATGCGCGCTCATTGCGTAATGCTTACTACCTCCCCAATACTCGAGAACGTCCCTCCAAAACCTATATAAACATTGACTCGACACAATTCGACACAATTCGGCAAACAACAAAAAATGTAATAGGAATTTTATCATTATGGGCCCGAAGCATTAAGTACAAGATGCAAGGTGTTTGCAGTACAGACAGCATCAATCCAGATCGTCCCTTGACCCAGATCCCTCCTCCTCCTCTTCATACATACCATCCCAACCATGACCGCATTGATACCGCAAGTTCTCGTCCAAATTCTCGTCGGATAGCGCATCCCGTCGGTGCAGCAATCTCCAAGCCGTCAAGATGAAGCCGAAAACAGTCGCGACTGACAAACGCCTTAGAAGTCAAACCATCAGAAGTCCCGCAGCAATTCCGCATGTTGCTGCTGCCGCTGCAGCAGCCGCGCTGCTTCCTGCTGCTGCTGCTGCTGTTGCAGCCCCGCCGCCTGCTGCTGCCCTGTCCCCACCGCTCCCAGCACTGCTCCTGACTGCCCCCCTCTCCCCGCCTCCTGCACCCGCGAGCTGTGGTCCCAGTACCCGAAGAAGCAGGCGACTGACTCCGCCTCCTGGTCCTCCGACAGGGACACCTCCTGCTCACATGGGGTAGGGTGGGGGTGGGTTGAGGTGGGTTGGGTTGGGGTAGGCGGGGCAGGGAGGTACGCATGCACGGGGGTGGTGGTTATGGGTATCAGGGGTTGGAGGGTTGCATGCTCACGCCTGGCACATGCACACGAAGTCAGGAACGCAGGAGTGTTAAGAAAACTGGACGCAGGTGTGTCCGCGGGCAAACCTGCGGCGGGTCCGCGGCGCCACCCGCTCCCTCACCCACTTCACACACCAGTTGGCATCCTCCCTCCCTCCTGCCACCCCCTATCCCAATTGCTTTGCCCCAACCTGTAGTTTCTACGGTTCGGTATGGCCTTTGTCCCCCTAACCACCCTCCCTCCCCACCACCCCACCTGCAGCGGGTGCGGGGGCGGCATGCGGCGCTCCTCGTAGGCGTCCCAGTCGAAGCCCTGGGGGCAGGGGGGTGGGAATGGGGGCCTCAGTGAGTAAAGAGGTGAAGAGGAAAAAACGGACGAGTGGAGTGGGGGGTCAGGGGCGGGGGCTGAAAGGAGACGACGACGAAGATCGAGGCCAGCGAGGCCAGCGAGGCCAGCTGGGTACAGTAAAGCAGTACCGTAACCACGCACAGCAGTGGGTCTGGTATGCAGCTGCGGCTGAAGGCCCCAAGTGACGCTTGCCAGCCGCTTGTGCGCACCGACCCCAGACCAACGTGTCCTCCAACGTCCTACAACCTCCCATGCCCCCATCCCGCCCCGCCCCACCCCACCCAACCACCCCGCCCCACCTCAAAGAACGGGTGCGCCATCACCTCCGCCGCATCCCCCCCGCCGCACCCCAACCGCCACCGAGGCTGCCGTACCAGCAACCGCCGCACCAGATCCCGCGCCGCAGGACTCAGGTACAGCGGCAGGGGGGGCTCGTGGCGCGGGTTGAGTATGCGTGCCAGCAGGCGACCCGGCTGCTGCTCACCTCCCCCCGCTGCCGCCGCCTCCTCCTCCTCGGGCGGGCTGAAGGGCTTGGTGCCGGTGAGCAGCACGTACAGCAGCACCCCCAGAGACCACCAGTCCACACTGAGGCCGTAGGAGCCGAATGCGGGCGGGGTGGGGGTGGCGGCAGGGGTGGGGGTAGGAGGAGGAGCAGGAGTGGCGGCTGCCCCGCGGTGCCGTAGCAGCAGCAGCGGCCCCCCTCGCGGGTTGCGGGGCGGTGTGGCGTCAGCGGCGTCAAGAGGGGTCGCCGCGGGGGTGTCTGGGAGGCCCTTGCCGCGGCCGCCCCTTCGGAGCAGCTGAGAGCACTCGATCTTGACCACCTCGGGAGCCTGAGTGTGGGAGGGGGAGGGGGAGCGGGAGCGGGAGCGGGAGGGGGAAGGGGCATGGGCAAGAGCAGGCAGGGGTCAGGTCAGGCCAGGGTTGAGGTGGCCTAGGGTTGGGGACTAGGGGTGCTGCAGCCACACCTCCACCCAACTACCGGTACCCAGACCTCCCTTCCCCCCCGCCCTCTCCCCCGCCCCCGCCCCCCTCCCCCACCATGTAGTCCAGGGTGCCGCACGCGGAGGTGGCCCGACCCATGGGTCCGTCCAGCACCTTGGCCAGCCCAAAGTCCGCCAGACGCGGGTAGCCGCAGCGGTCGATCAGCACGTTGCCGGGCTTCAGGTCGCGGTACACGATGAAGCGCGCATGCAGCTCCTGAGGAGGGGGGGAGGGAGAAGGAGGATGGAGGGAGGATGGAGGAGGAGGGAGAAGGAGGATACCGGTCCAACCGGTGCCCTATGTGTGGAATGATAACGGCAAACAAGACGACAAGCTCCTGGTGAATGGAGGGAGGTCAAAGAAATGCCGCCAAACCACAAGTGAGGAGGGAGAAGGGAGGGACAGGAGAGGGGGGTAGGCAGCGGGGTGCGCAGCAGTGGTCACAGGGAGAAGGAGAGGCAAAGGAGGTTACACCAGGTGGGCAATAGCACCAAGCCTGCCAGCCCCGCACACCACCACCTGCAGCGCCCGCACCACCCCGGCCGCGTAGAACCGCACCGCCGCCTCCGCCATGCCCCGCCACGCCGTCTGCGGCCCCGCCACCACCTGCGCCAGCCAGCTGCGACGCGGCACCAGCGTCTTGCGGGTGAGGCAGCGCGTGAGGCGCTCCAGGTCGCCCCCCGGGCAGTACTCCAGCAGCAGGTAAAAGTACTGCTCGTCCTGGGGGGCGAGTTTACGGTGTGTGTGGGGGGGGGGAGGGGGGGAAAGAGGAACCGACAAACGTCCGTGTGATAAGGCGTCATCATGGTTTGCAACTACATGCGAGCCAGCCCGACCCGCCCAGCCCGAATTAGCCAAGCCGTACGTGAAATGGGTGGATTGGGTGGGGTAATAAATTGGGGTACCGTATTACGAGGGGACGGGGGTGAAGGAGAAGGCACCCAATTGATGGCTCCCCCTGCCCAAACCGTCTCAGCTCAGGCCGCACCTGGAAGGTGCCCAGCTGCCGTACACAGAAGGCCGTACCAGCTCCCTTTCGCAGCACCTGCCGCCGCCCCTGCCTCCGCTGCTGCTGCTGCTGGGTCTGCGTCTGCGAGGCGCATCGGTGCGGCGAAGCAGCCGAGCAAGCAGCGGACGCAACCTGCGAGGGAGATAACGCTGCGGAGGAGGCGGCCGCTGATGGGGAGGCCGCTGCTTCTGCGGGATCCCGAGGTGAGGGTGGTGCGGGTGCCTGCACCCTGCCCGGCAACCTGCCCAGCGCCCGCTGCTTGGCCAACCAGGATGCACGAGCGGGACTCGGGGAGGAAGCAGCAGCAGCACCACCACCTCCGCCACCGCCTCCCTGACCCCCAGCGGCTGCTGCCGCTGCCGTACAGAATCGGCAGTAGCAGGGTCGCTGCGGCTGCTGCTGTCGCCCGCCCGCTGCTGCTGCTGCTGCTGCCAGGGCTGCTGCGCACTGCCCACCCGGGAGCGCTCCACTGCCGCTAGGTACCCGCTGCGGACCTCCGCTGATGCTGCTGCCGCCGTTGCCGCCGTTGCCGCTGCACCGGTAGCCGGCGGCGCCGCCAGTCTCACTGCCTTTACACCGCAAGCCACTTTCCCCCTCCTCCTCCTCCACTTCCTCCTCATCCGTCCCCCCAGCTTCCGGCCCCTCCGGCGGGTCCTCCAGCAGTCGCCTCACCGCCTGCTGCTCCTGCATCACATGCAGCGGACTCACCACCGCGCGGCGCAGGCGTTTTAACGCGTACGGCCGCTCCGTTACTGCATCCACCACCAACGACACCAGCCCGAAGGCACCTCGACCCAACACCTGCTCCTCCACCAGTAACAAACTCCCCGGTGCCACGTCTCCAGCCGCCCCGTGCGGGTGCTGCTGCGGATGCTGTTGGAACCCGCCTCCGGGTCTGGGTCCCCGGAGTGACCCACGGGTCCGTCCCAGGTGCACATCCGGATCGTCCACATGACCCCAGGCGGTGGCGAGCAGGGAGCCGCTGGCGGGGTCGCGAACCAGGCAGCGCAGCCGGAGGGTGGCGGGTCGCCGCAGCAGCAGCGGCGGAGGGGAGGGAGCGGTGGCGGGGGAGCAGCAGCCGGTGGGTGTGGTGAGCGGGGGCACCGGTGCTTGAGCAGGAGCTGCGGCAAGGGTGACGGTTGCGGGATGTTGGTAAGGAGGTGGAGGTGCGTGCGGATGAGAAGGTGGGGGTGGAGGTGCCGGTGGTGGTGGCTGGGGTGTTGGCTGGTTGCAGGCATGGCGGCCGGCTCGGGCTTGGATGTGGTACAGCGGGTGGGGTGGGCTGTGGGAGGTGGGGTGGGCGGGGTTGTGGGGGTGTGCACCGCAGCCGCCAGTGTGTGTGCCACCGCCGCAGCCGCCTGTGCATGGAGACAAGGTGACAGGCGGCGGGGCCCCGGCCGCATGCGCTGGGTAAGCGGCGGCAGTAGCAGCAGTGCCGCCGCCGGCGCCTGCTGCCCGGCCTGCCAGGTTGCCAGTTGCCGTCGCGACCGCTGCTGCTGCTACTGCTGCTGGTGGGGTTGGGGACGGCTCTGAAGCCGCCGTTGGTGCTGCTGCTGCTGCCGTGGTTGCTGCTGCAATGGCAGTAGCTGCGGCAGTGGTGGCATCTGCTCGCTGCGTGTTGCAGTCCTCCGGCGGCTGCACGGCGCCCTGCGTGGTAGAGGCGGGGCTGCCGGAGTCCCCCGAGGAGGAGGAGGCGGCGGAGGAGGCGGAGCAGGCGGAGGAGCAAGTGGAGATGGGAGACAACACGCCGGCGGGAGTGGGGCCAGGCGCTGCAGCAGCCGCTGCCGCAGCTGGGTTGGAAGCTGCGTCACCGCCATTCCTGCCACCATCACCGGTAGCTGCTGCTGCCGCTGCAGCTGTTGTTGTTTCTGCTGCTGAGGGCGACCCGGTCAGCACTGCGACGCCAGCGGCTACCGGTGTTTTCCCTCCACGTGCGCTTGAGGTGGAGGCGGATGCAAGCATGGCTCCCGATGTTGTCGTGTCCTTCGGTACAGCGGGGATCCCTCCTTTGCAGGGTTGTTGCCGTACAGGTGTGCGCCGGGTGGTGGGGGGCCGCAGGTCTAACGAGTCAAGGGCGGTTTGGCAGGCTAAGTCTGTTTCGACACGCCGAGCAAGGTTCACCTGGGGGTGAGGGATCCGGGTGTTGTGCAAAATTGTGAAGGTGACGGTAGATATAAAGTGGGTTGTTCAGCTAGAAGGAGTTCAAAGCACGACACTGAAGTTTATAATTGCTGCGTCCGTGACAGTCGTGCTAAAAGAGAATCGCACTTGTATGAAGTGGAACCTGCTGAAGAACATTAGTATACGTATCCGTCCTAGACCGGTCCATGTCAGCGTTAGGTACAAGGTAAGTGATGATTCACCTGAAAAGCCTGGGTCAATATGCGCCATGGAATCTTAGGAACACCAAAAAATTCGGCCATAGTGCTGGCAGCGCTAGCCTCGGGAGTAAGCGCCTCCTTTCCGCCAACAACGGCTCCAAGCAAAGTTTACGCCAACGGGGCCTCAAATCTTAACCCAGTCTGAGAATATGTTGTCGTTTCATACAACATTGATGTAAATTAAGGGTTCGTGCTGCCCTCGCAGACGAGCTGGTCCTCGTCGACCATGGTTGTTGTTCAAACAGTTTTAGAGATCACAAGACCATGTATAGGCGCTGTATCATAAGATGTTTATGCGCAAAAGTCGTCGGGGCCAGAGAGTAAGGTATTGCGCAACGAGAGCTTCCGTCGACGGGCGCTGACTTTTTCCGTTGGATTAGTGAGCCAAACAGCTCTGTGTTAGTGGTAAACGTCATGTTACAATGCCGCGTCACAGAGCGCAGCTGGGCCCGTTTCCAATGATACAAACGGTCGCGCAATGCTCCGTCAGACCCAACCGCCACGATTGCGCTCGCCGCCACGACGGCAAGAGCTTCAGCGACTGCCCAATCCCGGAAGCGGCCACTTTTATGTGAGAGCGAATGCTCTCATCCAAACGTGCAATTCATCGCATAACATCGAAGCCGCAACCAGCATGTGATCAACTGCCAGTGTCTGCCACATAACCTGTTCACCTCCCAAATAAGCACGTGTGACAATGGGTCATAAGAATGCATAAGATTGATCTTGGTGCGAAAGGCGAAAAGCCTAAAGCCGCAGCCATCACGCCCTAAACCCAGCCTCGCACCCATTTTTTCTTCCCTATTTCTACCTCATCTCGTTGCACTGCAATATCATTCAATCAAGACCACATCGCCACGCAAGCTGTGCAATGTACTTTTCCAGTGTTGTCCCCAGTCAAGCTACACATCCTGCCTTCCTGCGTCTCACGTCGGTTACTCTAGACCAAACGTTATTCAAGCTGACCACAAGCCCATCCATGCCTTCTCCCTCACTCGCCCAACTCCTACTACCACCTCGTCCTTCCCAAGTTCCCATCCCATCCTACCCTCTTTATACACGTCTTGCAACAACCTTGTGCTAACCAGACGTGACTGCCCACCCATTCCCATGCCCCCTTCCCCCAAAACACACGCCACGCCGCCCGCTCTCAACCCCCTCAGCACGCCACCCATCACAACTAACCGCCTTCCCTTCCCCTCCTCAACCGCCTATAGCTCTAACTTGCAGCTGCCGCCGGCCCCATCTTTCCCATCAATCCCTCCCCGGCCCCAGTCATCAGCAGATTGCTGTCGTACATCGCATTGGCGCCCCCGTCCCCCGCAACCACCCGCCCTTCTCGACCGCACAACCGCTCCAACGCATCCTCCGGGATCTTGTCCTGTGTATATGTACGGCATATGGACGAGCATGCATGATTTTTAGTGCATGTGTACGACAATATAGCATGTATACACGATGAAAGCAACGTAAAGACGTAACCAGGCAACGTAGCAAACAGCTCTTGCATCCCCCCACACACATACACACAGCTCACAACTGCTTCCCCATCCCACATCTGCATGTATACCTGCATGTGCACACTCCTCTCTTCCTTCTTCTTTCCCCCACCCACCATTCGGTCCAGGTTCTCTCTGACCCCACCCCGGCAACCCTCCCTCTCTCTTCCCCCCTCCCCCCTCACCTGCACTAGCTGCAGAAACTCTTCTAGGTCGCACTCCAGGGGCGCCTCCGCGGCCCCGCTGCCCCCCCTGCAGCCAGGTACCGGTACCACCTGCTCGTTGTACAGCAGCCGGACCAGGTGGGAGGGACCGCCGCTGCATGGGGGGAGGGGGGTAGGGAAGGGGGAAAAAAATATATAAGGGGTGAGGATGCGGGAAAGGAGACATCCAAAGAAAAGGGTAAAAAGCAACATACCGGTATTACGCGGGGAAAGTTGGTACGGGAAAAAAGGTTCAACCCTGGACGATGGACTGGCAGCAGAGGAAAAGCCAACACCAGGGCCACGGCTTTACGTATCACAATTCCAGGCCCCAGGTGCCTCCCGAGTCCCTCCCTAACTACTTTCCGCCCCCCTCCCTCACCCCGCGCTCCCCGGCTGCCTCCTGTACAGCACCAGTGCTAGGTTGGCTCCAAAGGGGGCGATGCGTGCGCCCTTGAACAGCCGCGAGTCGTCGGCGGGCAGCGGGGGCCGCCAGCCGGCGGGGGGCGGAGGGGGCGGGTGGCGGGGCTTGCGGCCGCCGGGCTTGCAAGAGGGGTGGTCCTCCGCGCCCGCGGTGAGGGAGGATGAGGCCGAGGGGGAGGAGGGGGAGGAGTCCTGACCGTTGGGGTCTCGCAGGCTGGTGGGAAGAGGGGGAGGGGGTGGGAGAGGATGGGTGGGGAGGGTTGGTGCAAGGAAAGGTGATGTTGGGCTGCATGATAGATCATCATTCCTAGGTTGCCAGGCTTGGGTGCAGTACATATTTGGATACACCGACCCATGGGTCTCTCCGTTACATCCTAATAGCCTTCCTCCCTGTCCCCACTCAGCGGTATCTACTATAACTCCTTATTTCCTTCTCCCTCCCCCACCTCCCCACCTCCCACTCACCCCTGCAGCGCCACCTGCAGGTCCTCTAGCGCATCCACCCGCAGCAGGTGCCGCTGAGCCGCCGCAGCAGACACCCCGCCCGCCTCCTCCACCCCCGCCCTAGCCCCCTCCGCCCCCCCAGCAGCCGGTGGCAGCGGCGGCGGCTTGAACAGCCCCAGCAAGGTAGCCAGTGGAACCAACGTCTCGCAGTGCGCAAACAGCAGCCGCGCTGCGGGCGCCTCCTCCGCTCCGCTGCCTCCCGCGGCGGCGGCTTGCAAGGAGGCGACTGCGTCTCGCAGCAGCGGTGCAGCGATGCGGTAGTTGATGTCCGCTCCGTAGCTCTGGGTTTCGAGCAGGTGGATGTCGTCCACCCACTCGAGCATGAGGGCGTGCTGGGGTGGTGAGGGTGAGGGTTGGGTGACGAGAGGGTTGAGAGACAAGGCGGTGGTTGACGTGAACGAGGAATAAACTAAGAAAGGAGACTGCTGCTCAAACCCTTGACCAGCCTCTTCCCCTCCCCATCCCGCCCATGCTCCGCCCCGTAACCCCGCACCCCCTCCCCCACTCCTGCATCCTCCCCCCCTCCTTACCTCCGGGTCAAACAGGCTGCACGCCTGGTCCGTGATGCCGTACAGCCCCGCCTCCATGAGACACAGCTGCCACAGCGCCTCCACCTCGCAGGGGCTCACGTCGCGGGAGAGGGCGAGACGGGACTCCAGGGTGGGGGCCAGGCGGGACCAGTTGCCCTGGGAGGGGAGGGGAAGCAGGGGTGTACGGGGGGTGGGGAGCGAACAGGCAAGTAGACTAGTACGGGTACGGGGTGTGGGTTAGCTGCCTGCTGAGGGCTGGAACTCCCAGGGACCCATTGGCAGAGCGTAGGGTGATCCCAAATGGGTTTTGACCTGAATGAGACCCAGGACACTACAACAACAACAACAACAACAACCCCCTAGGAAGCCCGACCAACCCATTCCACGTCCCCCTCCTCCCCCCACCTGCATCCAGCCAAATGACGCTCGCTTCATCACCAGCCCCCAAACCACTGATCCACGCCCCTCCCCCCCCCTCCTGCCCCCACCTGCATCCAGCCGCTCATCCACTTCTCAGTGAACTCGTCGTGCTGCGCGTAGGCGGGGCACACGTCGAAGAAGCGCAGCAGCGGGTCCGCGTCCTTGGGAGCCATGCTCATGGCAACAGCCTGCGGGTGCGTGGGGGGGGGGGGGCAGGGTCAGGTCCAGCGGGGAGGTAACGGTACCGTAATGTGGAGGAGAAGCAGGGTGAGGGTACCGGAGCGGAGAAGCGGGAGAGTGCATGCATGCTATCCAATCGCTCGCTCACAAGCACCAGAAGCGCTGCATTGAGCACCGAGGGGCGCATTGCCAAAACCCAGCCTCACGACGCCAATGTCCCCAGCCCCAAGTCCCCACCCTCCCCCACCTGCGGTCGCCGTATCTTGGGTTGCTCCCGCAGCGTCTCATCCAGCTGGTAGGACCCCACATCGAACCCAAGTGCCGACAACTGCTGCTGCTGCTGCCGCTCCAGCAGCCCCTGCAGCCGCCGCCGCTGCTGCTGAAAGCTCCCGCCGCCTACTGCCGCCACCTCCTCCGCTGCTGTAGCGTGCGGGGGAGCGGGGTTGAGGGTGGGCGAGTCGTCGGCCGGGTCACGCGAACCCACATCGTGGAAGAAGCCCGAGGTGAAGGCGCTTGCGCTGGCTGCCGTGCGGGCCACCTGGGGAGGAGGGACGAGAGGGACGAGAGGGCGAGCGGGGAGGGGAGGGGAGGGGAAATCGTGTGTCGAGGACTGGTAGGGCCCATGGGAAGCGCGAAGGACCGCAGACGCGAAAAAGCATTACAGCGGTGTGCTACAGCCGTGTACCGTGGTGTAGCCCTCTGCTGCCTGCTGCTGCGCTGTCATGCCTCCTGACCCAAATCAAAATACCAGCACTGCACCCTCCTCTGTTTACTCCCCATAACCTCCTGCGCGTTTCCTCTTTACCCCCCCCCCACACACAGGCAGTTTCCTTAACACACAGGCATCCTTCGCACCCAACGCCACCCAACGCACCCACCTGAGTTGACACCACCGGGAAGCGCTTGGGCAGGTAGTCCTGCCCCGACAGCGCGGGGAAGCGCTGACGCAGCCGGTAGGCCAGCCCCCACAGCTCGTCCGCCCCGATGTGGTGCAGCTCGCCGGCCATCAGGTCCACGTCAGCAAAGGGAGCTGTCCAGTTGCGGAGCCAGGGGTGGTCAGCGGTGTTGCGAGCGTCCTGCGCGGGCGGCGAGAGGATGCGGATGGAGCGAGGATCGAACGGATGTTGGTTTTGAGGTTTTGGGTCTTGTATGTGGCATGAATTAAAGAATGACCGCTGCAATGGAGTGAGTGAAGCCAGCTTGTTGCGATACTGACGGGCGATGGGCCGATGGCGTGGAAAGGCTGTGGCGGCGTTGGCGAGAAGCTGCGTGTAAATCGTGTGATGCGAGCTGCATTAAGGTAGCATACAACCATTTCTCGCCCATTTTGCTCAGAAGTCCCTGTGTACCTTGAACAAACTCTGCAAACTGTTGATTTGGCGCATTCGGTCCGCGGTAGGCCAGCGCGTGCCGTGGCGGGAAACCAGGTACAAGTGAGCCGGCTCGTAGCCGTCGGGGTCAGGTGTTCGGTAAATAGACGGGGCGCCCGGCACCCCAAGACGGAGGGCATATCGGGTCTGCGAAAGAAGTCCACCGGGAAGGGCGAGCAAGAGCTAAGAGGCAAGGTTGCAATGGGCACCGACGTTTTAGGCCTAAACGCTGAGCTGGACTCACCTTTGTGCCCAGATGCCGTCTAAAGTCGAACCCCCGAGCCAGCACTGAATTGAGACACATCACTGTGAGGAGGAGGAGGCGCGGCAGGGCCGTTAAATGCCGTTGAGTGCCGGCCATTGTCCGCGAAATGTGTCTTCCGTGCCGAACACGACCGGCTACGAGTGGCACTTGCTCTTTGGCAGAAGCATATATAGAGTGTTGCTCGCTGGAAAACATCAACATAATATTCCGTATTGTCGGCATCTTCTTGGACTTGATGCCTAAGCAAAAACTGATACGACCCCGTACGCGCGCCAAACTGGAATCCGACTCAGCATGATCCCAATTCCAGCGCGACATCGTATTTGCAATCCTGCCCATGTCAAAGCAGTCTTGATCGCAATGAAATGCAATGCGCTGGCATGCATTCGCAGGTCTGCTGCGCGTGCAGGCGATCTGTTCCATTAGCCCAGCTCTTGGGCGTTGGGGAAGTCATACATATATCTTAATGTATCAGTAAGGTGAAGCAAACAATTCGGTTGAAATGCGCACCCGAGGCAAAGCAGGCTTGAAAGGACAGTGCTGGACGAGGTGGCTCGAAACGGAATAACTATAAATGAAGTGACATAACATATGCCTCTAACCAAGCTGAAATGCATAATCAAAGTGTCCCCGCCGCTAGTACGACTTGGACATGTATCATTATGTCGTGTTCTGCCCCGTTTCGCGAGGGACGCGAGCTGTACGTCGCAGCAACTAGCTCCTGATCACCATGACAAGTGTACCTCGCGGTTCGATTTCGTGGCTTGTCCACTAAAGGACACGAGTATAGGAAGAAAGCCGGTGAACTCTCTATTGGAGAATTTCTAACAAACCCGCAGCCGTGTGCGGATGGCTGCATTACCCTTTGCGAGTAAAATGCAACACCCATTTCCCCTGTGCTACCTCAGCGGAAGCCCTTTCCTGTGGACCTGGGGCTGCTAATGCTAAGTTCATCGCCTAGCGCATCCTGATCATTTTGCTTTCATGCAATGCTGGAGTGCTCGACGCGCTGCGCTCGAAAATGGTCATTCTTTGAAGTCCCGTTACACAGCACTCCACTCGCGCCGCTACAGCAGGGCTGCTGCCGCCACAGTGCTCCTCCCTCGGCCCCAGAGGCGAGAGCACACGCAGCGCTAGCAGCACCCGCACGTCGCCCGGGCCACCTTACGCGGCGGGGGCCTCCTCGGCGGCGGGGGCAGCGGGGCGCTCAATCTTGGCGCCCACCTCCTCCGAGTAGTCGCCGTGCACCTCCATCAGCTTGGTGATGTCGAACTTGGGCGCCTTGAGCACCTTCACCTTGCGGATGAAGGTGTTCTGTGGGGGAGGGACAGGGGGATCAAGGATATGAATAAGACCTTTATCAAGCCGCAAAGGATGGAGGGTTGGAGAAAGCGTACGGAAACCATGCTGGCCTCTATGTCAGTGGAAAAGCGCCACACCTAGGGCAGGGTAATTACAGGGCAGGGTGATGGAAGCTGGTCGGTAGTCTGTGCTAAGCGCGTTTACAGGACAGGGCAGGCCTTAAATCAGCACAGACCAGCCTAAAACCGCTTGCACTGCGCATCAGCACGATGTGCAAGTTCGAAATCAGCAGGACCCAGACCCACCTGCAGGGGGTAGATGCCCTGGCACGACTTCTCAATGTCCTTGCCGATGGCCTCCGGGATCAGCTTGGCCACGAGGTCCTTCAGGTCGCAGCTGGTCGCCTCGCGGGTGATGATCTCCATCATCTTCTTGCGGATTTGGCGGATCTGTGAGAGAAGGGGGACGGAGGGGGACGGGACAGGGGCATTCGGTCAGAAATGCCATCCATCTGACGGAAAGGAAAATAGCCAAAAATAGTCAAATCCTTCCCCAACGCTGTGTGAAAAAGGAAACCAGCACCGCATAAACCCCGCATGCATGCGTAGCGCACCGTTGCACACTCCATGAGAAGCGCACCGCGCACCGCATACCCAAGCGCAAACCGTCCGACGTCAGTACCAAAATGCATCACCCCTTTCTAGCACAATCGCATCCGAACGGTCCACGGTGGCTCGACAACGCTGCCGAAGTCACGAGGTACGCACAGGGGGCTCTTCAGCGAAAATGTGCATACACGGGCTAATGCAGCTGGGTTCCGCGGAGGCTGCGCGATTGCCCTTCTTTGGCCATGGCACTACCTTCTAGCAAGGCTGATGCTGCATGGATAATTGGGTTAGGACCCTGCCGCATGGATTAGTTTATTTTTCCCTCCAGGGATAGCTGCAAGGCTGAAATACATAGATGCTGTAAGGGGATATCCCCATGAAGCCAGGACACAGGATGGGATCCCCAGGACACAGGATGGGAACAATGCTCGGGTATGTCGGCAGTGACCCCAAGCTTGGATTTCTCTGACCCCAACCATACCGCATGGCCAGTCCGCCAGAAAGGCTCCAGCCCCCTTTCCCCAAATCCCTATCATCCCCCCAACCAGGCATGTTGCATACCTGCGCGCTCTGGGCGTAGCAGGTGCGCTTGATCTGGCCCTGGCGCTTCTTCGTGAACGAGATGCAGAAGACGCGCAGAGTGTAGCCGTCGGTGGTCTTGACGTCCACGTGGGCCTCAATCAGGGTCTGCCACTTGCGGACCAGCGAGCGGATCTTGTCCGTGGTGAAGTCCATGCCCTGCACGCAGCAGAACGCCCAGGAACACCCGTGTCATTAAGGACACCTGTAACCCAAGCTATGCTTAAATGCTGAACTGTTGTTTCAGCTCAGCAATAGCTCCGTCGCGGCCATGCTTTAGAAAAGCTGTATGCTTGCGGCGGGCTGGTAACCGCTCCCAACACCGGCGCAGCTCCGCACGATGCTGTGCTCTCCCCCTGTGCTTCTCCAGCGCCAAGCGTGCTGCTACCGCAAGCTAATCTGTTGCTTTTAAAAGCATGCTTGCGGCAGCAGCATTTGCTTCATTGTGCAGGCTGCTGGGCTCCATGGGTTGCATCGCCGAAGGCCGCTTCGCCAGGTCAGAGCCCCTCCAAGCTGCTTCAAACTGAATATCAAAATGATTATTGCTGCTGCTGCTCCCTGCCGTTGGTCCCTCCAATTGCAATGCGCAGGCGTCGGCGCCGCCTTGCTAGTTGGCAACAAGGCAAGGGTAAGAACATTTCATAATGGATGTACTCACCCAGAAGTTGGTGAGGCAGTTGCGGCCCTGCACGTCCTCAACGCGCAGGCGCATCTTGCGGAAGGCATCGTCCTCGTTCTACGTGTGGACGGGAAAAGACAAAAGCTTTGTTATACATAGAACCAATAATGATCTTGTATATTGCTAAGCTGCATTCAGCTATCAAAGACACTGTTTAGCTGTGGGCCGCCGTCGTTACCTTCTGCAGGTCGGCCAGGGAGACCTCGAACACACGGCCCTTCAGCGCCTCCGAGGCAATCTGCAAACAGCAAAATACACATTAGTTCAGCTGGCCACGCAATGTTGTTGCCATGATAGCGCCGCCCCGATGCTGACCTTGGTGCCCTGCGTCCTGGTCACGAGGGTCTTGCCCACGTTGCGGACGTTGAACATGGTCGGCGCCTTGATGTCATACCAGTCCTTCTTGGCGAAGGGGTCCGAGCTGCAGCGCAGAAGGAAAACTGTGGGCAATGGCCCCGCCTGGCGCGCGAGCATGAACGGACTTACGCCTTCTTCTTGCCTCCCTTCTTCCCCTTGCTGATACGCTTGTTCTTGCCGACAGCCATGGTTGCTGCCCGGAGTCAACAAGCAACTGCTGACCGAAAGAGAAGGAGCTGCGTGAGCGAGGGGATGATGAAGGGAGGAGGCTCCAGGGCGGATTCGGAGCGCGCCGGCTGGCTTTCAGCCCATTGCTGCAGCGGCAGTACTTAACGTTTCACCCTTCATAGTAAAAGGATACATTACTTCTGATAGTAACTGGCATCAGGGACGTAGAGTCTGGGTTGCGAGCGCACAACCTGAGCTTGCTTGAGGCGTTCCCGCCGGGGATAATCATCTATATTCTTCTTTAGTAGTGTGCATATAGCCTGCATCAAAAAGATGCTTTGCGACGTTTGGCTCTCCTGGCTTTCCGCTTCATGTCACCAATACGCATTGCGTCGGCAGACGATTAGCGTGCAACCCTGATTGTGACGTTGCTCTCCAATTTTAAGCTGCAGTTGAATCGGGAAAGGGCACAGGCTTCCCCACCTACTCAACGGGGTCGTTTCCACCCCAAACTGCCCTAACCCTCGACCGGTCACGCTGGAAAGGAACTGATAGGTGTTGAGGCCGCAGCTGATGTGTGTCTCACCACATCTCAGCGATACCTGGTGCTGAGGCTGCGCAGCAAACAGTACGAGTATGAGTATGAGTATGAGTATGGCAAGCGCTTGGGGGCTTCACGCCAGCCACGCAGGCTGGCAGTGATGTGGTCCCATGGGGCTTAGCGTCTATGGTGTGTCGTCATCACATGTGGTGTGTGGAATCACTTCATCAACTCGGGGCCATGCCGGGCGGCATGCACTCACGACAGTAGTGCGCATCCCGGTCAGAGCAACTGCGGTACTCAAGGGATGTGGAGCATGGAAATGCCATCAGAGCACGGTCGCATTGATACATCCGTGCGCTAGAACCAGAGTATCCATATGCCCGGGCCGGCATTACCAGGGGGGTTGCGGCGCAGGGACGGGTTTATGAAAAGAACGCCGCTCATGCATGTGACGCTGCACAGGTCTGGTCGGTTGTCAGCTTGTCACTACCAAAGCTCCACAGGTAAGACTGTACAAACCTGTCCGCATTCCTGGCCACAGGTCCGGTTGGGCGTCAAATGCCCGTGTAGCACTGTAAGGGCTGGTCAGGGGTTAGGGGTGATCCATGAACGAGCACCAACAGCAACTGTGGAAAGGAGGCATTGGGTTAGGCGGTGCTATAAGCTATGCTATTTCGGGTGGACCCCTTTTGCAGAACACTTGGTGGGTCCGTAGGGGCAGTTGCATGATGGGAGGTTGCTCGGAAGGTTACCTGGCTGTGCACACGGCAACGGGCGGCGACGGGCGCGCCTACAAGGAGCGGCTGTATGCGAAGTATGCCATGTCGAGAAGATTTACCTCTCAGTATCTCAGAATGTGGCCGCAGAGGCGCAGAGGCCGCAGAGGACCGTTTCTGTATGCGGTTTGGTTTCGGTTTCGGCGCAGATCGCGCCGAGCCACAGGTTATGGTGCTGATTTCTGAAGTACCTCGTCGCTAACCCAATTTCGAGTAGACAACAATTGCCTAAAGCCACAATGCAGCTACATTGCACAGCCCAACGCGTCGCGGGCCCTCGTGCTTGCGGCCGTTCGCGGACTCCGGTCGTATGCGTGGCTCGCCCTAAAATTCAGAAAAGCGTTGCGCCGAGGAATGAAACAAGGCTGATGTCTACCGCTGTGCCGTGTAAGTTTGCTTAGGGAAGACAGGATGCAAAGCGGATAGGTCACATCGCGATGGTCAATGTGCAGTGTTCGCCGTCGCCGCGGCCGACGCCTTCTACCAAATCCTTCTTCCGCCTGCGCAATACTTCAAGTCCTTAAACCTTCCAGAGGCGAGTCTGTATGGGGAGAGCAATGTGCTTGTCGTGCATTCGCCATGCCAACAATCTCCCATCCTTCCTCTAGGCGCTCGTCCACTGGGGTCACCCAGGGAACATGGCTGTCGTCCTGCTGGCCATGGGAGGCTACGGGGCAGCGTACCTTGGATGGCAAATCCGGACATCCTCTGATGAGGTAAACCGCTAAGCCTCTTTAACACTAGGCCAACCACCAACCAGGCCAGCTTAAGCACCCCTACCCCCTTGGGGCCTTGTGGGGCACGCAGCAAAACGTCTGACACGCATGCCCTTATCACGCCCATTCCCTGGCCACGCTATCATCGAATGGCCCGCTGAATACCGTGAGGTCGCCTGTGCGCATGTGCAGGCTGTAGTCACGAAGGCCAAGGAAGCGCACCCCAAGGTGAGGTGTTTTGGCACCTTAATAGAGATTCATGGAAGGCAAAGGTGTGCAGTGCCGATACCGCCAGGACTGGATTTCTGCACCCAGCCGCCGGAAAGAACCCGGTGCTTTCTTTCAAACTAGATTCGCCCCGTCGAAGCATGTGCATATCCGCTCCAAACCCTCGTCCACTTGAGGACGAGTTCACGTACCGCTGATAGCCACCCTGCGCTGCTCCCCCTCCATTGCTTCCCCTCCACGGGCCCCCCTCCACGGCTCCCCTCCACTGCTCCCCCTCCACTGCTCCCCTCCACCCAGATCGCTGCCGGCATGTTCCTGTTCTTCGCGCTGGGTGCTACCGGTGGCATGATGTCCCTCATCATGCAGGACAAGCCCATCTTTGAGAGGTAGCAGCAGAGGGCGACAGCGTAACCTTGATTACCGGTACATGGTTAGGCTGCTGGCAGCTTGAGATGCACTGGGCTACGCTCGTTGGGTTAAACTCTCAGACTCGGACATGTGCGTACATGTGTCACTCCCTTCGTCCTTTGTTGGGCCCCGGCGTCACCCCCAACCCTCCGCAGCCCCCATGTGTGGACCGGCCTTGTCGGCTTGGGCCTGCTGGGCGTGCAGTCGCTGCTGCCCCTCGCCTTTGCCAGCGGCAGCGGCGCAGCGCGCACCGCGGTGGGTGGGGGGGCGGGGTACCAAGGGGCCAGCTTGCCACCGTACCGGAGGTGACGCACCCTAACCTGCACCGTCGGCTTATGCTAGGCCCGGCAAGCAGCCTCAGCTTAGCTTTCCCCCACCCGCTCGTCAGTTTCCTGCGCCCCACACCACACCCCTCGCCTCCCCGAAATCCGCAATGCAACTAGTGGCCAAGCCTTGTCACACGGTTAGCTTCCTCCAACCTCCATCGTAACCCCCTCCCCGCCGCAGCACGCCTACCTGGGCAGCGGTCTGATGGCGCTCTTCCTGGTGCACATGGGGCTGGGGCTCAACCTGGGGCTCAGCATCTGAGAGGCCGGCACCAATGGCACCTCTTGAGGATATGAGTGGCCATTCGTGCATTCGCGTGAGCATTGAGCGTGAGCAGCTGACTTGCGGGAGGGGTTGGCGGTGGAGAGGTTTGAGGAGAGGGCTGTGCTGGTGTGCGTAGCATGGTATGTGTTTGCAAAGAGTGCTTCGGAGAGGGAGCGACGGTGAGCTGTAGTGCTGAGAGTGACTGAGAGCAGGCAGTTGAGAGTATCGCGTGTGATTACCCGTACCAACGGTTATTGACGGTGCTGCTACCGGTAACCTTATGAGTTACGTATGCTTTTGAGTGTGAGGGTGGGGCGAGTGAAGAGTTGGCGTCGGAGTTCCCGTGTGGCCTTCAACAGGTTTATGCAACTTCAGGCCGGGAATACAGGTTCGCATCCACTTGGGATGGATGCCAGTTGACCGGAGTTCGTATTCAACCTGGCACAACACAGTTACTGGTATTGGTAACCCAATCCTGCGCCTACCATGCAACCCATTACCTCATCACCAGCATCGAGTAACTCGTCCAGAAGCTACCTAACAGATACTGGATCTCTTGCCAGCACTCCTGTTCCTCATCTAGCCCCTTAAAACGCTGCAAACGGTTGCAGGCGCAGCACCTACCGGACAGTCCCATCCGCCTACTGGCTGCCAAGACCAAGTAGCATTCCACCTCAGCGCCGCACCCTTGCCCTCAGTCCGAACTCCCCACTGCCGCCAAATCCCAGACGGCGCCATGCAAAATGTATGAAGCCCATGCGGACCATGTCCCTGACCCGCATCCCTTCCTACCATCCCCACAGCACCCCACACTCCACTCCTGCTCGCCCCATGCAGCCACAGCACAGGCGCACGGCGCGGCAGCGTCGCATGCACAACCCAGCTGCCCGGCCCTGACCCCAAAACAGACCCAACAAAACATCAGCTGTTTATCCCCCCGTGAAACAGCTGTCTCTGGGATTCTCATGGCTACTTACATGCCGGCCGCCGCGGCCAGCTGGTTCACGTGGTGCCCCACCGCCAGCCCGGTGGTGAGCAGCCCGAACACCAGGAAGGGCTGCGCGCTGGCCTGGTACTTGACGTCGTTGGCGATGGGGTCGGGCAGGAAGTACTTGAGCTGGAAGTAGATCTGCGCGCGCGAGTGACACACAGCAGGCAGGCAGGCAAGGGCGGAGGCAAGCAACGTAAGAGGCCAAACGGAAGGGGTACGGTAGTACGGCGGGGCCGACGAGACGTGTAAGGGTGATGGGGGGCTGAGGACAGCAGGCAGGATTTGTAAGGGCATCGGAGAGGCGGGGCGAGAGGCGAATACTGTAAATCTCTTTTGGCTTGACGCTACAACACCTGGCATGAGACAGTCATGCAACTACTCCTTCCTCCCTGCAGGACCCCGCCACTATACCCTACGCATGCTGCCTCTTGCACTCTTTCCTAGACCCCAACTATCCTAACTTCTTTCCTAGCTACTTTGCTTGTTACCGTACTCTTTCCGGCCCAAGCCCAACCCCCCACCTGCGGCATGATGAGCGCCAGCAGCACCCCCGCGTACGTGTACTCCTGCAGCCCGGCTGCCAGGTAGGCCGCCACTCCCAGCTGCGTGACGTCGATGGTGGACACGCAGATCCACTTGGCGGTGTCCACTCCGAACGCAACAGGCAGCGACTGCAGCCCCATCTTCCTGCGGGCGGGGGGGGAAGAAGAATATCCGATGCGGAGGGGGCCGGGGAGTGGTGGCGGAGGGCGGGTGGGTTGCGGCGTGCGGTGGAGACATGCGGTGGGACATGGGACGCGCGACAAGCCGCGCTGTCCGACGTCACTGCAGCGGAATCGCTAGGAGGGCAGGTGTCTCGTGGCGGCGGAGAAACCAACCAACATGGTGCATGCGGCGGTTAGCCAACAGCCCCCCCGGTATGTCGCTCTGCGGAAGGCTTCTACCGGTACCCGCATGCGACGGTATTGTTACCGTAGCCGTAACGAAGCCCAGCTGAGGGGACACAGCCCGTCCCCTCGTAGTGACTCCCCGCGGCTCACTTTACCTACAGTCCCCGCCCCCCCCGGCACCTGTCGCCCTCAATGCTCTTGAAGTCGTTCACGATGGCGATACCCAGCCCGGCTAGCGAGTAGGCCACTGTGAGGGCCATCACGTCCAGAGTCAGGGTGCCGAACAGGGCCTGGGGGCGGCGGGGGAGGGACAGGAGAGGTTGGGGACATGGAACGGCAGCCGGATGAGGACATGTAGGGACCCCCGAGGACGGTCCTGATCCGAGCCCCAAGCAACCCTTTGACTCCCGATGGGACGAAGGGAGCGTCCGACGTCGCCAGGCCAGCAGCAACCACCACCGCCTCCTTAACTTGCCCCGCCGACGTTATCCCCGCAGCACGCCTTGAGCCGCAAATTACACAGTCCAAGGACCCAGGCCGCAAGGTCTCTCCCACCCGCCCAGCTTCCGGGTCTCCCACCTGCCCCGTCAACTTCCCCATCCCGCCACACCCCAGCCTGCCCACCTGTCCCGCCCACCAGGGCAGTGCAATGTAGGAGGAGCCCAGCGCGTAGTTGCCCGCCCAGCCGCTCTGCTTCAGCTTCAGCGGCGGCGCGGAGTAGATGTAGGAGATGAAGGAGCCGAAGATGGCGAGGTAGAGCAGGGTAGGCTGCTCGTGGCCCGCCCAGAGGTCCAGGCCGTAGGAGATCCCCAGCCCGCCCAGCAGCAGGACCCAGATCTGGATGATGACGTCACGCTCGGAGATGCGACCTGGGCGGTGAGATGTGCAGGGGTGGGAGATGGAGGTAGGTAGAGGGCATGATGGTGTTGATGGGAGCGCGGATGAGCGATACTGGTAACAGCCAGAACGAAGGGATGCCTGGTTGGTATGCCGAAGGTTGCTCGTGTGGCCTCAGTGGCGTCCCAGGTACGCTTGGGATATGGGTTCCTCCACCAGTACCGCAAGCATCCGACCCAGATGTGTGGTTGCAAGCAATTTACCGGCAGGCACACTCACCAGAGGGAATGGGACGGTAGGGCTCGTTGATGGCGTCGATTTCCCGGTCGTACCAGTCGTTGATGGTCTGGGTATAGCCCGTCAGGAAAGGACCCGACATGAGCATGCAAGTGAGTAGCTGCGCGATGTTCGTTGGGTCGTTCCATTGATAGTGCCCGGACGCAGCTGCTCCGCAGCCCACACCTGCGGACAACATTTTGCCGTGGAGCGATGCAAGGATGCAAGACTGTCTCCGCACGCCGACCCACCCCAAATTAGCGGAATCCATGTGACGGGCTTTGTAAGCTGCACACGGATCTTCCAGATGTCCGTCTCCAGCGCTGCGCCCTTCATGCCAAGCAGCTGCCGAGCTGCGCTGTCGCTGCCCTTTTTCTCTTCGGTAGTTTGCTTATTGACAGCTTTGAGTGAAACACGGCCTATCGGTAGAAAATGAGGGTTGTTACAACTCAACGCTCCCTGCTACTAATTCATGGTCACAAGCTAGTCGCCTTTCTCACCCAGCGAGGGCCGATAGCACACTGTTCCAAAGGGGCGAGACGACACATGCTGCGAGTTTCTCGCCGCAACTCGGCGAGCGCTGACGTTGTGTGGGCACCGGAGCGCTTGCATTTTGGCGAAGTAAGCCAGCAAAGGAGGTTCACAGATTCAGTGGATCTTACAAAATGTGTATCAAACAAATCTATCTGCCTTGGCAGAAGTCAAGGTTACAGCGTGGTTCGAGGGAGTACGGCGCGCGATCACGACAAAGATGTTTGTGTCAAAAAAACAGTGCTTAATGCGCGATATAACAAACCTAGACGATTGTTCGCAGCTCCTTCTATGCGGTGTTTGGAATAATCGTCTTATAATAACGGACCGCAAACCTGAATGGTCCTCCTGCAGCACGCGAACGAATGGTCTGGCTTGGTCCTCCCCAGACAAACAGGGGTGCATGGTGCCAGTAAACATAGCAGGAAACGATTAAAGTTATCCAAAAATATTGCTCGAAATTCGTCTTTAGATGCTGCATTCCATGTCGACATGCAGTCGCAGTGAGCTCCCAAGATCCAACCGTGCATCGATGGCATGCATCACTGCTAGCAGCAAACTTAGTTGCCATTTGCAACAAGCTGTACAGAACCCGGACTGCGTCACTTCCAGCCAAAACTGTCGCTCATTGACTGTGCAAGCCTGCTCCCCAACTTGCTCAGCCGCTGGTTGATCTTCTCCAACTTGCCACGCAGACCATCTCGCTCCACCTCGCTCAGGTCCCTGCGGCAGGGAGACATGATGTAGAAACCTGAGTGTGAAGGCCTGTCCACTTTCGGCTAGAGAACACCCTCACTGCAGCCACCAACCTCACCGTGCTAAGGGGCGTAAGGGTACTGAGCGATGGGACGCTCACACCAATGGTGCACGCGAGGACGTGGATTCCCTGGCAGGCACTCACCATGAAACCCGCCTACCTAGCCCAACACAAGTCACAACCGGTGACAGGGACATCCGGGGCCTAACCGCAGCGCGGCACCTGCCGTACCTGTTGGCTACCAACTGCGTCTCGTACTCCCGCGCCACCTCCGCAAGGTCCTCGCTCTCATCGATGCGACTGACGGCCGGCTTCATGACCAGGCAGTGGCGGCGGCCCTTGCGTAGCACGCAGTCCGTGTTAGGGTTGCGGAACACATACCTGCGGGCGCACGGCGACAAGCAGAGTGAGAGGATCTTTGGCTACGCAAACACATGTGGTCTATAGTTCAAGGGCAAGCAGGGCAACACTTGTCAGCACAGCGCTTCCACGACGCAGCCCACACTGTCCTGTACTGGCCACTGAAGCTCAGTATCACGCAGTCCCATGCACTGGCAAGTCACCCAGGCCGAAGCTCTTAAAAATCGGCCCCACCCCCTCACCTGGTGCCCTTGAGGCGGTCGTCAATGACCACCTGCTCGAAGCCCCAGTTGCCCAGCCCCAGCGTCCTGCCCTCGTGCCACACCTGCAGCGCCATAACGTTGAAAGCGCGGTGAATGCCACGGCCCGGGGTCATGTTCATTGTGCATGCCTCAACAATCAATACCTGCATGGCCCCAGGCTGGCTTGGAATCCGATCTCTCGCACCCCACGTCACTGCCTCGCACCCTCCCTCGCGTGCCGTACCTTGAGTGCCAGCAGCTGCCCCATGTCCCCCGCGTGGCTGTACAGCGTGAAGCGGTCCACGCAGCCGCGCTGGAAGGAGCCCCTGCCCTTGGGCAGCTCCTGCGCCACGGTGGCGTCCCGACCCAGCAGCTCCACGTGCACCTGAGCGGCGGGCAGCGGAAGGGGGTGCGTCAACCCGGGTCAGGATTGTGCGGCACATGGAACATGGTGGATAGGTGTCGCAGGTAAGTGCGCAAGGACCGGACAGCGGTGTAGAGAAATTAGCACAACTGTGGAAGCTGCTGTACTCCGTGTTGTGCGGCGTTGTGGTGAGGGGACGTGGCAACACAGTGCGGGTTTACCGTGCTGCCGCCTAGGCCAGCGTTCATCCGGTCCGCGGTGAAGACCTTGATCTTGTAGCCGTACGAGTTGGCGTGCTGCCCGTGGCGCCGCTTGAGGGGCACCTCCATGAAGCCCGTGCCGTCACCTCCGCCCTCTGCCTGCGAGGAGCCCGCGGGCTGCTCCGTGCCGCTGGGTCCCGGCGAGGCGGCGGCTGCAGCCCTGCCAGCGATGGTGTGAGCGCTGCGAATGAGGTCGTCGTAGCCCACACGAGAGGCGTCCGGCCTGCAAGCAAGGAAGAAATGGCCGGTTGTCACGTGTACCGGTAAAAGGGCATGTGAAAGCGCTTGGCTAGTTCCCAAGGCAGCAGCTAAGCAGGTTGTAGAGAAACAAGGCCCTCTTTTTCTCGATACCATCTCCCGGCCCCCACGCCCTCCTTTGCCGCACCTGACGGTCTCGCCCTGCGCCTCCAGCAGGTCCTCCTCCGTCATCGACTGCACCGACCCGCTGCTGCCTTCCCGAGCAAACTCGTACTCCTGCATAAGGACAGCGCCGTAATGAGGACCTGGCCTCTTTCACTACCGGTATGTAACCATCACGTGCTATCTCGTGAACATGCAAACGGGCGCATTATCCTAAGGACTCTCCGCAGCCCCAGTTCACCGCAAGTGCTTTGCCGGAGTGCCGTCTTCGAAGCAGCCTCTTACCTCCGCATACTCCGCCCACGACACCCTCTTCCGGCCGGTGCCCATGAACTCCACAGCGTAGCTGCCGCCATCCAGCGCCGGTGGCCGGATGCCGCTGGGCGCGTACATGCAGAGCGAGGCAATGGAGGTGGCGGACAGCTCGCTGCCCTCCACGGACGCCTCCGAAGCCAGGTCGTCGTCATCACCGCCGGAGATGCGCACTCGCCGGCGGCCGCCGCCAGTGCCGCTGCCGACTGAGTCCAAGGAGCCCTCGGCCTCAAGTCCGGTGAAGGATTGCCGGCGGGAGCCACCGCCGCCGCCGCCGCTGTTGCTGCTGCGGCGGTTCATGGGCGGTGTTGGTGGGAGTGCCTGCTGCCGGCGGGTGCCTGTGGGGGCGTCTGCGCCGGTGCTGTCTACTTCGTCAAAGGGATCCCGGCGGCGAGGGGCGCCGGGGGGAAGCGGTGGGCGAGGGCTGACGAGCGCGGGGCCGCTGCGGGTAGTGGAGACGGGGCCCAAGCTGTAGGCAGCACCTGCAGTATACGGCAGCGCGTGTGGGAAGGGGAACGTTCAGAGGTAACGTGCTATGAAGATTGTGTATATAAGTTGCAATAAAACATATATACACGTCCCGTCTGTGCTGTCCAGCTTGTTGTCCATGGACAAGTTGCTTTCCGGTCCTGGCGCGACATACAGCGATGCATGACCCCACTCACTGGACAGCATGCCGTCCACCTCCTCGATGTCCTCCTCCAGCACCAGCCCCAGGCCCGAGGGCACGTTGGACGCCATGCGGCCAACTCCGCCCGCACCCCCAGCCGCCGCCGCTGCAGCAGCGCCACCGGGCCCAGCAAATGCCGACGCCCCCAGCCCAGCCGGGATATCGCCACTTGTCCTGCCGCTACCGCCCATGCCAGGGAGCAGGTCCTCCCCATCGTCGTCCTCGCTGAAGTGCACGCTTTCGCTGTGGGTGCCGGTGCCTGTTCCCGCGCTGCGCTCGCCGCTGAGGCGGCTGGTGCCCACCGGCCGGTACACCGCCTCCAAGGTGGAGTACGGCCGGCCAAGCGGCATGGGCGGCAATGCTGCGGCGCCGAAGCCGCCAGTCCGGGCACCTGCGACAAAGGCATGGCCATGCCCACTGGTTCCCTCCACTGGCGAGTTCAGGTCCGAGGATACGTCCATGGACTCGTCGCCCAGTGCGGATATGCCTCGCCGCTGCGGCAAGCCTGGAGCTCCGGAGGCGCCTGGAGCTGTCCCCATGGGCTCGAGGCGGGGAGGCCTACTAGCGCCCGCAGTCCCCGGCAAAGGACCCGGCGAGGTACGGGCTAGCGGCGAGGTGGGCTGCGTGCCGGCCAACCGGGCCAGGCTGTTCTCACGGCTGATGCTGAGCTGTTGTGCGCCCGGCAGCCGCACGACCCGGCCGCCCCGCTGGCCGCCCCGCACCCAGTCGTGCACCTCGAAGGCCCACTCCAGACCCGTCATGAGCTGCTCGACCGTGATGCTCTCCACGTACCAGGAGGCACTGAAGCCCTCGCCTGCAGTGACGCATGAGGCATGGTCCGTTGGCATGCGTTGATGGTATGCATGCGCTGCTACTCAAGTACTGACTTTATGTTTTACACAATTAGAAATGTGATTTTCAACGCTATAACAGTAGCAATTTAGCACAGTCTTGGTACGGGCCAGGGATGCCACTGACTCTCCACCTACGCTACAAGCGGTAGGTCGTACCTTGGTGCCAGATGTAGACGGCTGACAGGTCACCGAGGTCGTTTGTGGTGTCCACCATGAACTCGTCCACTGCCCCCGGGGTGAAGAACTCGGCGTCTCCGTCTACGCGCTTCTCCTCAGGCGGCCGCAGCTGCGCGTCTACGGTGCCCTCGCTGCCGTACATGGTTATCCGGACTTCTCCGGTGCCGCAGCCTGCGCCAGCCTTGTCACCAGTAACCACCTGTATATGGAGAAGGAAAGGCGTTAGGCAATTTAAGAAATGCACTACAGTGGGCAGCATTATATGCGGTACGCGGCACGGCAAATGTGGCCTTCCCCTTACCAATTACACATGCAACATTGCTATGTGACGTCATCAGTCGCACCGTGGCTGCTCGGGCCAGCCCACCATCACAGCCCAACGTCGTCAAGTCAATCAATGGCTGCAGCCCCACCCCACCCCCTCACCAGCAACCGGTAAGCGCCGCTGCTGGTGCTCATGTCTCCCAGGGATTGCCCGAACGGCACAGCGATCACAGTTTCCCGCGGCCCCTTCTGCTGCGCTGCCGATGTGCCGCCAGCACTGCCATCCCCGCTACCGCCTGCAGACGCCTCCCGCTCCACCTCGGGCTGCTGCTTCTGCTGCGCAGCCGGCGGGCGGAACATCTCCAGCTCCATGGAGGAATCGCTGCTGAAAGCCAGGCCCTTGCCACTGGGGCGCTGTAGCCCCCCTTCAGCCCCCTCGGAGCCAGCCGCAGCTGCCGTGTTTGTCCCCGCAGCGCTGCTACCGCTGCTGCTGGTTGCGCCGTCATCGTCCTCATCGTAGAAGTCCAGGCTGCCTTGGATGAGTCCGGAGTTGCCGGCCTCGGTGCCTGCGGCTGCAGGTCCAGTTGGAGCATGGCTTGGGCCGTCATCTTCCAGAAGACCGCTTGGTTCCTCCTGCGTGCTTTGCTCGTTGGCTGGGAAGGGCGTGTCGTCTTGTGCGTTGTTGCTTGCGCTCGCTGCGTTGCCGGAGCTGTTAGACCGTCTGACGCTCAGCATGGTTGCGATACGCTCGGCCTCCATGCACACGTCACCGTTGAAGTCCAGGGAGCCGTTGCTGGATTCTGCCTGCGGCTCATCCTGCAGGCATGGGTTGCAAACCTTTGACAACATGCAATTATGGGAGCACCTACAGGGCCAATGTACGGCACTGCCATGACTACAGCATGCCATGCCCTACATACATCCTTTACGAAGTAACCAAGCCGCACTTTACGGCACCACCCTAAGACATGTCCGCGAAGCACCTGACCTGCTGCGCCAGCGTTTGGCTATCATCACCCGCGCTGAAGACGCTCCGCGAGGTCCTCAATCCGCCCGCCAACGACTCCGAGCCGATGTCGAGGGACACCCCGCCCATCGCCTCGACATCCGCGCTCTCCGCAAAGATGTCCTCCTCGCTGCCAGCCCCCAAGATGCCATCATCCGCGCCCTCCTCCGGCGCCACCAGCGCAAGGCTGTCCTCAGACGTAAACATGCTGCGTCTGCTGGTAGCTGCCTCGTGCCCCGATGGTGCCGCGGTGCTGGGCGCCGCCGCTACATTGCTGCGGGTGCCAGGGTGCAGCGGTGGCAGGCCCGAAGCCCGCCCAAGGGTGCCTGCAGGGGCGCTCGGGCCGGCAGCAGCAGCCGCGCTAACAGTGTCCTTGCTGGCAGTCGTGCCGCCCATCCCTGGGAGCTCCAGATCCATAGAATAGTCGTTGTCATCACCAAAGCTATCCCCTTCGGATGGCTTGGGCTCGGCCTCAGAACCCTGTACCGAGGAGGCGGTCTTCGGGGCACCCAAAGCCGTGGTTCCGAGTGCCGCCGAGCTGGTCGCGGTATCGTTAACATCGGCGTCGTGGTCGGCCTCCTCAGTGAGACCAGCAGCTGCTACCACAGCATCGACGGAGGATGCAGGTACCAGGCGAGGCGGGGGAACAGCACCAGGAGATTGCGTCTTCCGAACGAACTTGCTACGGTCGTGCTTAGCGTTGGGGCTCTGCATGGGACTCACGACTGGGGTGCTGGCTTGGCTGGCGGAGGGGCGTGTTGTCAGCTCAGCGGCCGTGTCAACCGCAGGCACAGCAAGTGGCGCTGCATCTGCTGGCTGGTTCTCAAGGTCTGTGGAGTGCGCAAGCGGCTCGGAGGAGGACTCGTTGTCTAGGGACGACTGGGACACAGCGCCTGCATCCTTGGCATGCTGACCAGAAGGCTCCTTGTCCGATTCCTTGTCGGTGTCAACAGGGAAGGGAGCATCCTCATGCCCAGGTTGCGAGATGCCGCCCGAAACCCCCCCAAAGTCCGATGCCGTTTCCAGCAGTGATGCCACCACGACCTTGCTGAGCGACTGTGTTGCAGGCAAGGGCGCAGGCCCTGCCGCAGCCACCCCCACAGGGCGCATGGGATCCGCATGCGGGTTGGGAGCGGAGGGTTCTCGGGAGAGCCCCCTACTTGAGGGTCCAGCGGACAGTGCGCCAAATTCATCTGGCAGGATGAGCTCCGAGCGCGGAAGCGAGCCCGATGCCGTGCTCGGGTCTGCCATAGGCAGGCCTGGCCGAGTGGGGTCGTCATCGGCACCCGACATGTCAAAAGGATGGATTTGCGGCGCAAGCAAGAGGCTCCGCAGCGGGCTTGTGGGTGCAGCGCCAGGGCGCATTGGAGGCCGCGGCGGAAGCGCAAGCGGTGCCGGCGCAAGGAGCTCCGGGGCAACTGGGTCGGCGGCGGATTCCGCAACAGCCTCGCCTCGCCGTCGATCCGGGCCCAAGCTGTGGAGGTCCCCAATGGACATGTCCGAGAAGCCGCTTGCTGTCAAGCTGTCTTGGACGTCGCCACCGATGTTGCTGCTTACATCATGCGGGCCTGACGCCAAAGGTTCCGGCTTTGCACGCGAAGGTGACGTGGCTGCGGCTTGAATGGGTGCGACACCCGGCGGCGGCTTCAGGGGTGCAAGGCCGCCCGCAGCGGGAGCGCGCTGCAGCGGAACCAGTGGTGACAGCGGCGAAAGCGGCGAAAGCAGCTTGCGTCCAAGGAGATCGGTAGATGTGCCCAACGAAGCTGTGAAGTCTTCCAGTGACTTTGCCACTAGGTGACTAGATGCAGACATGGATTGATGGCCCTCGGGCGCCCCAGAGGCGCTGGGTGCCCCGACGGGAGAGTGGCAACCACCGGCGTCCACACTGGCCTGCCGGCCCTGGGGCGGCGCCAGTCCCTAAGGCAGGAGCGGTGACAGGGGAAGGGACGTGTCAGCAGCTACTGTAACAGCTCATTGTTCCATAGTGTGTAGAATGTCCTCAGCCCTGGTTTTCAGCACCTGTTTGTTGATTACATGACATGCATACGCACGCTCATCCGAACCTCATACCGCTATCGTCATGTGGACCCACCTGCAGCTCTCCGCTCAGGTGCCCACTTAGGTTACCACTGTGCTGCAGTGGCCCCAGAGGTGAGCGGTGCAGCGGCGGCGGCAGGTCCAGGCCACGGCTTGCAGTAAGCGGGGAGGTGGGCGCAAGAGGTGCGGCGCCAGAGCCCAATGGCAGCGCGCCCAGCGGGGGCAGCTTGCGGCGACCCAGGGAATCCCCGCTAAGCATGGCAGCAGCACTGCCAGAGAGCTGCAACGGCGCCAGCTGTGGGCCTCCGGCAAGGGCGCCGCTAGTGCTGAGGCCGGAGTCCGCCTCCTTAGCGGCAGGTGCAGCGGTGGCGGGAGCCGTAGTGGGTTGGGGTGACGTAGGGGCAGCGGTGGTGCTGGCTGGCGCAGCAGGGACAGCGGGCTGAGGCGGCGTCTTGTTGGCAGCCGGCGGGCCGCCAGAGGCGGTTTGTGGCAGGCTGGTCTGGGAAGGGAGGGAAACGGAGCCGGGCCAAACCCCCTCGTCCTCATCGTCATAGTCAAAGCCGGAAGGATTGATGCCAGGCTCGAGCTCGATGTCCTCATCAATGTCAACGCTCTCCGAGGGAGACCGGTTGTCATCGCTCTTCTCATCGGCATCACCCTCCGCAGCCTCAACCTTGGCTGCAGGGTCAGCATAAGGGGCCGCGACAGGTGGTAGATCTCCGCTTTGGTCCTCGAGAGGCGGCTGGTCGACCGTGACGGACGCAGCCGCGTCAGGCTTCGCATCCATGACCGGCACCGGGGCGCTGTCAGCAGCATCTGCGTCATCACCGTTATCCGTTGAAGACGAAGACCTAGGAGCAGCGGCCGCTGGCGGCGATGGCGGAGCTGGCTGTGCCAGACCAGCAAGCTCCAGATCGTCATCATCGTCGTCAAAGCCGCTGCCCGCATTTTCCTCGCCAGAGCGCTCACCAAAGTCAAGGCCCCCTGAGACTCCTCGGGCGGCCTCGTCATCAGCACCAAAGACATCATCATCACCATCATCGCTGCGTGCGCCCACAGCAGCCCCTCCACCGTCCTGTGGGTCGTCAGCCTCTGGCGGCTCAGGCAAGGTGGCGTCCGGCTCATTATCTTGGAGTGGAAGCTGCCCCAGCACCTCTCCGCCATCTTCTCCTGCCTCGCCCTCAGCATCGCTACCGTCGCCACTGCTGACAGATACCTCCTCATCTGCGCCACCCCGACGGAACGTCTGCTCGCGGCCGAGCTTTCGCCCATCGCCCTCAGCATCCTCTCCTTGCACCTCCCCATCCGCCTCGCCCTCGTCGCTGCTCACTTGCACCTCCTCATCTGCACCGCCCCTCCGGAAGGTTTGCTCGCGCCCAAAAACGTGTTGCGGAGTCGCCGCTGCAGGACTGTCCGTCACTCCACCGTCGCCGTCGCCACCGTCACCCTGACCGCCTCTTGGGCTGAGGGCCAGGGAGGATGACAGGTCCCCAGACAACCCTAGACCGGAGCGAGCCGCACGCACGGCCGCCAGCGCACCGGTAGCCACCACAGGCTCCTGGGCTGATGACGCCGGGTCAACCTCAGGGTTAACGCGCGGCGAAGTGTGACCTGACCCACCAGCTGCTTGGGCAGCATGCCGCAGACCTGCTATTCCCACGGCCCTTGCAGCCACTGCAGCGGCGGCGCTAGGCGAAGCCAGCTCGCCGTCACCTTGGGACAGAGTCACGTTGATACCGGATGGGCGTGGCGAGGTGGGCTCTGAGATCGTGCCCTGCCCCTCGGGCCCGCCCAAGGCCCCACTGTTAGGGCTGGACAGGAGGCGGCGACCGGCGGACCCAATGGACTCGCCCGACTGCTTGGAGGCAAGCTTTTCGTAGTACTGCGCCTTATCGCGCACCGATGCCTCCTCGGAAAGCCGTGGCGGCATCGGAGGCAGCGGGTCTACGTTCCGTAGCCGGGACAGACCGCTTCCGCCTGGGGAGGAGAAGGCGTTCTGGGAAGAGGCAGATAGCTGGCTTGGAGTCGGCTGCTGAGCAGGTCCCGGTGTGCCGGCCGGCGGAGCAACGTTGGCAAAGAAGTCATCACTGGATGCTGAGTATAGCGGGTTGAGGATGGCTTGTGATCCGGGAAGTGAAGAGCGAGATGTCGGCAGCGCTCCGGTTAGACGTGGCGCATGGGTCACGCTGTCGCCAGGTAGAGACATGTCGGACTTGTCCCAATCCGTGGAGTCCTGTGCTTGGGGCACCTGCTGCAACAGGCGTGCAGCGACACTGCCGCTAGGCGCAGAAGAGGCAACAGCCATTGCCGTGACCTTGTCCTCCAGCCGCTGCAGCCCTCCCTGAAGCTCCTTCAAAGCCGAGTCATGCTCCTGCACGTCCTTCGTAACACCCTCCAGCTGCTCAGCAGTCTTGCCGCCCGCTGCTGCCACTGCCGCGAGTTGCTCCGCCAGGCGACCAGAGTCCACAGCCAAGGAATCCAGGGCCTCCTGCGCCTGCGCCAGCTCGTATGCAAGCTCCTCGGCGCGTGAGCGGGCCTCCACGCCGGCCTGTTCGCCGGGGAACATGCGTAAAGGGGCATCAGAGGTTGCAAAATAGCCGGGTATAGCAAGGAGAACTAGCCCACGCAATACGGCAGCAAGGTATTCGCTTCAAAACGGACCCACCTGCGAATCCTGGCTGGCCGCTGTGATGAGCTCGCTCAGTGCCTGCACCTTAGCGTCAAGGGCCTCCAGGCGGCCGTGTTGCTCTGAGGCGCTGCTTGACACCTGGGGAGATGCACGAAGGTAACAGTTCGGAGCGGGAAGGGAGAGCGTTGGGGTAAGGGCTGGGAAAGGGAAGATGGAGAAAGGACAGCAGTGGGGCCAATGTCAGCGGTGAAACACGTGAATGTCCAACAATGGCACGGCAGTAGTCTCACCCGCTGCTGAAGGCCGTTCAGTGTCGCCTTCATCTCCTCCAGCGCCGCGGGATCAATGGCTTGGGCCGCGCCGGCGTCTGTGCTCTGCGCCGCTACAGTGGCTGCAGCCGCTGTGGCGGCCTTCTCTGCCTGCGCCTCTAACTGTTGTGTTAACTCCTGCAGCGTGAAGGTACGGCCACATGTTAAGCACGGCAAGGCATTGATGCAGGAAAAGGACACGGCAGTCTTCAGAATGGAAGTGCGATGGAAGCCCACTAAGCCGCTGGACTCAGGTTTCGGCGAAGCAGCGCACCTGCAGCTTGGCATCGTGTTCACTTGTTGCGCGAACCGCGTTGTCCGCGAGCCCTGTGAGACGCTCCACGTCATCCTGCGCATGTATACGCACACATATTCCAGGTGGTCACCAGTGCGCCGAACAATACCGTGCCTAGCACATTTCACTGCGAGAATCTGCGATAGGGCAACACTATGTGCCCAACACCTTACCTGCATCTCTACAAAGCTCGAGGAGATCTCCTCCCGGAAGGCCAGGAGCTCACGGGTCTGCGCGTCCAGCGTCTGCATACGTAACACGACAGTTAGTTCGGATCCCGGCATAGATGTGCTAGAACTGGTATGAACAATGACACCGGCAAAGAAAGGCATGACGCGCGCTCCTAAAGGTGAGCACGCCAAGACAATACGCGCATTGACCCTCACCTGCACCTTGCTCCCAAGCTCCTTGCGCATATCCCCGATGCTGTTGCGCAAGTCCGCAAGCTTCCCTCTCAACTCGTTGGCCACCTCCTCCAGCGCCGCCTTGTCCACGGCATCCTCATCCGCAGCACGACCGGAGCTAGCCGTCTCGGCTTCGGCTTGCACGCCAGACGCCCCCCCGTCTAGGCTGCGGCTTACGACGCCCGCACCTGCACCGGCCACCGCCGCTGCGGCAGCAGCCGTCGCCGCCAACTCCGCAGCCGCTGCGCTCGCTGCTGCCACAGCTTCCTGCTGTTCCAACTGCTGCCGCTCCAGCTCCGTCAGCTTTTTTCCTTGCTCGCACAGCCGCTCCGAAAGGTCTTGTACGGCAGCTGCGACGCCTTCCAGCTGCTCGTCCAAGCGTGCGAGCGCAGTCAGCTGCTCGCGTGCCTCGTCCGTGGCTGCCTGCACCTGCACAAATGCCTCGTCCCCTACATCCGCGCGGGCCTTCAGCTCCGCCACTTGCGCCGCAATGCCGCTGCGCAAGCCCTCGACCTCAATCTGCAGCCTGTCCAGCAGGCCCTGATGCCGCTGCAGCCGTGGGAAGATGCTGCTGGTGTCCTCAACCGCACTACCCAGCTCCTTCACCTGCGCCTCCAGCACCAACAGGCGCTCCTGTGTGGCTGAGGTTACCGAATCGGATTGCTCGCTAAGGCGGCGCTGTGCGGTGGTGCCGCTGGCAGCAGCGGCGGTGGATGCGGACGAGGCGGCGGCTTGAGCCAGTGACGTCACCTCCGTAACCACTGCGTCCAAACGGTTGCTGAGCTGGCGAAGCTCCGCCGCCATCTTCGCCGTCTCGGGGTTGCCCTGTGAGTTAACGTGAGTTATAGTGACAAATGTTCCGTTTTACCGCAGATAGCAGGCCCGTCATGCCGCCACACACCAGTCCCACACGAGCGCTTCATAGCAATGCATTGTCATGTGCTATGGACCGCACCTGTCCTTGCCCCTTGCGCAGCTCCGACACGTGTGCCGCCAGCTTCTCCAGGGTGGGCCCAACCACATCGTGGAAGTCACGGCGTAGCTCAAGTACGAATTCTTCGGTGACCGCCAAGCGGGCTTCCTGCGTAAACCAATGACGGTACTCCATTCAGTTTATCCAGGGCAGTACTGAATGCTGCCATGGGGTACAGGAAGGGCCCACGAATACCGAGTTATGGAAACAAGCACTCTTTTGCGCCCAGGCGTGTCCTTCCTAAACCTCCCATTCCCCGTTCTAGTCACCATTACGGCCCAACCACGCCTTACCTGCGCCATCGACTCAATGCTGCTATCCGACCGCACAATCTGTTCCAGTCGTTCCATGCGTGCAGTGAGGGCCTGCACCGACCTGTTAGGCCCTGGAGAGCCGTAAGAGCTGCTCTGTAGGATTGCATCCTCCAGCACCCTGATGCGGTCGTCGAGATCCTGCAGGGAGCCGCACACGTGGGATTGCACATGACATGGCAACGGCCCCAAACCACGGTGTTTCAAGCAGTTGAAGAAGACAGCAAGCGGGCACGTGCCTTCGTGGTCAGAGGCCGATCGTCCGCGCGGCGCCGACTGTTGCCACCATGAGCGGAGGATAGTGGCGAGCCGGAGGATTCAACACACAGGTTGTTCAACCCCAAGGGAAGCCCCTCAGACCTGCGACAGCAAGCAGAAAACTGACTTTAGTTCCGTACAACAAAAGTGGAGCAATACCGTAACCCTATCCATACGACATCAGTAAGCACGCACCTCATGCTGTCGTTTGAAGGACCAGCACATTGCGGCAGCTGTGGCTGGCCACGACGGCGATCCTGCACCATGCTGGACTGCTCAGCCGCAGCCAGCCGCGCGACCTGATGCTCCAGTGCTGCAAGGCGGCGCAGGGCCTCCGGCACGCTGGGGTCGGGCTCCGAGCGCGGGGACGCCACCACCGCTGGCGTAGGTGCGGACCGAGCAGCAGCGGAGACTGCAGCGACAGATGCCTACAGGCATATAGCGAAAGCGTGCATTTTCGGTGTCAAAACGCAGGTGCACCATGCCGTACACCTAGTACCAAGCTAAGGCAGTTACCTGCAGGGCAGCAACGCGAGCATCCAGCTCGCCCATGTGCGCAACTCGAGCCTCGACGTCATGCAGCCGCGCTAGCTTGGCCTCCACATCTCCCAGCCGCGCCAGCTTGGCTTCTACGTCGTCATGCCGTGCCAACCTAGACTCCAAATCACCAAGCCGTGCCAGCTTCGGCTCCACGTCGCTCAGCCGTGCTAGCCGTGCCTCCACCTCCGCCAGCCGCGCCAGCCTGCTCTCCACATCGCCAAGCCGGGACAGGCGAGCTTCCATCTCGGGCAACCGTGCCAGCTTGCCCTCCACGTCGCCGAGCCGAGCCAGCCGCCCCTCCACGTCGTTCAGCCGTGCAAGCTTAGCCTCCATGTCGCCCAACCGAGCATACCGGCTCTCTACATCGCCGAGCCGTGCAAGACGCCCCTCAATCTCGTTCAGGCGACCCAGCCGCGCCTCCACGTCAACAAGCCTGCTCAGCTTGGACTCCACGTCCCCCAGGCGGGCCATCTTCGCCTCCATGTCGCCCATGCGTGCCACCTTGACCTCGAGGTCGCCCAGCCGCGAAACGCGGGCTTCCACGTCCGGCAGGCGCCCGACACGCGCCTCGAGGTCGGCAATGCGTGCAACGCGGCTCTCCAGCTCCCCCAAGCGTCCCAGCTTCATCTCCACGTCGCCCAAGCGCTCCAGCCGAGCCCCGACGTCGCCAACGCGCGATACACGCGCCTCAAGCTCCCCTGCCCGTGCCGCTGCCGCGTCGAGCTTTGCAGCAATCTCGCCGTTCCGGCTGGCGTGTATGGCGTGCTCAGATTCCGCATCTTGCGTCAGCTGCGGGAACCAGGCCCAGTAGAAGGATACCGGTAAGGCGGTATGACCAGAGAACAGGGAAACGGGAAAAAAGTAACTACACAACTACTAACACGCCAGACGAGGCCCCCGAAGCCCCTTCCGCCAACCTTCTGCACTGTTGCTGTAAGCTGGCGCATGAGGCGCTGCTGCTCCTCCAAGCTGGCTACGGTGCGGTCCTGGCTGCCATCGAGCTGCAGCAGCTTAGCAGAGATGCGTGCCACCTCCGCCTGAAGCTCGGCAGTGCCTGTCACAGCGTAAAAGGCCCTCATGTTAGCTGTACGACATGCAGCGCATATCCTGCTTAGTCGGAAACCGTGTCCAGTACATACAGCCTTCTTACAAACTCACCAGTCCTCTGGGCCAGCAGAGAGTCCACCTGGGATGACACCTGGCACAACTTCTCCCATTGCTGCCGTGACGCGTCCTGCATAGTTTCACAATGCATGAGAGATCGGCGTGCCATGTGAAGGGTACAACAAGCAAACGACGCGGAACCTTATGGCCATAGCACCTGCTTCTCCCTACGCATATCCACCGGCAGCCTACACCTTCCCCGTTACGAAAGCAATCGCTGCTGTGTCGACATGAGGCAATCCAACACACCCACCTGGAGGCCCGTTAGTCGCTTCTCAGTGTCCTCCGACTCCTTGCCAGCCTGCTTCTGCAACAGCAGCAGCTCGCTGCGGACCTCCGTCGACAGCTTCTCCGCAGCATCAGCCTTGTTCATTGCAAGCACCGCCAGCGAGGAAGTCCCGGCAGGCGAGCTAGCATTGCCGCCAGTAGCACCGTTGGCACCCACACCGCCGGCGCCGGCAGCAGCTACGTTGCCGTCTGGAACGACGCTGACAAGTGCACCGCCGGCGGCGAGGGTCCCAAGGCCCGAGTACGGTGGAGACGGCACACTGCTGCGGAGCACCACTTGTTGCTGCTGCATGGCAGCTGCAGCGTGGACCGCTTGCTGGATCTGGGACCGCAGGGTCTGCTCCTCCATCGACCGCTCCAGGGAGCGCTCAATCTTGTGGCCCAGCTCAAGCAGCCGCTGGTCTATGGCCTTTACGAGCTCCTCGTTGTGCGGGCCGTTGGAACTGGCGGGCGTGCTGGCAGCAATCATCGCTGGGGGCGAAACTGCGAGGGGGGCAGCCACCGAGCCGGTGGTGTCAGCACCAGCTTGCGCATGTGGAGCAGCTTAATGCAAATAGCGGAAACTAGGACAGCGAGAAGGACTAGGTGTTGCGTATGGGTGTCTGGTAGCCCGTATTGGCCGAGCACGTGGTCAACTGGGTAAGGGGCGGCCGCTATTGAAGGATTACCTGGTGGGGACACGATTAAGGGCCCAAAAGGCTGTCCAAGAGCGTATGGTGCGGCGACAGGGGCCATACGGAGCTGGGCTGGTGGGGTAAGTTCTTGGGGAGGGCGCGATTCTCGTAGACGGCCGTGCGCTGATGAAGAACGAACCGCTGGGCCCTTGGCTGCAGGCGACATATCACCCGCGACGGCTGCGGCATTCGTTGATAGCCGCTTAGCTGCTGCGACCTCGACCCGCAAGTCGGCCAGAGAGCCCTGTAGGTTGAAAGGCAGTTGAAGCAGCGCGGTGTGAGCAACATGTGTACTGGGGAGCCGGCTTGCCAAGTCGCACCTGTACAGCTGCCAAGAGCGTACTAAGTTCCGCACGCGCATTAGCAACGGCTTCTGGTTGCCGAGATGGTGCCTGCATGTTAGGACCAAAGTCCAGCTGTCAAGGCCTTCCAGTTTTTTTCTTTTATCCATGCTGAAATAAATGCCACACCCGGCCTCCAATCGGTACAGAAGGATTAGAAGGCTGCTGAGGCATTACATCCTTGCGCAAGGTCCTCAGGTTGCTGTCGGTACCATCCACAAAATTTGCAAGCTGACTCCTCCAGTCCGCATTCGACATGGCCAATTCTTTCGTCAGGACTTAATAGGTGCAATACGTATTCAAAGTCATCATATGCTGGTATACAGTTCAAGCTTTCGGTTCCATGCAGTCATGAAAGCTAGCACAAGCGTTCAGGCATAGCCCGCCCATGCTGCTGGTACATAAGTGATCTCTCAACACTGCTCACTACTGCGCTTGCAAGTTGCCGCTTCGGGCGTATTCAGTTAACCTCCCGTACGGCAATTAGCCACTGGCTATATAGTGCCTGAACAGCCCGCATATAGTGCCTTTGCCACATCACCCAACTCCTTTCAGTACAGAGAATGAGAATGGCCCAAACTCTGTTGACCCCTGTGATTGATACGCTTGGTGCGAGGGGCCTCGTAGCCCCTGCGCGTTTTGCTGCGCGGGCGGCGGAGGAGGTGGTTGCCGTCGACAATGCGCACCGTGCACCATCCGGTGTTATGGAGGTATGGAGTCGGCCGGCGGCGATTCGGCGCCTTTTCCATGCGCTGGGATACCTCTAACCGTGATCGTTGTAATGCAGGTGCCAAGCCGTCTTCTCATGGGCCCTGGTCCCGCGAACGCGCACCCTCGTGTACTTGCTGCCCAGGCTCTGCCCCTTCTTGGGCACATGCATCCGCCATTTTTCAAGGTGGGATAGTCAATTACGCGCTTACTGGGCATCACAAATAGCCTCCTGGCTTCCTACTCAACGCCTTTCTCAAACTTCCAGCATGAATCGTTGGTCGTCGGGCGCCGTTGTAGATGTTGCGGTGTGGGAGTGGCGAGCAACATTGCTGCCGTGTTGCGCAGCTCCCGTCAAGCTAGCCACATGCGTGGGTGGAAAGCACTGGGAAGGATTTAGTCAGTCGCTCATGCTGTCATGCAATGAAACCTTGGCGCATCGACCAAACGACATGGGAAGAGCATCGGCGCCTCAAACCTGGCCGCTACTGAACACGCACAATCTACGGCATACGGTTACCAAAGATGACCCATAAGCCTTCAGGCTGCATGGCATGACCATGCGGTTGTGTGCGCCCTGTCAACCGGACTTCCCTACCCCACACCTGCGTTGATGGCATATGGACAGATCATGGACGACATCTCGGAGGGCCTGCGCTACGCCTTCCAGACCAACTCCAAGTACACCTGCATGATCTCGGGCACGGGTCACGCCGGCATGGAGGCCGCCATCGCCAACCTGGTGGAGCCGGGCGATAAGGTGGTGATCGGCAACTCGGGCATCTGGGGAGAGCGTGTTGCCATCCTGGCGCAGCGCTACCATGGTAAGTTGGTGGTAGTGGTGGTGGGGCGAGACAATTGCCATATTCCCCATGTGGGTCCATGCTCACTGTTTCACTGTGCATGCATAGACGTGCCTGTGCTGCTACTAATAGGCGCTGGCCTGCTTGCTACCGACACGTGACTGTGATGCCGTCCGATGTACGAACGGTGCCCTGTTTTCCGCGCCGTGCAGCCGATGTTGTGGAGATCAAGGTGACTCCCGGCGAGACGTTCTCGTATGAGGCGCTGAAGCAGGCGCTGGAGGAGCACAAGCCCGCTGTGCTGTTCCTGGTGCAGGGCGAGAGCAGCACCGGCACCCACCAGGTGTGCGCTGGAGGGGGGCCCTCTTCATCCACATGCACCGCGCCCACGCTGCGGGGAATCCACACCACCAAGCACCAAGTGACCCAACACGCATCCCTCTTGCGCACAAGCCAAAACCCATGCACCGTAGCACAAAAGCCGCATGCTGAACGGAAACAGTGTCTTCTGGCTTTTTGTGCCGTGTTGTTTTACCGTTAGCTGCCAACTACCGGCCCCGCCTCGCCCCCTTTTCATCCTCCTCCCTCCCGCTCAGTCTCTGGCGGGTCTGGGCGAGCTGTGCAAGAAGACGGGCACGCTGCTGCTGGTGGACGCGGTGTGCACCATGGCGGGTGTGCCCATCTTTGCTGACCTGTGGGGCATCGACTGCATCTACAGCGGCAGCCAGAAGTGCCTGTCCGGCCCTCCCGGTGAGCCCGGCATGGCACGGCATGAGCAGGCAGCAGCCGCCCATACCTGCTTGCTGCTGCGTAATGGACTGTTAGATGCACGCCCGTCGTAGGAGGGGATGCCAGCAGCCGTTGCGGGGCTCAGTGCCAACCCTGTGTGAGAACCCACCTCCATGGGAATGCCTCGCCCCCACAGGTGCGTCGCCGTTCTTCATGTCTGAGCGCGCCATGGAGAAGCTGAAGAACCGCAAGACGCCGCCCGCCACCTACAACCTGGACCTGAACCTGATTGGCGACTACTGGGGCTGGTTCGGCAAGCGCTCGTACCACCACACCGGTGGGTGCGTGTCGAGGAAATTGGCGCGCGTGTGTGTGTTTTGGAGGTCGCAAAGCCCCAGGATCTCAGCCTTCGACCGGGGGGCTCTGCGTCCATTTTCCACCATGTTGCATGAATCATGGCGGTGCAGGGTGTTGGGCCTCTCAAGATTGATGGCCGCTTTACTGGACATAAGTTTGCCTCTGGTCGTCGCATATGCCTAGAGCGCTCTAGCTTAACCCCTAGTAATGCCCCTGCACTGTCCCCTGCTGCCCGGTCTGCACTCCGCAGGCCCCGTGAGCACCTTCTACGCCATGCGTGAGGCTCTGGCGCTGGTGGCTGAGGAGGGCCTGGAGGCGCTGTGGACGCGGCACCAGGAGATGCAGAAGCGGTGAGAGGCGGGGCGGAGCAGGGCATCAAAATGGGAACAGATGGACACACGAGCACATATGCTATCAGCTCTCCGTTGGCTTGCGAAGGACAGATCATACCTTATCCTTGACCACTGTCTTACGCATTGCGCTCCTTTTTGTGCACAATCCAGGCTGTGGGCCGGCCTCAGCAGCCTGGGCCTGAAGCCCTTTGTTGAGAAGGAGGAGGACCGCCTGATCACCGTCAACACCATCAAGGTGCCCGAGGGCGTGGACTGGGCTGCGCTTACCAAGCACGCCATGGACACCTACAGCCTGGAGATTGCCGGCGGCCTGGGACCCACTGTGGGCAAGGTGTGGCGCGTGGGCGTCATGGGCTTCAACGCCAAGCCGCAGAACGTGGACCTGGTGGTGGCTGCCTTCAAGGACGGCCTGCAGCGCCAGGGAAAGCTGTAAGCTGCTGCTGATGGTGTTGGTAATGACCCATGGGTCGGCCGTCGGCGCAAAGGCGCAACGGCTAAAGCAGCTTGCGGATTGATGGCTTTTACTTGCAGGATGTGACTGCTATGTATCCCCTTTGGATGCGGGCGCGTGGCCGAGTTACTTTCTGTTGTGCGAACAGACGGGTATGGCGCAGCGCCTTTAGCCATGAGTACTGTGCTGAGCGATGGGTACGTTTGGAACTGCGGATATGTTAAGCGGGATAGCCGTATGCGGCGTGACGTGTAGCCCTTCCTTCGGGGCACAGACACTGCGAACAAGTGCAAGCCGAGGGGCCGATTTTGCGAACAGGCGATCTCGGAGAACGATCTGATGACTGCGACGTTGCTGCTTCCTAGCTGCTGATGCTCTTTCAATACACTTTACACTGTTCCGGGACTGTGCCCTTTGGCACTGCGTACCGTATTTATGACGCCGACTTCGGTCATTAGAGCCGACGAGGCTGGGTAATTGCAGCCCGCTGTGGCTTCCTAACTATGTAGGCGTTTGCAGAATGGTATGACAAGCCCGTGTTTGCGTCATCAGCAGCGACAACACCCATCGTAATCGCTAGCAAAGGGAGATGAAAGCTTCACAGCTTTTGGGCCTCAACCGTCCAACAGCAGTGGACGTCGCGCTGCCCACAGCCCTTCCCGCCGCTGAGAAGCACCCCTCATGCGGCGGTCCCCGGCCCTACCCGACCCGCCACCTCCTCGCTCCTCCACCTGCTGCCCTCCCGACCCGCCCCCCACGTTCCCACTCCCCGCCTCACATGCTACAGCCCACCGCGACCTCCCCCCTCCCGCACCCCCAGACCCTCCACCTGCGCCCCCGGCCCCATTGCCGTGCACCACCTCCCCCAAGGCACGGAGCATGGCACCCGGCAGCCGAGCGACCCATGGGTCAGCACCACCCCTGTCCCGCCCGCCGCCACCAGCGCCATCACGGCCGCCGGGGAGAAGCCACGCCCCACGTCCTCCTCCATGCCAACCTCCCAACGGCCAAACCGTCTCCGACAGACACAACCAGGGCACCAGCCCCGCATGCAGCCCAGGCGGCAGCCCTCGCAGCCATGACCTCACCCATGGCAGGCCGCCCTTCAGCCCGCCCCTGCCCGCTCGCCCGCCCCCGCCTGCCCGCGCCGCCCTCAGCAACCACCACTGAGCTGCAGCAGCACGAGCCTCCGCTACCGACCTAATCGCGACGGCCGTCCACGTCCCGGCGTACAGTGCTACCAGCGCCGTCGACAGGAACGCGTCCGGCGGCGGCAGACGACGGCGCCACCGCGCCAGTCGCCGCTGTACAGCCCCTAACCAGCAAAGCAACCGGTGCCCCCGCCGCCGCGGCCGCGGCGGTAATCCCCCTCCATCGCCGCCGCTGTCCTGCCTGCCTCCCGACTGCCGCCCTTGTCGGTCATTCTCGCTCTGCTGTCGCTGCTGCTGCCCATGCAGTGCTAGCTGCTGCTGCTGCTGCCGTTGCTGCTGTTGGCGCTGCAGCCGCTCCCTCAGCCGCGAGGGGCACAGCAGCGCCACGCAGTCCGCCAGGGCGGTGCAGGGCGCCAGGGGGGGTGGCCGGGAGGTGCCCGGGTGCAGGTTGTAGGTGCGCGGCAGCTGGGCGCGGCAGACGGGGCAGTGCAGGCGGCCGGCCAGGGAGGCCAGCGTGTGCCAGCTGTCAGCGGCGTGCTGGCGCCAGGCCTGCGAGGGGGCGGGGAGGAAGGGGGGAAGAAAGGAGGGCACAATCCGGACGTGGCTGGAGGAATGAGCGGTGATGTGGTGTCATGCAAGTGAAGAGAACAGGGACTGGGTGGGGCCGAGCGGGTGCTTCTCTTTGCAAGCTGCTGTTCAGCAGCTTCCGCTGCGACTGTACGACATGGGCGCACGCACGTGCACATCGGAAACACACGCAAACCGTACACGCGACGCAAATGCGCTTGTGTTCCTCACAGCACCGGCAGAGTTACAAGCTTTCGCATGCAGCCCCAACCCCGCACCCACCTCAAAGCACTCCCCGCAGTATGCGTGCCCGCAGGGTGTCACCACGGGAGCTAGGAGCAGATCGCAGCAGATGGGGCACGACAGCAGCTCCACCGCTGCCACGCTATCGGGCTCAACATCGGTAGCAGCAGCAGCAGCGGTAGCAGCAGGAGACAGGGGCGGAGGGGGCGTTGGCAGCAACAAGGGCTCGCGACAGCTCGCGTCCGACGGCGTCCCGGAGGATGACATAACCAGGAAGTGTCCCGAACCATCAATTAAAAGGGGTTGAGTCTAGACAGCGAGAAGAAATCAAAGCAGGTTCCCGCGTATAGGCAGAGTTTAGGACGACAGGCCGAGTTGATGTTCCAAAACAACAACAGCCGTTGGTAAAGCTAGGGTTTCACAAAACAGGGCTTGAACTATGCTGGTTAAACGGTAAAAAATAAAGATGACCAAAGACGTCACCTAATCTAAACCATCACGATGCAGCTCGTCAAGACTACGTCATTCAGGGGCAAGTTGCACGACGTACACAAGTCCCATCTTGCTCCTTTCCAATATACTCTCATTATGTGAGCACTGGTGGAAGAATTAATAGCACTCAGCGGCTCGCATTCAATCGCAAAAGCAAAAGCAAAAGACCATTAACGCCCATGGGTCCGTCCTTCTCAACACCTATCCTTTTTCACCCTTCAACCCAAAGAATTTATAAGCTGCACACCATGCACATTAACAACAACAACCATGCTAATAACTGTATGCAACTCGTTTGTCATGGGCCGGCTTCCCGCAACGCTTCCCGTTTGCTCATTGCCCGTTTTCATAACCATCCTTACCGCTCGTAAACTCCTTCATTCATTTGTGCCGCTCAAAACGTTATAGCCACGCGTGTTTCCTCCGCTCCAATTCCATCATCACTCATCTGGCGCAGCGAACGCAAATACCACACTATGCCTCTCGCCCGTCGGCCCAAATCTCTCCTCCGGCCGCCCAAACCACTGCAACAGGCTGCCGTCCGGCGCCTCCACACCCAGTCGCGTCCCATGGGTCCATTTCCAGCGCGCATCGCCGCTGATGTGCAACAACGACCCGGCCGGCAGCAACACATCAATGTCCTGCGACGTCCAGGACCGCTCCGACTCGCGCTTGACTTGCTCCCGCTCGTCCGCAAACGTCAGCATCGACAGCCAACGCGTCAGTTTGAACCAGTTGTGCGGGCAGAGGGTCAGTACGGCAGGACCGTCAACAGAGAGGATGAAGATGTTCTCTCCGTCCCCAGCGGGGTCCAGATGTGGGTCCAAGCGCAGGAAGGAGGAGTGACGCCAGTTGATGGTTACGTCGCGTAGCCGACCCAGTCGCAGTCCGGGGATGGCACGGATGCGGTCGGCGGTAGCCTGTGACAACAGCAGCAGCAGCAGCAGGGGTCGGGGGATGAAGGAAAGGGGTCAGAGAGAGGGGTCCACGGTACCGTACCGTATGAAAACAGCAACAAGTTAAGCAGAAAAGGAAAGGCCACAGACGGGATGCCCAGCAGCCTAATCCGCAGGCTTCCAACAAGTTACGCCCAGTCACACTCCCACACAGCACCGCCATACATCCCGCAGTACACCCTCTTCCCCAGCAGCCTAGCCTCCCCCGCACCTTGATAGCCGGCGGCAGGGCGGCCTCATCCAGCGTGTCTCCGTATCCCCAGGGCCGGCGCTGCTGCTCGTGTTCGGGCCGGCCTGTCACACGGAGCATGTTAACCGGCGGCGGGCGCTTCAGATAGCTCATCTGCCATCTGGGAAAGGAGGGAGAGAGGGGAAGGGAAGGGGAGGTGGACAAGGGGAAAGGCAAAGGGTAAGTGGAAAGCGGGTAGAATTCCGGTGTGAGCCGCGAAAGAGCTGCATCCATCTGAAGGGTGAAAGCCGTCTTAAGGTCCAATATGTACAGGGTCATGTAGTTAGCAGCTAGCAGCTAGTAAAAATCCGGTCGTCTGGGGTAGGGATGGTGAGCATCCATGCCAGCCATACCTGTAAATCGCGGCATGGATGGGTTGGATTAGGCTGATACCAAAGTTTTTCTTGATTGGTTGCAGCTCTTTCAGGAGAGGTTCAAGGTCGTTATGGAAGTCCGAAAAGACGCGTGCTCCGGGATTGCGCGATGGCTCCACCGGCCGACCGTCCGGCACCGTTCGAATGAGGCGACATTGTTCGGGAGTGATCGGGTCGTGATGACTTGGCATAGAGTTGTATGTCGGCTGCGCCCATACTAGCGTCGCCCCGGTCGCCACGCCGCCCGCTCCGAGAATGCCCAACAGCAAGCGACGACGCGACATACTGAAGCACTATGATACGGATGTACCTGTATGTTCTATATAAATAATAGAAATACAATAGCCTACTTTGCGTAAACCGATGCTAAACTGTACGTCCGCCTTTGACTTTCCCGTACACTGTAACCTAGTCGTACACAGGACGATAACGGCACTCTTCCACTGTGGCTCCTAGTAGCTAGAAGCTGAAAATGGCCGCGGTTGATATCGCTATATTTATTGCGAACAGCGTCATGTGTCTTGCTGCGCAAGCCTGTAGGCCAGCCTAAGCCCGTTTACAGTGCATGTGAGAGCCAAGTTCACTGCCAAGCGCCAATAGCCTATCCGTGTGGGAGACGTCGCACGCGTGACATTCGGCCTTATAACGGCCCTTTCAAGGGGGGTCAGCATTTTGACTGGACTTGTGCGGAGGGCTGTGTGCGGACGGAAGAGAGAGGAAGCCCGCTCCGATTCCACCGTCCTGACATGCACGCAAGCCTTTTCGATCGCAGGTTCAAACACGCTGCCCTCAATTATGTTCATTCAAGGATTCAAAAACCGTACGAACGGAAACGGTTTACGACTGCAGAACAACTCATTGATCATCAATTACGCCGAAACCCATCAAGCCGAGCGAGGAAACAAGGAAAGAAAATACATGCATGCATTCCAATCCGTATGGCCGCGATGCAAACGCTCCGAACGTAATAGTAGTGCTCCCAGTCCTAGGCCTAAAATACAAAAACACGTTGGGTCAGTCTGCATTGTGCATACGGTCCTCTCTTTATCACAGTAGACTCGATCTTCATGCCCCACTCATCACCTTGCCAACCGCACACCAAGCTCTGCCACAATTCACTCGCACTGACTCACTCCATATTGTAAACTCACTCTCACGCAACCTCCACCGCTCTACATCGTACAAACTGCCGCCGTCAACCGCTGCCGTACACCTCTCCGCACCCAGAAGGATGCCCTCCCTGCCGACCGGCCGTGCATCCATTATGCAGCCATTATTCCTTACCTGCATGCCGTCCGCCCATCAACTGCACCGGCCCTGCAGCGGCCTCGCATCCCACACGCAGTGAGAATCACACACATACTGGGGTTTACAGACCTACCGAGGATTACGGACCACGCTCCAGATGCACCGTATTAGCGCTGGAGTCGCCCCCCCAGAAGTCCGGAGCCCCTCTCTCACCAGTTCTCCTGCGGTCAAACGGTCGAGCAAAGGCGTCAGCAGTCAGCCCCCCAAACCCCACAACAACCCTACCCAGAGCCCAGACACCGCCAAACACCACCCCCCGCCTCTCACCACAGGGAAGCCGGGCCCTGGCGGCACCCTGGCCGCCGCCGCCCCCAGCTCCGCCAGCTCCCCCTCGCTCAGCCGCCAGCCCAGCGCCCCCGCCAGCTGCGCCAGCTGCGCCTCCGTCTTGGCTCCGGGGATGGGCAGCGCGCCCTGACAGATCACCCAGTTGAGAGCGACCTAGCAGGCGGCAGGAGCAGGCGGCAGGAGGAAGAGCAGGAGAGGTGCTGAGATGGGTTAACAGTTATGGGGTTTGGAGAGGGTGAGGTTGCCTTCTGCAGAACAGCATACGGTGATATACGCATCCTTGTCGCGTGTCCCCTTGCTAGATGTCCTAGCTGGTAAGTATGCCCCCAGCCAGCCTACGGTAGTCACTACCCCGGCAGTCCTTCTCTCCACCCCACCTACATAACGGGCTAGAGTCATTGTGACTGCGGCAGTTGGTCCGCTCCTTGACCGCAACCCCCCACCAGTTAGTTGTTTCCTCTTTACCCCATTCTTAGCTGCTATCAATTACTTACGACGCTGACTACAATACTTCGACGTCATCAAGCAATTTCCGGTAACCTACGGTCAGGGTCAGTGTTTCCGCGGCTCAGTTTATCTAATACCCCACCTGCGTCATGCTCTTTCCGCGCTCCTCCGCCACCGCCCGCAGCGCCCCCAGCAGCGGCTCCAACTCCCGCAGCCGGGACTCGGAGAACAGCAGCCCGCGGGGGCCGCTGGGGCGGGGGCCGCCGGGGGTGTACTTACCTGGAGGGGCCAGGGAGGGGACGGACGGGGAGGAGCGGGCAGGCGTAGGTGCAGGTGCAGGGCAGGGTTGCGGCACGGGCATGGATAGGAGCTGGGACGCGCCGAGGACCCCCATCACTGAAGGCTGCAACTCATCACTGAGGGCTGCAACTCATCACTGAAGGCCAGCAGCAGCAGCGGCAGCGGGCCGGGCCGGGTCCCCCCCTGCCGTACCCTCGCACCTGTCAGCAGCCCCTGTGCGAGCGGACTGTACGCCACTAGAGTCACCCCCGCCTCGCGACACGCCTCCAACACACCGTTGGTCTCCGGGGCGCGGTACAGCAGACTGTACTGCACCTGGGGGTGAGGAGGGCCGGGCGAGGAGAGCGGGAAGTGAAGAATACCCTATTTGTTGAATGAGGACGATGGCAAACAAGACGACAAGCAGAGCGGGAGGGGGCCTCAACAGGGCCGCTGTTGGTAAGGTAGCGTTCAACCGCACCGCGTAGCGCCTGCTGGCCCACACCCACCCTGTACCAGTTTGCACCCTTTGCCAAGTTTGCACCCTTTGCCCCGCACCGGTCACCCCACCCCCTCCTCACCTGGTTTGAGGCCAGAGGCACCCCTCGGGCTCCCAGCCGCGCCACCGCCCCCCGCACCCGGTCCGCCGTGAAGTTTGAGACCCCCACTGCGCGACAGAGCCCCTGCTGCTGGCACTCCGCGAGGCCGTCCAGGAAGGCGTCGTTGCAGAAGTACTGGGGGCCGTAGCCGGGCCTGAAGGGGCCGGAAAGGGGAGGGGAGCAGGGGAAGCATGGGGAGCATGGGGCCGCATGGGGCGAGCTGTGGGACTGTTCGTTTGCTTCATCAGATCATCATGTTTTCAACACCACCTTGCACATGGCTCGACCACCTCGCCCCGCCCACCAGTGCTGCATGTAGAGGTCCATGCGGCTGAGTCGCAGTCGGGCCAGGGAGGCGCGTGCGGCCGCCACAACACTGTCGGAGGAGAAGCGCCAGGGCAGCGGGGCGAACTTGGATGCCACCACCGGCAGCGGACTGCCCGGCTGCGAGCGGCGCTGGGCCGCCATGAACTCACCCAGGAACTCCTGTTTGAGGGTTTGAAGGGCGTAGAGGAGGAGGAGAGGGAGTGAGGGATGTGGGAGTGAGGGTAATGGTTGGGTTGTGAGAAGGCCGGTAAGAGAGCGTGTGGGCGTGGGTGGTGTGCGGTGGTGGGGGAAAGGGCGTGTTGGAGGAGGGATGGGAACATGGGAGGTAAGACAGGGGGGCTTACCTCGCTTTTGCCGAACCCGTACACCTCGGCTGTGTCGATGAATGTGAGGCCGGCGTCCATGAGCGCCTGGAGGGAGGGCGAGTCATGTGCAAGGTGGTGGATGTACGTCGCTTGGGGTGAGAACAACAATAAGCTGTGATGCATTACTAATATACAGGACGGTTTAATTGCAACATTTAGGATTGCGCGAAGCGTTCCAGTGAGGTAGTGTGGCATAGTCAATAGATGGATGACTGGTCATAAATGAGTGGCTGGGACCAAAGGCCGCAGACCGCCATCGCGTGCGTACCTTGTAGGTCCCAGAGCTTTCATCTTTGCCGTATTCGCGACCATAACCCCAATAGCCGCTACGGTCGCCCCAAGACCAAGCTCCGACGCCCATGACGGGTACGCGAACATCCGTCTTGCCCAGAGTTGTCATGTCCATGGGCGACAGTTCAACCTGAGGTGAAGGAGTTGCACATGTTCTGACTGTGATGCACCGTTTAAGCGCTAAGCGGTGTGCTGCTGCTGTGGGCTTGCTGCCCGCACGCAAGTTTAGTCGTTGTGCCATCATAGTTTTTGGTTTGGTAAGAAAAGGAAGCAAATATTACGCTACAATACAACTTGTTACTGCGGTGCGCATTGCTTTTGTGAGTTGCGATTTGCAACAGTTACGCGCCGAAACCACTAACTCCAATCGTCCGGCAATCCTTTATCATCTGTAATGCACCTGAGAGGCCTTAATCGGGGCAATCACTGCTAGCAAGCTGTGATGTATAAACATCCCAGAGTGTTCTCTGTTCGCGCCCGGAGGATCCAAACGATCCATCCGTGTCTTACGCAGAAATTGTGTTGACGTCCATACGTGGGCACAGTCCCCTCACCCCATTCCCAATGTTACATGTTAGCACGAGGCACACGCAAGGCTACCAGCCGGACTAGGGCGGCTGCATGAGCAATGGGCCTCACCGGCACCGCCTAGTCCTGCACTGCAGTAACCTTGCATGTTGCAACACCTGCAACCCCACACAAGACTCCCTCCTCCTTCCCCCACGCCCAGTCGAATCCAAGGGCTTATCACCGCCTGCAAACACTTGAGCGCCACATTATAACAAAACCCCCGCTCAATTTCACACCAGTGAACCCTTCCTGCCACCACCTCACCACCGGCCTGTGTCCACCACCTACGGCAACCTCCTGACTGCCACTTTACCAGTACAGCAATTGCTGCAATCCAGATCCAACCGCCACCCACCTTGGACGACATTTCATCGTAAAACCGCCAACCGCCACCACCACCTCCCAACGCCGCCTTCTACGCTTTACCCCCTACCACCGCCAACCGGCTAAAGACCAGTGCTGGTAACAACTTAATACAGGGCCACATGCCTGAATAGGCTATGCTACACAGGCACATGGCGCATCCACACAAATACACCCTTCAAGCAACCACAGCAGTACCTTATTAGCTTATCCCGCACCCCAATCTTAGGGCCCACAAACCGAGCCAGGCAACCAAAGCCCATGCCTGCCACAGTACGGCAAGCCGCCGTACTGCCTAGCTCCGCCGCTGGAAAGCCCACACCCAACCCAATAAATTGCACGAGACAAACACCAGTTTAGGAGTCCACAACGCCACCGGGAGGATCGCGGATCACACGCTTTCACAGCCTGGGCATTCTATACTCGGCAGCGCCGCGCCGCTTGTAGTAGCTAGTAGGTCGCACACAGTAGTAGGTCGCACACAAAAGAGTAACAACAAGGGCAGGACCCTTTGTCCTCATTCGTCCGCCGGTACCGGCGACTGCACAGCAGCCAAGGAGAAAACACACACACACCCAAATACACGCACGATACACACCCAGACCACAAATGCATGCAGCGACCAATATACAAAAAGTATACAGCGAGAAGAAGCCCTCAGGTTGGTCGTCGTTATTAATAGGACTAACGCGCTAAAGCAGCGCCGGTAGTACGATATGCAAGGCGTTGGTCAAAGCACATGAGGCCAACGCAGAGGATGACGTCGCTACCAACAGCCAGACACAGGGTAAAAGCGATACACACACTCGCTTTCTCCTCAACTGCTGCCACAGCAGTAGTTCCACGCCTAGTTCTCATGCCTGCTCGATGGTGGTATCCCTGTACGGGTCTGGATCTGGATCGCACAGTTCGTGGGTGGCTGGCTCAACACTGATCGACTGCGTAACAGTTGCTGACAACGCACAGCACTGTCCGGCCATCGAAGTGTGTTATAATTTCATGTCGCCAAAGGGACAATGCAAAAGTTTACTTCCCAACTATCCCAAGTCCAAACGGGCTCGCGCTCTCTTCAGGCTCCTCTCGCGTCGAATCTCTCTCAACAATGTAACCAAACAAAGCATCTAGTTCGCTGCAGGTAAGGCACAGCAATGGAAAAAAGGCTGTGCCACAGGCACGAGAAAATGCATCAAGCACACACGTTGGGGCTGAAAGACGAGTCATGCGATTGACGTTCCGCACTACGAGTGAAACTGGATAGCCCGCCGGTGAAACGAACGCCCTGCAGAGCAAGGGAAGGGGTTTACAGAACTTGGGGTTAGTATCCAGGCGGCAATCCAGCACCCAGCGATCCCCGCCCCTGCAGCAACGGACCCACCATTCCAATGCACATGACGTGTCCCTTCACCCCACCCCCTGCCAAAAAACACATGACCGATTGCACGCACCCCTACCCCACATGCCACGCCCCCACTCCCTCCCACGCACCTCACCACACCCTTCCACATCCACCCACACCCTCAACCCTCACACCCACCCACCTCCTACAGCTACGGAGTGTCCTGACGGCTTCCCGGCCGGCGGCGGCGGCGGCTGCTGCACGCCGATGGCGCGCGACACCAGCGCCTCGATGTCCATCTCGCCGGGCAGCTGACACAGCAGCTCGGCCATGCGGCGCATCTCCGCGCGGCTGCGGTGCAGCAGCGGCCGCAACTGGGCCAGCAGGTACCAGAGCGCCCACACCCAGGCCATCACGAACAACACGATCTGCAGCGTCTGCGCGCGCCTGTGGGGTGCATTGAGGTGCAGGGGTGGGTTTGCAATTGTCGTACAACGTGTAGGAGCAGTATCGTATGTACAGAGGAGCAGGAGCAGGGGCACGGGAGGACGGAGCACATGCAGTGTGAGGCTCTAGGAGGGAAACGGAGCGGTGTGGGTGGCCAAGCCGGAGGGCGAAGAGCACGCGGGAGGCGTTGTCTCTGACCATACCTGAGGTTGTTGATGACCGTCTCGTAGAAGCGTTGGTTAAGCATTTCCTGCGGAGAGGAAGGGCCACCAGTAGAGGACAAGTGAGAGTGAAACGTGGCCGATGAAGGCTACAGCTCTGGCGGTCTGCAGACGTCGGGGCCTAGGCATCTCACAACGCTACAAGGGATGGCATACGCCACTCCCATGTCGCAGAGCAACAACACCAGCTCCGCCTGCGCCCGCAGCTGCCCCGATACCCGAGGTGGTGTTGCCCCCTGCCCCCACATGCACATACGCCCGCCGCCCCCCCCCCCTCACCAGGCCTCCCTCCGTGTCGGTCCGTGCGGTGGACCAGATGAATTTGAAGTCGCTGCTGTTGAGTCCGGTGCTGTCCAGCGGCTGTTTCAACAGCGACTCCACGTGGCTCACCTGCGCCTTCACAAGCACGTCCAGACCGTTGTGGGTGGCCTGTTTGGGGGTGGGGGGGGGTAGGTGGCGTGTTGGGAGGCAGCAGGACGGCAGCAGCATCCGCAGCGGAAGGACACGGGAGGAACAGCAGCAGCAAGCCGTCTGGCGTTATGCGCATGTGCCCGGGTAGAAAGCGAGAGTAAATGGGTGGGAGTAGGGCAGATGACAAAGGAAGGGGAAAAAAGAAATTCCAATTGTGTGGTGTGTGAAGGGGAGGGAGTGTGGTATTAGGAGGCTGAGAACGCATTTGCATGAGAGCAGTGGTAACGGACTCCGCCTGATACATCCTGCAGCATGCGACCATCGCGCTGGAAGGGTGGCGTGGGCCCGCGAGCCCTCCCGCCTCGTGGGTCCGCAGGCAACAACCCCCTACCTCATAATAGGGCGATCCTGGAGGCTGGCAGAGGCTCTGGTTGGCGCAGAGGCACTGCCCGACGTAATCTGTTGGGGCGGCAAGAGGCAGGGGTCGGAGATGTGGCGACGCATGCACGTGCCTGGCGGGCCTTTGTGCTACAGTGTCAGTTTGGCCATGTCCGCCGCTCAGATTTCCACCGGTGATAAAACATGACGAGAACGCAACGTGCATGCAAGTCTGAGTGACTCAAGGCATTCATGGAATGCCGGAAACGACTTTCACAGACTTCGCCCTCCGTGCATAGTCGCCCTCACACACTAGAACGATCACAATCACAGTACGTTCCTACTCGCGGCCAGTTTTCTCAACACTAGAACGAGTGCGTCCCGACTCGCGGCCGGTTTTCTCAACACAGACACTCCCCACAGCAGCCATATGTCGTGAGAGGGCCCCTGCGAGCCTCCACCCAACAAAGCCAACAGCAGTACTCACACATGACGGATGCGGGTTTGGACTCTCCACTGAACAGCACTCCGGTTGTCGCGAGCTTGAAATGGGTGTTGTTGGAGGCGTCAGGAACAGTCTGCGTGCAAGCCGGGCAGCGAGCCAGCATGTGTTGATTTGAGCGCAAGATAAGAAGAAGAGGGAGCAGAGAAGAGGTACCGGTGGTTCCGTACATGCCAACCGCTACATGCCACCCCGTTGACGCAGCCGCGGTTGGAACCGGTTCCTCCTCCTCCTCCTCAACCCTTCCCTTCTTTTCCTGGAGCAGGTCGCAGGTAAGCGCGCTTGCACGCCATGACATCCACCGCATGAGCATGAGCTGGTGTCATACCTGCAGGTTGAACACGCTGACCAGAGCCCCTACTAAACCCTACTAAACCCTAAACCCCATACTTACTCCAGATCCGTACAGCATGACACTGTACTCTGTGTTCATGGCCGCCAGCTCGGTGCGCAAGGTGGCCTTGAAGCCAGCCATGGCCGCCCAGCTCCTACCGGTGCAGGTCTCCTGCATGCGCGCGCGGGGGAAACACACACACTTGATCGCGCACAGTCCCATGGGCCATGGGCATACAGGACATGATACGCACCCCACAACGACCAAGCAGGATCCAGATCAGGAGCAGAAACGGGAAAGCATCCACCTGCATCCCCATCTCCATCTTCCTAGCGTCACGGCCACCCTTCTTCCCTGTGCTAACCCCCCACCCCCATTCCCAGCCATGCCACACCGCCCTCCACACCAACCCACCCACCAGCGTATAGTACAGCACACGTTGGAAGCGCAGCACAAAGGTTATGACGATGTTTAGCGTGGCGATGGGCGCGTCCATGCCCCTCAGCATGTCCACACACACCACACTGAACACGATCACAACCAACGCCCAAAGAGCAACTGGAGAAGCCAGCAGCAGCGGCATGCGCCAGGAGGGAAGCAGCTTGCGCTTGGTGCAGGCGCGGGAGTCGCCCGTCTGCGGATCACGAGTGTGTGTTGGGGGTTAATAGTGTTGGGGGGAGCAGCAGGCGGAGATGCAAGAAGCAGGAGCAGGGGCGGCGAGAAGATACTGTTGTTTGGCGAGGCGTTTAAATGTTGGAGGAACGGATGGCTGGTTTGGGGGTGGGGCCTATGACGCACGCTTACCTGACCTCGCCACTGACAGCGAGATGCATGGCAAGTCGGCACCGCACAGCACCCAATCTGAGCCTCACAACCTGCCAACAGCAGCAGCCCTGTAGCCCACCTTTGAGAAATGCAGACAGCTTGTAATCCGGTGCAGCGCCCGGAGGATCAGGTTCGCAATGCTGCTGCCATCCACCATGTGAAGCTTGCTGTGCAGCCAGTCCTCCTCCGTGCTCTTCTTCTTCAGCGTGAAAACCATGGTGCTTCGCTTCTCCTGCCGCTCCGGCTTCTCCTGCTGCTTGGGCGCACCGCCCCCCTCACCCTCGGTCCCCGACTGGCCCGCCCCACCACCGCCCTGGGCGTCTGTGGCAGCATTGAGCAGCCCCTCCTCGCCGTCGTCCTCCTCCTCGCCAGGCTCCAGCACGATGCTCATTTGGGCCAGGCCGCGGGTGAGGCCGATGGGCACGTGCATGAAAATGTTGAAGAGCTCAAAACGAGACCAGGAGAACTGCGTTGGCAGGACGGCGGATTGGCGATGCAAGGGCACAAGTCAGCGGTATGACATGATACGCGGTCACAAGATCACAAACAGGAACTTATGGAGTCAGAGCCTGGGAAGACAATGCACATTGGGAGTTCGTGTAGCCAAGGTGCTGTTAGGCATGCGTGCGCGGGTTTATGAGAGATATTGGAGCTGGGCGGGAGCGGCAGGAGGCTGGACACGGGAAGGTCCCATACCGATACGTTGCCGGACACTGCACCGCAAAACGTCCCCCCAAAGCCCACAGCCAGTCCCAGCCCCACCCCCTGCTCACCTGCTGTGCGGTCGTCCACATGTAGACTGCCGCCAGTAGGCACAGCACGCAGCCCTCCGCGATGAGGAAGATCAGCTGCCGCGTGTAGCCCACCCGCAGCTGCTTGGCGGTGATCTCAACCATGGCATCCAGCGTTTGACTGCGGGGGGGGGGGGGGCAGCGCGGCAGGCAAGTGCATGGGTATAGCTGAGGCGCGCGGCTGCCTCAAAGCAACGGGTAGCTCAGCAGGGGATCACCACCGTCCCGCCGTGTTTGACCGCGTTCCCATATTAGGGTACTAATGCGCACGGGTGCGCGGCCCTAAAGCAATAACGCCACGCTTTCAAGATACGCAGGCTGCTCGTAGCAAACAGCCCCTCGTAACTCCCCCCCTCGCGCAGCAGCAACTTACGCGTAGCCTGGGAAGAGCACGGACATGCCATTCGCCTGCGCACACAGGGCCACACAACAACGGGGCACCGGGGATGGATTGGCCGCCGCGACGTTGTGAGCTTGCGGTTCCAACAGATGGAGATGTCAGCACGCACTCACAAACAGAATCATGCCCTGGTTACGGCAGTACCGCAGCCCGGCAAGACGTTGTTGTGGTTCCAGCAACATGCAGGGACATGCCCCGAAAAACATACCCGTACACTTATTAGCCGCACTCCAAGCTTCAGCCCATGCACAGCACGTTCCTACACACGCACACGCCCCGCACGCCCCTCCTCGCCGCCCGTGCCTCCTCGCACACACCTGAATGAAGCGCCAGGCTGACCAAGTGGAGAAGTTAACCCCCCGCAGCTCCAGCTCCGGCACATTCTGATACACCTCCAGCGCCTTCTCCAGATACAGGTTGCCCGCGTCCCACAGCCCCATCTCCACCACCTCCTGCCTGTACTCCTGCTGGGCGGCGATGGCGAGCAGCTGCGTGTCCGGGTCGTTCTGGTCGTAGAAGAGCGTGACGTTGAGGACTTGCAAATTCCACAAGTCCTGTGGAGGGGGGCGGACGGGCACGCGGGCAGGTCATGTGCCGGGTGATGCGCAGCAGCAGCAGCAGCGTCAAGCAGCGAGGCGCCACGGAGGGGTAAGTGCGGGCCACTGCAACCGCCCGCTACCCAGCTACCCAGCTGCCCAGCTGCCCAGCTACCCCGCTACCCAGCTACCCCGCTACCCAGCTACCCAGCTACCCAGCTGCCCAGCTACCCAGCTACCCAGCTGCCCAGCTACCCAGCTGCCCAGCTACCCAGCTACCGAGCTCAAGCGCATATGAGTGTTGAGCAGCCCGCGCAATGAAGCTCAGTGAGGTCATCAGGTGAGGTCAGGAATGCGCATCAGGCAGACAAGATGACCCCCCATGCTGCGACACCATCTGCAGCATGTGCGGTGATCCGCATGCCGACATGCCAACAGGTGTACTTGAGCGAATGAAGGGGTGACTGTTACAATGGGTTTTTCCTCTGAAAACAACACGACACGAACACGGGTGATGTGTACACCGGCACGTACCCGGAGCTCGTAGTCTGTTGGCAGCTGCCGCGGCTTCCCAAAGCCCAGGTACACGCCGTGGTGTCGTGCCTGCAGGCCACCAGGGAAATCCAGAGGTCCGGCCGGAAACTTAGTTGAGTGCTGGGTGACCCGGAAGCTGGGTCCTACGTTTGGTTAGCGGTCCGTAACCATGGCTCAGCGACGTAATTCAATAGGCTCAGCGTTCAGGGAGTGAGTCGGGAGGCGTAACCGCACGACTGCAAGGCTGCATGCTCCCTATACCCGTCGTCTGCAGCGGACACAACACGTCAAACATTTCTACGTGCTGTCGGGTCCCACCTTGAGCAGCATCGCTGATGCGTATAGCTCGTCCAGCAGCTCTTGTACGGCAGCGTCCCGGGGTCCTTTGAAGGTGGGAATGCCGGGGACGTACCAGGAGTCGCTGAGGACCGCCTCCAGCGCCCGGCCGGTGATGGCGATGTTGTGAATGCTGCGACACGCCCAAGCTGCGAGTTGGGGACACGGGAGGTTACGGGAGATTACGCACGTGCTCGTTTCCTTAGCAGCCGCACGGGGGCAGGGGGGACAGGATACCGTAACTGGGCGCCTCACGTCGATCGGCATGCGCGCGCGTTGGTTGATTTAGCGGTTTACGGGATGCGGAACGCACAGCATGTCGGAGGTCCAACGAAGGTCTTAAGGCCGCAACTGCGCGGAACACCTACCCGCATTCTCCAGTGCTTCCACCTGCTGCCTGTCCGTCTGAGTGTGAGTGAGCATCAGCACAAACGTGACCTGTGGGGGGTGGGGGTGGGCCAGCGAAGGGAGTTCTTGGATGTGCAAAGCTCCCGGCTGCTCCAGGCAACGCAGGGGCCCTCGCCAGCAAGTCCCAATGCTTCATAACATCATAAGGCGGGTACGAAGGCAAGGAGGAGAAGCAAATGCAACATCGGGCCGCGCCGGAATTCTGAAGCCAATACGCCCCCTGCGTGCGACACTCACCACGTGAGCCAACACCAGCAACCCCGTAGCCAGCAAGCCATGCGCCCACACCCGTTTGCTGGGTTGTTGCGCCTGTATTGGGGGGAGGGTAAGAGACCACAAAAGCGCAACACGCGTCATTGCCGTACACCAAGCACCCAAATCGCACCCTTCCTCCACCATTTCCTCGCAGCCGTGGGGCAAACCCGACGTAGCACTTACCAAAGACGTCGGCGCTACAGGCAGCTTCCCCTGCTTGTCCTAACCCTAACCTGTCTAAACCCGACAAATCGTACGTTCGTACTCACCAGCGGACTGTTCAGCAGCCTGGTTAGCCGCTTGAAGCGCCGGCCCGCGCTATAGTCCGTCGTGTGCGCGCCCGCCTCGTCGCCCATGCTGCCATGCGCACACACGTGGGGGCACGCCCAGCCGGTTGGCCGGTTAGCAGGTTGAACCAGAATTAGTAGAACTAGGATTACAAATACATATAGAAGGGACGCGCCAGCGCTGTTCAGCGTCAGATGCAAAAACATTAGGTCACTACAGCACGGTAGCTAGTAAACCTCAATTGCGGGGACTGCAATAACTACTACTACGACTGCTGCTAGGAAGCACCATCGGCCGCAGCCGCAGCAGCTCCACCTGACGGTGGCCTGCCTGGCCGGCCCGGGCAGCAAACCAACCAACCTGCTGGCTCCAGCGCTTTCCTGCCTCTCCAGCCCACGGCGTTCTCCTGCATCCGCCGCGGTCGGCCGCCCCGTTCCCTCTCGTGTCAAGGAACCCACCACGCCTCCGTCACTGCTGCTCTGACGGTCCCCCTCCTCGCTGCTGCCCGCCACTCCGCCGGGGCTCTCACTGCCGCCGCCGCCGCCCAGCTCGGGAATGTTGGTCATCTTCTGTGGAGCTTGAGCAGGCTGGCCGGTATCCTGCATCTGGGGGACGCACGTGTTCATGCGTGAGGAGGAGTAATGCGCTAAAAACGGAAACCGTGAAAAACAGCAGTTGCATGAGCATGAAAGCTGCAGCCTCATGCTGGGGTCCGAAAAGCTTTGGCAGATTGCGCATGGCAGGTACCCTAATCCACACATGCTGGGGGTAATCCACTGACCTTGGCGTTGATGCCGTGGTCCCGGCCGCTGCTGACCACCCAGGACTGCACGCGGCGCTGCTTGCTGTCCAGCAGCTTCTTGGACTCGTTGGCACCCGGGGCGCCGGGATCCGCCTGGGGTAGGGAAGACAGGCATGCAAATGCAGGGGGGAGGGCAGTGAAGGGGCAGGATGGCGGAAGGGGCGAAAGCGCTGGGTCAGAAGCACCAGTCAACCGCCCGGCGCTAGCGCCTGATTGAACAAAGGTCTGGATAGGAATGCCCCTCCACAAATGAACGACCACTCTTTCGTGCATCAGGGAAGACAGCTCAAGAAGAGGACGTAGGCGAGGAAGCACAGCATCGAAGACGCATCAGCAACCAAGAACAGCATGGCGGACAGCGGCCACATCCCCGAACCAACAGGAACCACAGTTGCACATGCACAGCCACGCTCTTCCGCACCTTTGCCTGCATCGCAGCAATCATCACCGATGACCTGCCGGACCGAGTGGAGAACTGCGAGCCCTGTACCCTGAAACTCTCCGCATCCTCAACGCGCACCGCAGCCAAGGGCGACGTCTTCTTGGCAAACAGGGACGTAGGGCTGACAGGACTCACAGGCGCCCCCCCAGCCGGGACGGGAGACAACGCATGCGAAACCGAAGCTGAGGGCGGCTCCTCTGCATCGCCCTCTCCAAACACGGCAACCCCGGGCTTGCTGCTGCCGCGGTTCACCGTCACCCGCATGGCGCCCAGCGCGGCCAGCTGTGGCGGCGCCGGCGGCCGCGGCGGCATCCAGAGCTGCGGCGAGGAACTCGCCCTGCCCAGCACCCCGCCCGGGGCGGACCCGGTCTCCTGCTGCGAGCCAACCAGCAGCGGCGTGCTGAATCGCGGCGTCGCAGCGGACGCGACTGCCGCGGGCCAGTGCAGGTCGGTGCCCGACGGCACAAAGCCGGGAAGGGAATCGATACGCTCGATACCCGGCGGTGACTTGCTGGTGGAGGAAACATCCGCCGCCTGCCGTACCGCACCTCCAGGGCCGGTGCCTCCACCTCCACTTCCGCCTCCCGCATCCATCACGCCGCCGCTGCCGGCGCCTTGTACCCCCAGCTGCGTCGACCTCGCCAGGCCGCCCGTGTCGCTGTCTCTCAGCCAGCGCACGAAGCCGCCCTGCACGGTTACCGGCTTGTCGGGTCGCAGCATGAGGAATAGCGTGGCTTTCATGCCGTCGCACCGCACCGCCTGCGCGGTCAGGTTGAGCAGGCAGCCGTCGCCGCCGTGCCGAGTGCGCAGGGACACGGGGTGTCCGATGGTGTAGCCCTTGGCGCCGCGACGGACGCGCAGACCGCCGCGAATGGCGCCGGCGCCGCCGTGATGGCTCTCCGCGCCGCCGGGAGCTGCGGGCGCTTCCAGCAGCGCTGCAACGCCACCGGCGGGCAGTGGAACCAGGTCCCCGATGTTGGCTCCCATGATTCCGGCGCGGGATGAACCCAGGACGAGGCCTGCGGAGGAGGAGCAGGTGGGGGCGCGAGTCGTAAGTGGGGGGGGAGGAAGCGGCCTTGGTAACACACGCGAAAAATTACACGAAGCATAGGCAGGCATACCAGGGATACCGTACCACCCACATGTGATCCACGGGTCGGAATAAGGAGCCCATGACTCACCTGCAATGTCCGGCGTGCCGGCTGCATCCGTGCGCAGTACCTTGCCCGCCTCATCCACCTCCACCACGCCGCTCAGCAGGTCCGCCCGCCACAACTCCACCTCCAAACACAGACTGGGACACAGCGCCGCCGCACCGCCGCCGCCGCCGCGGCCACCGCCCTGTCCCCGGCTCGACGATCCCGCCACTGGCTGTCCCTGTCCCGACATGTTGGAGGTACCTGCGCGCTGCAACGGGCTGCCCGCGATGCCGGACTTGCGACTGGTGCCGCCGACGGAGGTCGGCCCCCAGTCACCGGAGGGGGCCGTCTCCAAGGGGCTGCTGTAGCCGTCGTAGCTGCCAAAGGCGGTGCGGTCGGCTTGGCGGCTCGCTGGATAGGAGCAGGAAAAGGGGGTGTGTGAAGAGGGAAGACGGGCGTGAGGGGTAAGGGAGTTGCGTTGGGGGTTTCCGTACTGAGGCTGTGGAGCTGCCTAGCGGCAAAGACAGGTATTGCAGGTTTCACCTTGAATGGTAAACAAGCTCGCCCATTTTTTGATCACAGGCGACCTTGTTCACCATTCTGTGTCTGTAGGTGACATGCAACACACACAGCCCTGATTCATAACCTACTTACAGTTGCCTAGCCTGGATTGCATGTCCCGTTGCAGCGCGGTCGGCGTCTCCTGGCCCCGGCTCCCGCCCCTGCCGTTCCTGCTCATCCCAAACGACAGCGCCGGCGACGCCAGCATGCGCTGCTGCCGCTGCTGCTGCAGCGTCTGCGGTTGCTTGCGCACCAGGCGGATGCGCATGACCGCCGGCACCACGCGCGCCCCCAGCAGCTGCACCAGGTCTCGCTGCTCGCCGGGACCCAGCACGTGAGCCATGCGGGCAAACTCCTCGGCGTCGGTTTCGTCGGGCGGCAGCGTGACGCCCACGCGCCAGGAGATGCCCTCCGCCTCAGCGCTCCTGAACGGAAGGAGGAACAGAGGAACGGAATTGGGAATTGGGAGGAGCCAAGGCAGGTTTCACGGTGGTGTTGTTAAAGGGGTTACTGAACCTGTTTTGACGTGCTGAAACATGAGTAAAGCCATCTTCGTGCTAAAGCAGCTTTTGCGCTTCACCCCTAGGACGTGCTTCATTCTTACAGCGCCTCTCGCCAGCCCCGACGACCCCCGCTTCTTACCTCTTTGTCAGCTTGATCAGCAGTCGCGTGATCTCACGCGACCGGGCGTCCCGCAGCACGTTCTCCATTCCCGACAGCAGGGGGCTCTGGCCACTACCGGGTCTACCACCGTTACCCGTGCTGCCGCCAGGCGCCGCAGCCCCATCCGCAGTACCACGCAGAGCCAAGCCAGCTGCAGCTCCGGAGCCTCCCGTCCTGCTGCTGATACCGGACGCCCCAGACTCACGCCTTGCTGCCTGGTCTTTAAAGATATCTTCCATTTGAAATAGGTCCACCAAGTCCTGGATGTTCTTGCCCACAAGGCTCGTAGGGTGGACGCCGTACAGCTCCTCGGGCGTCGGACCGGCGGAGATGACGGTGCCGCTGAGGTCCAGACGCAGTCGCAGACAGCGCTCCGAGGTGGCCTGCATGGGCGCGGCGGTGCGGCGGGCGCGGTAGTGGAGAACATAGCGACATGGGTTAGGGTTATTACCGGTAGTCAAGGTCAAACAGGGGGGCAGCCTTGCAGTGTAGAGCGTGGACGGCAACGCCATGGTGGCAAGGATACCGTGGTGCGGTACCGGCAGCAACGGTGGCACGCGAACGCAGTGCCCCCCACCACCTGTTTCCTATGGTTCGGTATGGTCTTTGACCCACCTGTTCCTCCGTCAGGTGCTGCAGCGAGATCACGTGGATACGGCTGCCGCCCCCCGGCACTAGCCGGTTCTCCACATGCAGCTTGAAGGGCACCTTGACCGGTCCCTGGTCCGGGTTGTAGCCCGACAGGTACACAGGAACACCGCTGCGGCAGCTGTGCGGCGGCGGCGGCGCATCCAGGCTGGTCCCCTGCGTCTGCGGCACCGACAGCATCTGCAGCCAGGCGCCATGCAGGGTGCCCACTGGGTTGGGGATGAGGAACTCCATGCCGCCCGCGCGAATGGTGTCTGCAGGGCGGCCCAGCGCGGCTGCCAGGGCGGCGGTGACGTGCAGCACTCGGCCCTTGTTGTCGGCGACCAGCAGCATCTCGGCGGACAAGCTGGGGCCGGCGCGCGGGTGGGCGGTGGTGATGCGGCGCAGCGTGACTACCATGAAGCGAACGGAGCCCAGCGCTTGTGGAGGAGAATGGGAACGGTAGCGGGGAAGGGGGATTGGGGGGGGCATTGTTTTGGACTGCGACATCGGACCGGCATGCGTGGGGTTACCAGGTTTCAACGGGGCTGTGGGCTATTCTTATTACGCGTGGGGCCAACCGACCCATGGGTCGCGATGTCGGGAGCGGGGTAGGACGCCGGCAAGCTGGTTTTACATGCGCCCGCCTACCTCCAGGTGTGAAGGTAGTTTGGAAGGGCACATGGTCGCCGTACTTGTGCACCCAGGCCATGTGAGGCCGGTGGACGACAGACATGCCGTCGTCTGCCGCGTCTCGGCCGCTCTTGGGGCCCCCGGTGAAGCTGGGGTTGACGTGCGCGTCCATGCTCCACACGCGGCGTTGCAGCAGCCCCTCCAGGATGGAGGCCCGGTGCTCCTTCTCCACGTGGATCTTGACGGTGGGCTCAGCGACCTTGGAGCGCTTCAGGATGCTGCGTGGCGGCAGCAGAAAAGCGGCAGCACAACAACACACATGGGAAGTACTGTTGCATTCGTTCCCCTGTCTACGGTGCTCTCTTCCCTCGTGTCTGGCGACTACACCCACGGTAATCTGATTTGGGTTACAGTACCCTGATGTGGATTACGGTACCCTGATGTGCTGCCCCCAAACCCCAACCGAGCCCCACCTCCCCCCCACACGCGCGCGCAACCACATTACGTCCCCGCTCACGGCCAGATTTGTTAAGTGTTAACAAAGCCCGCTGCGCACTCACCCCTGCACCACCTCCTGGTCCACCACAAAGTCATCCGCGTTGCCCCCCATGATCTCCGCCAGCGGGTAGCCCAGCCAGTCGCACGCGCGCTCGTCCGCCGCCACCACCGCGCCGCTGCTCAGCAGCCAGATGCGGCCCTCGTCCTTGGGGTGCGTGATGGCCTGTGAACGAGAGGAGGAGGGCAGAGGGAACGAGGAGATGGAATGAGGAACAAGGCACGGAAGGGCATGCAGCAAGAACAAGCGAAACAGGCCAAGAGAAAGGAGAAAGGCAAGGGGCAAAAGGAGCTGCTTCTCTCAGTCGCAAAAGCTGGTTTTAGGTACCGGTACTGCCATGCATGTTTCCATCGCCCGCCCGCTCACCTCAAGCAAACCCATGAACACAGAGTCCTGCGAAAGGGGTGCGTGACGGCGAAGAAGTTGGAGAGGGGGCATGCGGTGTCAGGCAAGTTCCAGCGACTTGAGTAGCAGCGGCCACAAACACAGCATCTTGACACATCCACAGGGATCAGACATTGACATACCAGGCTGCTAGCGCACAAGCCTACCGGTATGCCAAACCTTCGAGAGCGCCCACTCACCTCGGAAAGGCCAGTGACCTTCGTGACCACCATTCGTATGGGGCAGATCGTGCGATTCTTGGTCAGCGCGATGAACTCGTTAGAGCGGTCCAGCATTGTCGATGTGCCTGATGTGGGAAAGAGGTGAGGCGCCATGCATGCAGCACCCGAGCACACGGTACGGTTAAGTCGGGATGTGGCACCTGTGATGCGTGGCTGGGCTCTACAGGCAATCTCGCATGCATCCGGGCCGTACACACCCCAACCCCACGCACCCGTTTGGACGTAGTTGCGCACGTAGGCGGTGTGGTGGTCGCCAAAGGGCGGCGGCATGATGATCCCCACATCCCTGCAGCAGGTAGGGAGCCAGGATTGCGGGTTCAACAGGGAGCGTTATACTAGTACGGTAAGGGGCTCTGCTGTGAAATGCATCCTACCCTAGCAGGGCAGAGGGCATAATTACAACGCGAGGCAGCGCAAGCAACATCTTTGCATGGCCATTGCCTTCTCTCATCCCATTATGCAAAGACCATGCCCCTTCATATAGCCCATGCAATCCCTCCCGCCCCGCCCCCCGCCCCGCCTCACCTGCCCTGCAGCTCGTTCTTGCCGTACCCCAGCATCACATGCACCTGCGGGCTGGCTGCCTGGATGATGCCCTGCGCGTTGATAAAGATGAGCATCACGCCATCCCCCATCGCCATGTTGCCCTGCGCCGCCATGGCCACGTCACGCGGCAGCACCCCCAGGTCCAGCCCTCCCAACACGTCCTTGGTGTGCTCTGAGAGCTCCTCCAAGCTGTCTGCCTCGCTGTGTATTGAGGAGGGGGAGAAGAATTTCAAAATCAATTCTCAATGCGTTGAAAGGCGGGGGGAGGAGACGTAAGAAATGATAATGGGAAAGGTGTCAGAAAGGCAATAGAGGAGATTGAAAGGGCAGGCGGAGCAAGGGTAAAAACAAGGGTGGACTGCAGTGTCAGCGCTGACACCCAAGACATTTGAAGAGCTGGATTTTGCCGGCACGAACAGCGCACGTTGTGGTGTATGTACCGCACATTGAAAGACTGCCCTACACCGTATACTTACGCGAACCATTTGGCCGCGCCCCACGGGTCCAACTTGACGGTTTCCAGGAACTTGCCGTACAGTCGCATCAGCCGCGTGTTGCTGCTATGGCGCCCAAGTGCCGTACGGTACGACCGCTCAGCCGTCCTGATGGCCAGCTGCGGGAGCAGGGAAAGGAGGAGGAGGAGGAGGAGAAGGGCAGCAGGGGAGGTACGGCATGCAGCCCGGAAGCAAGTGACGCCATGCATGCAAAGGGAGAGCGGAGGCCGAGACACTGCTGTGTATTTGCACCCAGCAAGTGAGGAAGGCAAGCGCTGGCATGCCACACAGACCCCAGGGGAGAACCCTCGTGAGTGTTGGCGTGGTTTGTAACAAACACAGCAAGGGGCGCGCTTCTTCACACACGCCGGCGCAAGTAACCCCAACCAAAATATGGTAAAATATTACATGTACGGCCGCATGTGCAAGCAGCCGCACCCCACCTCGATGTTGTGCAGTGCTTTGTACAGCTTGTCAATGTCCACCGCGGACCGCAGCAGCAGGCCCCAGAAGGAGCGGATGGCGATGAGCGCCTCCTTGTGCGCGCGCGTGACCACTCTGCGGCAGCAGTGCGGTGATGGTGACTGGGTTGCACACATGCATGCGTGCATGCATGCACGCGAGATACGCCCGCATTGGGACAGCTGGGGACACAGACTCAAGCCTTGGTGCTTCCACTAAAGCCATAAGCCAGGTAGGTAAAGCAGGTAGGTAATGTTGGCAAGGCTCGACTGTGACTGAGAGCTGCAGAACTGGCCCCAACCCTGATCCTGGGTTCCTGACATGCTGACCCGCTGACCCACTGATTGACCCACCGGTGCGTGCGCTGGAACTCCACGTAGTTTATCAGGTCCACCGCGCCGCCCGAGGTGGCGCGGGAGGAGTGGTCCTGCTCGCGACTGTAGATGGCGAAACGCTCCATGGGCCCCGGGGACCGCTGCTTGACAGCCTGGTGCAGGAGCAGCAGCAGCAGCAGAGGCAGCAGGACGCAGTGTCAGCAGCAGCAGGAGCAGCAACAGGAGCAGGAAGAGCAGAAGGAGCATCGTCAGCAGGTGTTGGGGATAGGCAAAAGGGGCGGCAGGACACGGCAGTGAGGGAAGCGGCAGGGCAGCAGCATCGGACAGAGACGGAAGAAGCACGGAAGGAGAGCGGACAGGAATTGCGGAAAAGAGGAAGTGTGCCGCGCTTGGATGGAAGCAGTACCGGTAGCACAGTGGCGCGGTCTGCTCACCTGCAGCTGAGCGTAGCCGGACTGGTAGCTGCCTTGGACGTCGATCAGGAAGGAGGAGTACAAGATGATCATCACTGCGGGGGGAGCAGAGTAGCAAGACCAGTAATAAGACCACGGGACCAGGGGACCAGTGGCCGAGAGGACGAAAACCGCACCCTGCCTCCCCGCTGCTTCCTTCAGTTTGTTTGCTTTTCCGGCACAACCTCTTCTCCAACCCGCTCACTCCAGTGGCTTCCGTATTCCATCAGAGCGAGCCGCTTTCTCTTTTCGACCCCCACCTCCACCCACCCAGCCTAATGCGGACTATGTTGACCCCTATTAACCCCCACCCACTCAACTCTCTTCGAACCCCACCCCCACCACCCACTCGAGTCGTGCGGCAGCTGCGTCATGCCCGCCTTGATGATGGTCTCACACAGCGCCATGGCATCCGGGTCCACCGTGTCCTCGTCCAGCCACCGCCGGGCGCAGCGCGCTGCGATCTCCACCTCGCGCGCGTCCCGGAAGCGGTAGGGGAACTTGACGGTGCTGGTGCTGGCCTCGCTCGCCTCCAGGTCCCTGCAACACCAACACACCCGTACAGCATGACCCACATGAGACACTATACCGACACGGCGCCAGCTGTGCACACCACACACCGACAAACTCGAGCCCTCACGGCAAACCTTGACGTTTCTATGGGCTGGGAAACGAGGCGAGCAACATGAGACGGCGGCTCCCATCAATCCCAAGGGCCATGGCGCACGCACACACGCGCGCTTGCGTGTAGCCCTGTAAGCCATCGCAGCCATCAAGCCGCGCCCCACCAGGGGAAGCCCCAACCCAGGAGGAAGCACCCACCCCACAACCCACGCACCTGAACAACCCCACCACATAGCCGCTGAAGTACCTCAACCGCCAAAAGCACACGAAAGCGCCCACCAGCGCCGCCGGACCCAAACCCGCCCACAGCGCCAGGGTCATGGTTCGCGCCACAGGCGGCAGCTCCTCCTCCCGGTAGTACACCCGCGAGTGGTGCGTGCCGTTGCTGAACGCAAGTACGGAGAGCAGTACGGAGCTGTACAGTACGGCAGCGTAGGCGCCGCAACGCGCGTAGTTGAGTTCATTGTGAATGAAGGGGACCTGGGCAGGGGGTGAGTGCGTGCGTGCGGGGTGGGAGCCGCGCGGGGGGAGTGAGGACCGGAATGAGGTGCGGAATGCACGCAAGGTTCAGGGCCTCGCAAGGAATGAGGCATTCCTCAGCCGCTTGGGCACGCCTTGTCCTTTGAAAGGCACCAGCCCTTTCAAACAACTGTCCCTTCCCCTCCCCTCCCGGCCAGTACCTCCAGTGAGTACACAACAACACGAGAACACAATGCCTGCACCCTTCATCCGTGCGCCTTTCATCCCAGTACCCCCCTTCCCTGCACCCCCCATCCCAGCACCACGCAGCACGCCATGCTGCTGCCGCCAACCCGCACCCCCCCTTGTCCACTCGCTCACCCATTTGATGTGGAAGTAGTAGAGCAGCAGGAAGACGGCGACGTACATGATGCTGAGCGCCTTGACGCTGGTGACCATCACACTGGCCAGCGTGGCGGCGGTGATGAGGATGAAGCCGATGCCCTCGACTGTAGGAAAAGAGAGGGAGATAGGGAGAGGGAAACCGTCTCAGATATGGGGGAGGCAGCAGGGAACAAGGGAGGCGCAGTAAGAGGTGCATGTCTGCGTTGAAGGTGCCAGATGGTGCAGAAGGGGGCCGCCCTGGGCGTACCTCGTGTGTTGTTGATTGCCATGAAGTTACGTGTCAGGGGGTTCAGCTCCATTTCGCTGACCTGTGCGGGAACGAACAAATTACCGGTATTTTAAGCCCAACAGCGCCAAATGGCATCAACAGAAGACAGCAAGGAGCACATGATCGCGTTCGCTGTCAACCCAGCATGCAATCAACCGGGCAGCTCTAGCCCGGCCACTTACCAGCATTGCTCCTGCCATGACGACGAAGAACACAATGCACACCACCGACACCCCCACTTGCACCAGGTGCGGCATCTCCCAACACTCTGCGGGACAGGGACAGGGGCCGGGGCAGGGCAGCAGGGGCGGGGCAGCAAATGGGGTTCAGCGCGCAGCTCGGAGCATCACATACACCGGACAGCGGCAACGTATTGAGGAAGGAACACTGGAACTGTGATGGCAGGTGATGGAGCTCGACGGGCACACAGGCCAACCGTCCTTTGACGTCCATGCATGGGCCCCCTCCCCAGCTAACCCATCATACCAACTAGGACTTACTGTGGTCTGGGAAAATACGGTTGATGAAGACCTCATTGCTCGGAACTGGACACGGGAAGCGCAGGTAAGGAGGGCAACACGGAAAAAAGTCAGCGCAAAGCTCAACACACAAAACGAGTGCATACTTGAGCCGAGTGCATACTTGAGCGTTAAGTCGTCTGCTAAGATGCGTTACAGGGAAGCTAAGAACGGCAGCAGGGGCCGCGCTTGCCTAACAGTCAACATTGAGGCAAGAAAAGCGGCGATGCCTCGTGTCAAGGTGCTACCCAGGCGGGCCCCTCCTGGCGGGCCCCATCCCCGGGCCATGGTCAGTGCTTCCTCGCGGCGTCAGTTTATACAATCCTCGTGCCCCACGCACCGGAGAAGTAGTTGCAGTCCAGCGCAACCAGCAGGAGGGTAAGGGAAGTCACGTAAAAGACCTGCAACGGGTAGCACAGCGGGTTGTCAAGATGCCCCTCCCACGTACCGTATGGCTAGCCAGGTCGCGAGCCAGTGCGCCAAGGCATATGTGGGGTGCACACAGAGCCACACGGCTCCCGGCTCTCTACTGTGCCCTTGCCTCAGACACAGCCATTCACCACGAGCCACCACCAACGCACAAGCAGCCGCTCTGTTAACCATCCATGCACCCCTCCCTGCACCCAACTTGACCCTCCCAGCTCCCACCCACGCGCCCAACCCATCCCATCCCATCACCCTCGCCCAATCCTCCATCCCACCCCACCCGACGCACACCTGTGTGAATATCAGGCCATACCAGCGCAGCCCCTTCACCAGCCAGGCGTGCGCGGTGCGGTTGTTGGCCAGGCAGTACGCCAGCCAGGCGCTCACGCCCACGCTGACCGCCAGCAGCGTCACGAACATGTAGAGCAGCACCAGGTAGAACTTGTAGCCATGCGGCTCCAGGAACTCGCCCAGACTCTGGAAAGACACGATGCGCCATACCCTGCATGACCAGCATGAGGAGAGAAGAGGGGGTTGGAGTTGGGGGGGAGAGATGTGCCATGCAGTGAGCGATAGTGGTAAGGGAGAAGGGGGGGAGGCTGGGGGTGCGCGTGTGGGTGGGTGGTCGGGTGCTCAGTGCATGGCTGGGTGAGGTAGGCGCAGCTGGCAAGGAGGGGCGGAGTGAGGATATGGGTCAGTGCGGGACAAGCGCGGAATGGATTGGGCCCGAAGGCGAAACGCCGCGGAAACAGAGCCATAGCAGGGGGGGCGAGTGAGTGTGTTGTGCGCAGCGTGTGTCGAGTTGTCCTAGCAGGTAAGCAGCCCGAGGGGCCCTAGGCTACAGGTAGGCAGGGTAGGCAGGGGACGTCGCAGCAGACTACAGGCGGGATACAGGCGCGCGGGAGGGCCGTACGTGATGTCCGGGTTGACGTGCCAGCCATAGTGGGGAACCACCTGCACAGGGGGTGGGGTGGGGGGCGGGGCAGGAGGCGGCAAGAACGTTAAGCTGCGGGCGGGTGCATGGAGAGTTGGAGACGGAATGCTAGGAGGGTTGTTGCATGTGGCTCAGCCGGAGTCATCAACTGACAACTGCATGCCTAGGCGCAGGCTGCGGAACAGCGCCAGGCTTCGCCAAGCTGCCCGGAATTGCTCACCGTCAAAAGCCATAGTTGTAAGGAATTGAGAAAGATGCGCAGGAACGCATACTTGGGCCCTGTTAGCGGTCGCTCCTTGCCAAGGGTGTAGAGTACCTGTTGTAAGCAAGGCGTGCGCACACATTGGGAGGTGAGAAATGGGCTGGAGCGATGACAGCGTGGGTGATGGTGTAACAGCTCAGCATGAGGACAAGGGTAAGGCAGGTAGGTATCATGCATTGTTGCCACTCTGGCCAAAGTACGGCATGCAAGGGGTTGTGAGAAGCGGTACCAACCCCAGGACGTCACAAGGGGTAATAGCCGCTTAGGCGTCGTTTGAGAATCACTCACGCTGAATACTTTAAAAAGCCAGTGGCGTTCCTCAAACACTTCGTGGTCCTCGCCAGGGGCTAGGTTGCTGTGGGTCACGCATGGGAAGGGAAAGGGACCCGGTTAGTAAAGGGCTTTTGAAGCCCCAGCAGCAGCATATGCCCGCTGTTGTATCGCGGCAGATACTTACGTCACGTCCAGGTGGGAGCCATTGGCGGACGAGCCCAGGGAAGAGACCGAGCTTCCACTCATAAGGACGCCAAACTCCAAATCTTAATAGGGTCACCGCGTGTCCGCTACGGAGGCATACGGCCGTCTCTCAGCGGGTTCCATGCGAGCTCTATACTATAAGCTCATCCTTCTCCAAAGCAGCCGATAGTATTTCCGGCACGTAATAATGTGTACATGTGCTAATATGTCATAGGCAGATAGCTGCACGGATTATTTCCTCTGCGTCATGAGGACGCATTATGTCATAGTCTACACAGCGCTTCAAAACTTTAGCACCACAATAATGTTATTGCTTAGGCAACCGAGTTTGCTTACGACTCTTGCCCTTCCTTCGCTGTTACAGTTGGTCCAAAAGGCGTAACATGAAAAGTATAAAGTGAAAAGGTCATAACGTCGTACTCCTTCGGCCAAAAAGGACGCAGCTTGTGTAGTTAGTAAACGTTCATACTTCTCTGAGCATTCGTCAACTCCTGAGCGGCCCCCATGCGTACCCGTTTCGGAGCTACCAGGCCTCCGCGTTGACTTCCCATGATGACATACATGCACCCCGCGATAGCGATAGTGAACACTATTAAGCACGTCTCCCTAGTTCCTAATATGGCGCCGGCCCACCGTGGTAACGGTAACGGTATAGGTGCATAACCACATCACGGACAGCAGCGAGAAGCCCTAACCCGCAGACTGGGCTGTTGTATCAAGCTTGGCTTCGTAATGATGTCAAAACTATTGGGCGCTAAAGTTACTGTTGTCTTAACACCCAACCCGTGCGCAATGTGGGCCTACGGCTACGACACGGTGCTTACGGTTAGTCCTATCGCGTCGTTTGTTCACCTTAATGTAGGAGTAAGTGCAGCGCGTCGCGCACGAAAGAACAAACACGCCGAGTGTCATCATTGGCCAGACATGCGTGTAGTAAGCTATCTGAGTAAGACAAGGCTGGACGAAGAAAAACTCCGAAGGCTGAAGGACGAACATGGGGAAACCAAAACCCTGGCCTGGAGCCCGGAGCTGCCTGGAGCAGCTCTAAGGGGCCAGGCAGGGGCAACCTCCAGCCCCAGCATTGTTCCCATTGTGGCTGTGGCAATATAACGTCAACGGTCTCTGCTAGATTCCAACGAGAGGCGGCAACACAAACCACCATTAGCTACCACATACGTGTGCCATAGCTTGCAAATGTTAATTTTTAATACCAACTGTTGCAGGCAAATTGCCGTTTCACTTCGCATGTCTTGCGGACAAAAATGATGAGAAATGACTGTACCGGCATCATTTCATACCTAATGCAAAGAATGTGTACCGGGTATCCCAGAGGAGCATAGCGGAATTCCCGTGTTTCCGTACAATCCTATATCTGTCGCTCGTTAACGAATCGACATCTTTCGTAGGAACTCTGATACCAGAATATAGCCTTTGGTAATCCTGTACTTTTTGCAGTCACTTTGCGAGCAAGCAGACCGTTTGTGCATCCTGAACGATGCTCAGGAGCGCCGCTGCCATCTGGGGCGGCGCTCCCAAGCCTATTAGCTTAAGTGCACGCCCCTTAGCAGCTCCATGCACATCGTCATACCGCCCGTTGGACGTAATACAACCAGCGACGCGCCTGCTCCGCTCGTCCATCACACGATGTCCACTTTTAAACCCGCGGACTCCACCATCTCCAAGAGGCGACAGCTGCACCAACGTCAGGGCCGCCAAGGGCCAAGGCAGCAGCGGCTCTCCACGTAAGGCTCGCAGAAAGAAGGAGACAGCTCCTGAGGAGCAGGTGCCTGCAGAGGCCGACGCGGGCCCCACGCTCAAGGCACGCCGCAAACGGAAGGGAGAGAGCGCACACCACACGTTGGAGCAGCAAGCAGGCGGGGAAGCGGCAGCTGCAGCAGCAGCAGCGGCTCCGGAGACTCAGCAGGCCTTCCTTCCTTCTGAGGAGCAGCAGCGGGCCATCAACATCGTGATGAGCGGGGGCAACCTTTTCCTGACGGGCTGTGCTGGGACCGGCAAGTCAGCCACGCTGAGTGATATCCGATTGAAGCTAAGAGAAAAGTACGGGAAGGACTTTGAGTCGAAAGTGGCTGTCGTCGCCCTGACGGGGCTTGCGGCAACCCTTGTGGAAGGTACGGCAACTGGGTCTGTCGGACGCCCGCTTGTGTTAAGAAATCTGGCCGCGAGTCGGAGCGTACTGTGAATGCCGGAAGATGAAGTCCCCACAGAAGCCCGCTTGTGTGCAAGTCTGTGGCATGCTTCTTGCCGCACACCGCGGTAGTCATTGGCATGCACGGCATCACCGCAGCGTTCCTGGACACAAGGAAAGGGCGCTCTCGCCCGTTCGTGCTCACTCCCCTTCGTGCTCTCTCCCGCTTGTGCGCTCTCCCGTTTCTGCGCTCTCCCGTGCTCATTCCGCTCAAGCTTTCTCCCGTGTGTGCTTTTACCGTCGTGCGTGTTCCCTCCTTCCCCAGGCGTCACGCTGCACTCGCTGCTAAAGATAAAGAAAGCTGAGAACTTCGGCAACTTCCAACGCATTGAGGAGGATCCGCAGGTGAGTTTGCAGCGCACTCCACCAGCCACCCATCCGGCACATACATCCCATATTCATATTCTGGTGCTGACTACGGCGTCTTTGCTCGCAGGTACGCAATGCGCGTTTGCACGCACGCATGCACAGCATTGTGGTGTCTCGTCTGCGTGACAAGAGCGGGGGCTCCCGGCGTCGAGTTGGTCAGCGGGCTGGGTCCTCGGTAGTAATTAGTTTTTTCCGACACCATCAGCATCACCGACATTCAGCACCAGCTGTCTCAGCAGTTTTCGAGTTACGGTTCAGGTTTGATTACCTCTGTTTGACCTCTGTTTTGCCTGTACTCGCGGTTCACATGCGAACCTATCCCAACTGCTTGCTCTTGTTTCCGCTCAACTACACCCCATATTCCCTACACAGCCTCCCATGTGTAGGGAATATGGGCTGAGGGCTGAGTCCCCGCACAGGGCTGAGTCCCAGGACTCCTGCCACACTCCGTACCCGTCCGCCCTGCCCCTCCTCTCAACCCCTTCTGGCCTCACCCCAGTCACTCGCCCCTCCCCTTGGCCGCCAGGTTCTATCCCTGCTGCTGCGGCTGGGCACCATCATCATCGACGAGTCGGGGATGCTAAGTGGGGAGATGCTGCAGACGCTGGAAGTGCACATCACGAAAGCGCGGAAGAAGGCAGCCAGAGCTGCTGTCCTGGAGGAAGAGAGCATAAGGGGGGTCAAGCTGAGCAAGGTGTGGGGCGGCGGGGCGGGGCGGCGCGGGGCAGGGGGCGTAAGACTAACACAAGGCAACCCGCTTAGCCCTTCGAGCCTGACCCAAGTGGTTGCAAAGCCACCATTCCGGAGCGGATGGGGCAGGGGGCTGGCCGTGAGGCGGCTCAGTAGCGGGGCTCTGGAAGGGCTTTTGTGTACATAGGCACGCTGGCCCGTACCTCCTGAGTCCCGACCTTTCGTTTTTCAGGAGGAGGTGGCCGAGCTCCTGGCGCAGTACGACAAGCCCTTCGGGGGCCTGCAGGTCATCGTGAGCGGCGACTTTTTCCAGTGAGTGACTCTGCCGGAGTTGCTGCCGCTTGCTTCCGGACCTGGTTGCCCCTGGTCGACCTGGTCGCCCCCGGGCAGCTCTCCCAGATTACTGCGGGGTCAGCGCCCTGCGGTCAGCAGGCCACACAGCATCTGTGTTGGAACGGCGACTACCGGTACTGCAGTGCTTGTGTGCCACGCTGCAAAGTGTGCACCCGTTAAATAATTTATCATGTTAGAATCATTAGCATGACATGGCAAGCGACATGACATGTGCTACTTGTGCTGCAACACGGTAGCCCCGCTGCTTGCAATCCCTGCGCCCGTCTGCCCCCTCCTTGACAGGCTGAGCCCGGTCCCAAAGAAAAAGGACCACGCCGACCGATCCGTCCATGCGCACGCGACACCCCCCGGCAAGCCGGGCGCGCGGGAGATACAATTCGAGAACCGCGGCTTCATGTTCCAAGTGGGTTTGGGCCCGCATGTGCTGCAGCGTGCAGCATGCGAGGCTGCAACGGTGCACCGCAGGGTCTTTTGTGCGCGCGCATGGGACTATGGGTTGCGGCCAGGCCGCGGTTGCAGCCAAGCCGCGATAGCAAGGCTGAGAGGCAGGGGCTAGAGTGCAGCCGATGTGTTCAGCATGCACTGGTAGGTGGTGCTCTTCCGCCTTGGCGGTCGCTGTGGGTAGGGATGATGCTTGCGTTTCCGCTGTCGCGGCCTTCGCCTGTTCAGTATACATGTCACTGCGTGCATGCCAACTACCGTACCGTACCGCCACTACTCAGACGTCCATGCACAGCCTCCCCCTTCTGCACACCGCCCGCATTTCCGCAGGCCCCTGCGTTCCATTACGGCGAGCTAGAGCTTGTAGAACTAACCAAGGTGGGGAAGAAATTGGCGGCGGGGGGTGGGGTGGCGGTCCTGTCGGCTGGTTTGGAAGGGAAAGAGGGAGTGTGGGATCGACGGCACAGTGGGACCCACGACGCATGACGGCATGCGCATTCATCTCTGCCTTTTTACCCTCTATAAAAAGGGATTCACGATATAGCGCACGTGTTCATCTCTTAAACGCCCGCACCAGCAGCTTATCTGATCCCTGTGTTAATCAGTCACATGCAGCCATGTCTCACGCTGGCCCATGGGTCGTCGCGCCTCCCCACCTGCCCGCCCACGGCCATGCCTCACCCCTCCACCCGCCCCTTCCCTCTGACGCCCCCAGGTTTTCCGACAGGAGGATCAGGAGCACGTGTCCCTGCTGAACGACATCCGCTGCGGCCCCGACGACGTCTGTGCGGCTGCCCTGAAAAACATCATCCACCGCTGCTCTCGCGACTTGGACTGCTCAGTCGGCATCAAACCCACGCTGCTATACGCCACCAACAAGTTGGTCGAAAAGAAGAACCAGGAGGAGCTGGAGCTGCTACCGGGAGCTCTGGTGAGCGGAATGGGGGACGGGAGGTCTATCTGAAACAGGTGCGACACTCTGGTAGGGGGCTGGGAGCACTGTGATGCCCGGCAGGTGGGTCGGCAAGCGGCAGCTAAGCAGCAAACGCCCATCCGCGGCGACAGTGCTCTTAAATAATAAGAAGGGTATCCGGTAACGTCCCTCGCGTGAACCTTCTATGTTCATGCAGGCGGTGTTGCACGCAGCGGAGGCTGTGGTGGTGGAGGCTGAGCCACCTGGGAGGCACTACCTGCCGCTCCAACAGGAGGGCCTGCTATCCAAGCACGAGTACGAGGAACTGGAAAAGGGGCTGGACGAAGAGAGCTCCATTCGAAAGGTAAGAGCTGCAGGTATGCTAGGTGCAAACGTGCATCCAAGTGGAGGTACACACGAATTAGATGTGTCATGCATTGCACGCAAAACATGCAAAACACAACATCTAGTTGTTCTGGTGTCGACCATAGAAGACCCACCTATTGCACCTTGTGCAAGTATGCTTTATAAGTTTTTTTTAGTTTTTAAAAACAAGCAAATGTTCCACCTCGGTGCGCGGTGTAGGGCCTTCCTGGCGCCCCGCGGCTCCTGCAAGAGCTGCAGGGGGCTGCGAGAGAGCGCGCGTTGGAGCTGCGGATGGAGTGGCGTGGCACGGCGGAGAAGCTGCTTTGGGACATCCACGTGCGTACCTTTCATCGCAGCCAGGCGGAGCAGCAGGTCATCCTCAAGGTAGCGCTTCGATGCTGATGATGCGGGTCTGGCCTGAGAGGCCACGGATAGACATGGAGTTGCAAGATGGGGCCTTCCCGTGTCGTGCTTGCTGTCTGCATCTTGTAACCCTGCAGATTCATTAGTTTTACGCTAAGGACCCCTAGCTTGCGTTGCCCAGGCGCTTCTCGGCTACGCCCCCATGCCGCCTGCAACAACCCCCGCCCTGTTGCCGTTGGGTAGCAAGCACGCGGCATGACCCCTCGCGACCCATGGGTCACCACCTGCACGCAGGAGGATGCCCAGGTGATGCTGGTCCGCAACATTGACCTCGGCTCGCAGTTGGTGAACGGCAGCCGCGGCGTGGTGACGTGTTTTAAAAAGGCGGACCTAGAGAAAACTGACAAGCTGTACGCACAGTGCATGAAGTATGCCGAGGCCGCGGGCTGCGGTTCCGAAATGCATAGGTAAGTGGCTGCCCTGACGACAAGTCTGATGCTGGGAGCAAACAGCTTAGTATGATGCATGTTGCTTGGTGCTGCTGCCCCCGTCTCATGAACCACCTGACAACTACATTGCGAATGTTCCTACCTGCCTCATCTGCCTTTGTGGAATGTGTGCCGCCGCGTGTTTGCTTTCATGGCCTTTCATGGCTTTACCAATAGCTCAAGGCGTTTGTACCCCTAAAGGTTATTGCCGCTACTTGGGGTCTCGTATATATCGTGGTCACGGTACTGCCGTACTTGAGAACTTTCCGTACATGAACTGCTAGGCTCTCCCCCCATGCCGGCTGCTTTGCTTCAGGTACCTGAGCAAGAACCCCTACGTGCCTGTTGTGCGCTTCTTGAACGAGGAGCAGCGGGCGATCACACCCGCTATCTTCGACGCGCATGTCCCGGGCTATGGCAGGTGCGTGCGGATCCAGGTAAGCAGCAGCAGCAGCCCATGGCATATGCTACGCCGTACTAACTGCCTGTTGCCGCTGCTTGCCGTACCGCACTCAACCTACCGCTCCTGGACATTCACATTCCTGCAGTGCCCCCTCAAGCTGGCCTGGGCCATTACTGTGCACAAGTCGCAAGGCCTGACGTTGGATCGGGTAAGGACGGCTGCGCGTGAGGTGCCCTCCTGGATCGTGTTTGACTGCAGGAATAAACCGTTTCGGGCCCATGGAATGTCTACGAGCGCGTGGAGCCATCCTCTCGCATAGCCATATATAGTTAATTAGTTAGATACGGCACATACACACGAGGCGGTTCTGTGGGGACTTCATCTTCCGACATCCCAGTATGTTCCTACTCGCGGCCAATTATTTTAACACACGAGGAAGTGGGAGGACTTCATCTTTCGGCAATCACAGTACGTTTCGCCTCGCGGCCAGTTATTTTAACACACGAGGAAGTATGCGCAGTTGGTAAGCTGCACGGAGCACTTTTTTGTCATGGCTCGCAACACGGTATGTACGACATGTACGGCTTGAATATACGAGATGTTCGACGTGTACGTGCCTGGAATGTTGCTCAAGGAGCATTCCTGGCCTACATGAGCTTGCAAACAACGATGCACTGTGTTGGCCTTATGCACTAGTATACGGTTGACTCGATGGGGCAGTCGGATCTTGCCGCGTGCCGATTTCGTAGCTACTTCCCAGCTCTTTTCCAACTAATTCCTGTTCCGAACCGCCACCAGGCGATCATCAACCTGAATGACTTCTTCGGTCACGGCATGTTGTACACGGCGCTGAGCCGGGTCCGCTCGCTGGCTGGGCTGCAAGTGAAGGGGACCACCTGGAGAAAGGTGAGCTTCACGCTTCCAGTTGTGGGGAGGGAGGTGGAGGTTGCTTCCTAGCGGGAGGAAAAGAAGAGTTCCGTACCCAATGTGTTGAATGAGAATGACAAGCCAGACGACAAGCTCCTAGCTGAGGAGAGCATGAGCCGAATCCAGTTGGGGATTGGCTTTATGATCCGACATTGAAGTACTTCGACATGGGTTTTGCTGGCGCGTGGACGCTGTTGGGATCTTGTTGCCAAACTTTGCATGCCCGGTGAATCCCTGGCCCCTGTGCATGCAGCCCGAGCACAACGCCGTAATAGCCCGCATGGCCCTAGCACAGCCCGCCCTCTGTCCCCCTACCCCACCTAGCATCACTCATCATCAGGGATGCACAGACAGGCGTACAGATACCTATCAAGCCAGTGCCGTACACCTCCTGCGGCTACGTTTCCTAAGCCCTCCCCCCCTTCGCCCCTTCGCCCGCGTCTGCAGATGGACCCCGAGGTCCGGCGCTGGTGGAGCGCCCACCTCGCTGGGCACCCGTACGACATGAACCGCCTCCCCCACATGGACCCCCCCTGGTGCTGGCAGGACGTGCGGCTCCGCAAGGTCCTGGGCTTCACACACAACCCGCAGGCGCGCGCATGGCACGCGGCGTGGCTGGCCGCGGGGGCAGCCGCCGGCTCGCCGCATGCGGAGCTCGCTGCGGTGTACTTTCAGCTGCAGGAGCTGATGACGCTGGGGCGGCCGCTGGTGGGAGTAGACCTGCAGGGGCCGCTGGAGAGGCTGGGAGCGCTGCAGCGGACGCTGCAGGAGGCGGAGGCGATGGAGGTGGCGGAGGTGGAGGTGGGGGAGATGAGGCAGCTGGCATTGCCAGCGCCTGCGGAGGTGGTAGTGCCAGCGGTGGTGGAGGTGGGAGAGGTGGCAGTGCCAGCGGAGGCGGTGGTGGAGGTGGGGGAGGTGGCAATGCCAGCGGAGGTGGAGGTGGTAGTGCCAGCGGAGGTGGAGACGGAGGTGGGGGAGGTGGCATTCCCAGCGCCGGCGGAGGTGGTAGTGCCAGCGGTGGTGGAGGTGGGAGAGGTGGCAGTGCCAGCGGAGGCGGTGGCGGAGGTGGGGGAGGTGGCAGTGCCAGCGGAGGCGGAGGCGGAGGCGGGGGAGGTGGCATTGCCAGCGCCGGCGGAGGTGGTAGTGCCAGCGGAGGTGGAGGCGGAGGTGGGGGAGATGGCAGTGCCAGCGGTGGTGGAGGCGGAGGTGGGGGTGGTAGTGCCAGCGCCGGCGGAGGCGGAGGCGAGGGAGGTGGCAGTGCCAGCGGAGGCGGGGGGTGAGGAGGCAGAGGAGGCTGCTGGGTTAACGGCGGGGCAGCAGGAGGGGCAGTAGGAGACGCAGGAAGGGGCCTTGCTTGCTCTTGCGTAGTAGCAGTAACAGTGGGAGTAGGGAAGCTGCACTGCACCGGGGGCCGGGAATGACCCAAGGCAGATGCAATACCCTAGCCTAGCTTGTCAGCTGGATGCGGGTTTACAACGGAAAGCAGGAGGGGCAGGAAGGGGAGCAGCAAGAGTGGCAGCATGAGGGGTAGACGTTATAGGGAATACGGCGGGGCAGCAGGAGAGACAGCATGCAGCAGGCTGACTGGCGCCTTGCATGGACATGGAGAGTACTGCGCGCTTGTGGCAGGGCAGTGCAAGGCAGGAGGGGGTCGAGACTGGGGAGCGGTTGAGGATCGGGGGGCTGGTGTGGGGCCGCCGCCTAGTGTTTGATTGTTCGCGAGGACCGAGGAGATGCCCATATGCGTTAGCCATATTTGCACATTTTCGGTTATTCGTGCATTCTACTGTTACATGCTTGTGGGTTGTGATGAGGCACACCCATGCACACTCGCGGCCAGTTTTCTTAGCACACCCAAGGCTATCCTCCGCATAACCTCTGCACCATGCTCCTCATCCTATGCTGGGTGCGAAGGTGTGTGCTGTCACAGCGCGCAGGTGCATCCCAACCAAGCTGTGCTGGGTGGTTGTCATATAACCGGTTCAGGTCCGGTTCAGCTGGTTCTGCTTAAGGCGCATGGCTGGGATCGTGGCTCCCCTGGCGCGAGATAGGACTAGGGCGCAAGGAAAGTGCATAAGTTCACGCAGCGGTAGCCTGCCATGCGGCAAACGCGGTCACTGTACTGCCCCCGCCCATCCCCTCGCCGCAGCTCCTGACACGCACCCCACGCCCCCCTCATCTCCCCACCTCGCACCCCCCTGCTGCCCTGGCAGCATGCATGAACGTCGCTTCCATCTGTCTAACCGCCTCCAGCACCCCCTCTTCCACTCCATAGCCACCCACATCTCCATCCCTACCCCTTTCCTCTCCTCCCTCACCCCTTCCCTTCCCACCCCGCTCTCCCCCATGCACCTCCTGCCCCACCTGCAACACCTTTCGAACCCTCCTCAGAAGCTCCCGGCGCTGCTCATTCAGCCTCCGGGCTACCGCCGCCCGCTCCTCCCCCGCCCCCGGCCCCGCAGCCCCCACCGCCGCACCCACCACCCTCCGAGTGCGCAGGTCGAGGTCATGCAGGTAGCTGGCAGCGTTTGCGGCGTGGCCCTCCTCCCGCCGCCGCCGCAACGCCTCTTCCCCCTCCTCTCTGGGAGGAGCAGGCGCAGGTGCAGGGCCCCATAGCCGCCACAGCTCCCCACACAACCTTGCCACCCGCTCCTGCCGCTGCTCCTCATCCCCCTCCTCCTCCTCCTGTCGCCGCACCTGTTGTTGCCCCTCTCCGTGTACCGGTACTTGCCCTTGTTGCCCTGCCCCGCCTAGCTGCCCCTGCTCCTGCGCCCCACACTCACCGCAACCCTCGCCGCTGCCACCACCACCATCACCACCACCATTACCATCACTACTACCACCACCGCAGCAGCAGCAGCAGCTCCCCGCCGCATGCACCTCGCCCGGAGCTCCCCAGCTCAGCGAGCTCGCCTCCCAGGGAAACCTCTCCGCCTCGGGGGGCTCCAGGGAGGCAGCCATGCGGCCCAGCACCTCGGGCGGGACCGCCTGGGGACCGCTGCGGCGGGCGTTGCGGGCCTGTGCGGTGTGCGGGCTGGCGGGCAGGTAGAGCTGCAGGAAGGCGGCGCCGCGGTCACGAGCAGCGCGGTAGAGCTCGTATCGCATGCTGGGGAGTGGGGTGTGGAGGGAGGTGGGGACAGGGGACAGGGGATATGGGGCTGCTGAGGGGACGGGTAGGGGATGCGGAGGGGAAGGGGATGCCGTGGGGTGCTTGCTGCGTGCTGCGGGGAGGTAGGGTTGTCGGGGCTTGCAACAGTTGCTCGGCATGCGGGGGCCCACCAAGCACTGTAGTTGATGTGTTCATCGCAAATCTCACTGTCACGGCACCGGCCCCCTCCCTGTAGCGGAACCAGGTTGGTCGACATCCACCTAACACGGCCCATGTCAACCTGTAGGCAGAGTGCGAGCGTAGCCCCGAGCACACCTGCGCAGATGGTGGTTGTCGTCGGCGATGACGAGCAAGTACGGAGCGTCATCGTCCGGTTGGATTGGCCGCTCTAGCAAATCTAAGACTTGGGATAGAGCTGTATGTCTGCTTCGTTGCCAGACATCCGGACTGAACTTTCCTTCGCGCAGCAGCTCCGCATGCAGCCAGTCATCGTAGCGGACTATCTCCACCCGGCAGCGCGGACCAGTAGGTATTAGGGCGTTGTTGTTGCTATTTATAAAGATGCGGATGCGCTCTGCTAGAGTTGTTTTCCCGCTGCCGGGCAGACCGCATAAGAGCAGCAAGGCGCGATTCGCGCGTTCTTGTGCCATTCGGAGCAATGCAGAAATAGAGGTTACATGCGCAAAGTGACAAAGACGATAAAGCAGTTTTCGCCAAAGGCGAAGAGAATCATTTAGACAGTATCACGCTTGGGGACTTGACAACATCCCACGGCGCACTGTAGCTATGAAGAAACAATCTAAGCAACAATCTAACAAAATGGTAAGGATAATCAGCGCTTGTACTTTCCATAGCAGGTACACATCAATGCAGGCAAAGCAGTGATCAGCATCATTAGTAATACAACTGTCCGCGGCCCTGCAGCTTCCTCCCTTCGACCCTACTGCTTCACCTCACCAACGCAATAGTAGTCACACAGACCAACGCGCTTCACACGTGCAATCCCGCCGCTCCCATTCAGAACAAAGATCAAAGATGAAATCAATACAGCCGTTAGGCAGCCAAGCCCAACCAAGCCTGAAGAAAAGAACTGTGTCACAGCCACAACGAAGGTGCGTCGGTGGCAAGACGGCCCTACAGCCTCATAACTAAACATCATATGAGAGCTTTAGACATCCGGCCCCCAAACCGTATTCGACACGAAAGGCACGAAAGGGAACTACCAAAGGAGCGCGCAATACGTACTCCTCCTTCTCTGCTAGCTAATGTACACAACGGGGTTGCCCCCAGACCATGCAAACCGCAAACAACGGACACGCCCACACCAAATGTCAGTTGCTTTGTTGCCCATGCCTGGGTGCGCATATGAGGGCCCACCTGGGGGCTGCACCCAGCCTAGCAGCGCATGGAACGCGTACGAGTTATCCCTTTGAGCCCGGATGACAAACCCAATTGGGCCCAGATTCGAATCCGGATCCGGTGTCGTACAATAGTATGGAAATCGTATGCCTCGAAACACTGCCTCCTAAGAATGGATGAGTATCGGAGACAGGGATAGCCCCAAGAGCCACACCCTTACTCCTGTGTGCTATGTACATTACACCCCCTATACACACTTCCCCTCCTACACAACATTGTTTCTCCACATGCACCCTCTGGGGCTCTGAGCGCTGTCGCAAGCGGTATTGGAGGCCGCACTCCTCGCCTGCAGGGTCATGCAGTAGTCACCCCTAATAAGGCCCCTTCTACAAGTGAGTGTCCTTATTCCCCATAGCCATGCCCCCCCTCCCGCTGCTGCGAGTCTTAGCAGCAGACCCCTTGTCGTGACACCCGAAGCTCCCACCCCGAAGCTGCCACCCGCCCAGGCAGCCAGTCCACCGCCGCGCCTCAGCAGCAGCGGCGAGTGACCAGGTTGGAGATGTCCTGCAGTGCAGTGCAGCGGGAGGCAGTGCATCAGGGGGCAGCTGCTCACTCCGCAGGTCGCATGGCACCCTTACTACTCGCCACTCACTACCCTGTGTTGCATTCAAGGGTCAACTCACCCCCATCCCCACCCAAACCTCAGCCCAACCCAGCCCCGTAACCCCCAGCCCCCCGCCCCTCACCTCCTCCTCCAGCCCGCCCACCGCCTCCCCCGACTTGACGTGCTCCACAAAAGCCTCATTGGGCGTCATCAGCTGCAGGCAGTACAGCCGCGTCCCGGTCGGGTTGTCCAGCCCGTGTATCGCAAGCGGCGGAAACACCACGCAGTCGCCTGCTCGTACGGAAAAGTGCTGGCCGTTGCAGTGCGCGACACCCTCGCCGGACAGCACGAAGAAGAGCTCGTGTGCGGTGCGGTGGATGTGCAGGGGCGTGCGGTGGCCGGGCTCGAAGACCTCCACGCCCAGGGAGAGGGAGAGGCCGAGCTCGGCGGGGTCGAAGACGAAGGCCTGGAGGGGCGGGCAGGCGGGCCAGACGGTGGGTGGGTGGGTGGGTTGGTAGGGGGTGGAAAGTGGGTGGGTGTAGGGTGTGCGAGGGGGTTGGGGTGCAGATGGGTGATGACATATGGTTATGAAAGGAGCTGCTGTAGGAAGTGTGTCGCTAGGTAGTGTGGGTGTGTGGGGAGGTAGTACATGCCCGGCTGTACAAGGGAAGTGGCAGTTTGCGACCGGAAGGGTTGTCCAGCTATGCTGGGAAGGCACACAGCGGACAACAACATGGAGCAAGAAGATGCTCTCCCCGCTGTCCTTTCATCCCAGCTACCGGTAGCCGTACTCCCAGCAACACCCACTGCCTTACTCCCCGTACCGCCGTCGTACCCACCAGTCTGTTGGTTTGGCTGGGGAAGCGGAAGGCCTGGAAGTCCCGCAACGCCCGCTGCAGCAGCACACAGCCGGGGCGCCCCTCCGCCGCTGCTGCTCCTGATGACGCTGTTGGCGCAGACTTCCCTGCCTGCTGCTGCTGACGCCACCACTGCTGCTTCTGCCGCCACCACTGCTGCTGCTGACGCCACTGAGGCAACCCCAGCAGGGCTCGCAGCAGGCGAAAGCCCTGGGTTGCCGGAGAGAAGGCAGTCCGCAGCAGCCGCCGGAGGAGGGGCGGCAGCGGAACTGTGTTGGCGGAGGCGTTGTGGGGCGCGGAGCGCCCTAGCTCAACGGAGGTTGCTGTGCGGGTTGCGGGTTGCTGGGCGGCTGCAAGGGCGCAGCCTCGCATTATGTCGTCTGCTTCCTGCGGTGACAGCTCGCCATCGGGACTATCCCGGTTGCATTCGTCCACGAGGATTTGAAGGTCGGCGTGGCTGGGCATGGACGCGACTGTGGAGCCGGGCGGCAGCAGGAGAACGCTGGCTGGGAAGTGGAATTTTAGCACCACGGGAGGCGTTTCGGATGAAGCTGGTTGCAACTCGGTGGTGTTGTGCCAGGCAATGAGGCTGTCGCCGGTGTGCAGTGTTCGGACGGCGCCGTCAGCTGTATTTACAATTCCGGTTCCTGTGATGACGAAAAGCACGTCCAGCATTTGAGATCTCGCGTTATTCGCGGTTGCAACATTCCTTTGCGATGTACCGGGAAGGACGTCGGAACGGTTGTGCGCAGGTGGTGCTACATGCTTTTCAGTTAAAGAGTCATGGCTGAAGCACTCCACGGATGCTCCAAAGGGAAGCAGGGACTGCTGTCCGCTTCCGGGGCCAAGCAGCGGTACCACATGGTGTTCGCCCCTTGCAAGTTTAGCGCTTCCCGCCAGCTTTGTCACGATAGCTCCACCAAAAGGTAGCTGCTGCTGTGCACCATAGTTTGCAGCAGCTGCATAGCTGCGCATACCGTTAGCATGAAAACTATTTGACTTGGCAGAATGAAGGTAGCGCTATACTCCATACAGGAATACAAAGGTATGACATCGCTTACTTCACACACCGCATCGACTCACTACCGCAGATGTCGAGCGATTACTCACCAGACTCCGACCGTCGAACTGCCCGTTAACCGTCCGATGCTGTGGACACCACGCCGGTGATAATGTCGTGTGCCGCACGTAGCATCGGTACCGAAAAAACTGTAAGCCATGAAGATATGAGGAAGAGGGTTTGAAAGAACGTCCTCCCTCAATCTACCTTCAGCGACCAGGAGTATTTCAATTTTCCTGAAGTTGGGTAATTACAGCAGCCGGAAGAAGGCGACCATTGAGCATAACAATGCGCTCTCCTCGGGCCGCTGTGTAATGTACGACAGCTAACTTTCCCCCACGCCCCACCCGCAATAAGTACTGTCACATAACTCCCGGCTGGTTACGGGCAACCCCCTACTTTATCATGGAGCCCGCTGGGGCTGCACCCAGCGGTGATGTCTCACCTGAGCAGCGACATGAACGTGAAATAAAGGATGCCCGCGAACGAACTCGTTTATTACGCGAAAAGTTGGTGTTTCGTTGCAAAGATTTAAATAAATGGAAGTTCTTTGTGCCGGCCTCAGTTGAGGTCCCACCCGAACCAGCAAAGGCTGAAGCAGAGAAGACGCTGTTTAACATCATCACAGGATGCCTATACGATCCCACGACTCTAATACCGCTGGAAGTGCAAGCGCTGCACAAAAAGGTTGGTTCATCTCGATCGCTGAAAAGGGGCGGCGCGACGTCGCAGAGCCCTCGCCTAAGGAGAGCTTCTTTTAACCACTTTCAACACGCTGTTTAACGCGCTCAAGTCTGTCCATTCTGAGCACCACGTGTTCACGTACGGAACCCGGTCACCCATCCCCTGCTCCCACACCCTCCCCCAGATCCTAGCAGACCCCGCTGGCGAGCGCTATGAGGCGGCGCTTTCCTGCCTGGGGCTCTCCTCTCCCGAGCCGCTCATCCACAAGCTCGCTTCCATCAGCTTCAAATTCGGCGCGCACGAGTTCAGCTGCCTCAAAATCGGGCAGCTGGCCTTCGCGGATGGCGTCCGGATGTACGTCACGCGCGTGGACCGGCCCGCACTCACCAGGTGGGGTGCTGCCTGCGCCCCTGCCGGGTGGACCGGGGACCCTTGGGGACCTGCACTGGAAACACGGCCTGCTGGGCATGTTGGGGGTCATGTGGGTCGGTCGGTGTGACGGGGGTGAAGGACAGGGAGGGGTGTCACAGGGCCCCGCACCCCACTCACCCGCTGCTGCTGCTGCTGCCGCCGACCTGCTGCTGCTGCTGCATCCTCCCCGCTTCCCCTGCGTCCCCAGGCTGACGGGCATCGAGGACCCCGAGCGCCTCAAGCAGCAGCAGCAAGGGCAGCAGCAACCACCCGGCCAGGGAGGGCCCCAGCAGCAGCAACAGCAGCAGCAATCCGGAGGGGGGCAACCAGGGCAGCAGGGACCCCCGCAGCCCCAGCAGCAGCCCCACATGATGATGGGAGGCGGGCCGCAGGGACCCATGGGTCAGGGCGGCCCCGGCGCGGGCGTTCCCGGGCCGGCAGGCGGCCTGGGCATGGGCATGGGGATGATGACGGAGGGGTTGGGCCACCCGCAGGGGCCGGGGGGGATGATGGGGCCGGGCGCGGGGCAGCAGGGCGCGGGCGGCGGCTTGATGGGTCCGGGGGGCATGATGGGGCCGGGGGGAGGCGCAGGAGGCGGCATGGGGTTTGGGATGGGGCTGGGGCCGCAGGGCTTCATGGGAGCAGGGCGGCAGCAGTTGCCAGGTGGGTGCAGGCGGAGGGGCGGAGAGGGGGAGGGAGGTGATGGCAAGGGGGGTTTGCTGGCTGAGGGGCGGGGGGCGGATCTCTGTGATAATAGGAGTGAAGGGAACAGTGCTGCTTCGGAACCGGAGCTGGCGAGGATGGCCGGACGCGTGCCAAGCAGACTGTAGCAGTTAAGAAGCAGCACTTGGCACCCGTGGACACCCCTCTTTGCTGCACGTCCCCTCTTCCCAGCCCGCATCCCTTGCCCCCCTGCCCTTATCCTCCCTCCCAACCCCATGCGCTCACGCCCCAGGTGTTCCCATGGGTTTCCCCGGTCCCGGCGGCGGCCCCGTGCCGCCCCCCATGCCGCCCATGATGCCGCCAAGCGGCCCAGGGGACGCATCCATGCCACCTCCACCCCCCCACCAGCAGCAGCAGCCGGACGCCAAGCGACCCCGCACGGAGGGCGCTGCGGGTGCGGGTGGGGGCTCGGAGCTGGATGCCATCCTGGGCAAGCGCTCCGTCAAGGAGAAGGTCAAGGTGGAGAAGTGAGTGGGGGCCAAGGGGGGGGGGTTAGGAGAACGGGAGGGCGCCGGCGACGGCGGCACTACTAGGAGCACGTTGCATCAACACGGCTGTTCACTTCCTCCCTTCCCTTTCCCATCCTCCCGCCCCGCTCCCCCCCCCCCGCTCTCCACCCCCCCGCTCTCCCCCCCTCCCCAGGGGCTCCGAGCTGCTTGACATCCTGGCTCGTCCCACCGCCCGCGAGTCGGCCCGCGTGGAGCAGTTCCGTACGGCAGGCGGCAGCGCCATCCGGGAGCACTGCCCGCACCTCACCAAGGACGACTGCAGGAGGTGGGTGCATGGGGGTGGGGGTGGGGGTAAAAAAGAAATTCCAAAGTGTGGTGGGGTTGGGGGTGGGGTGGGGGGCTGTGACGTGTGTGTATTGTGTCCCTTCAGGTTTGTTGTGCTGTGCAACCAAGCCTGCCTTCACCAATCGCAGCCGCCATGCTTCCTACCCTCCTTCCCACCCCTACCTCCCCGCTTTCTGAACTTTTCGTTCCCCTCCTCGCCCGCAGGATCAACGGTGCCCCGCTGGCGTGCCCCCGGCTGCACTTCTTCCGGGTCGTTCAGCCGCACACGGACGTGTCGCTGGGCAACTGCAGCTATCTGGACACGTGCAGGTGCGGTGCGGGAAGGGTGGGGGGGGGGTCAGGGATGTACTAGAACCACAGGTTAGGGGGGGCGCGTGCAGGTGGGCGGGGTCAAAGACCATACCAAACCATAGGAGACCACAGGTTAGGGCAAAGCAATGGGGGTAGGAGGCGGCAGGGTGCCACAAGACAAAGTGCTGGTTAGTATGCGGGGGGGGGGAGGTTAATACGGTTACATATTCCGCATTGGGCTGACTGGCACTTAGGATTGCCTATAGTCAAACTTGTTGGGTTAGTAGCCGCACACAAAGTACTGGGATGGGGTGTAGGGGGGGTTCCTAGGGTGGAGCGGGAGAGAGGGAGGGGTGGGAGAGGGGGGGAGGGAGGGGTGGGAGTTATTAGGGTGGATAGAGAGAGAGGGAGGGGTGGGAGAGGGGGAAGGAGGGATGGTGAACGGCAAAAGACGGAAGTGAATGAGGCTGGGCAAGGAGGCCCTTGCATGCGTTATCGCGTTGTTGCCAAAGATTCTCCTTTGCATGCTTGTAAGGGGGAAGGGATCGACGACGATGTAGCATCATGGCCTTTGTGTCCCCTGCCGTCCTCTCTCCGCCCTTTCCCCCGCCCCTCCCCCCATCAAATACACACACACACACACACGCACGCAGGAACATGCGCACCTGCAAGTACGTGCACTACCGGCCCGATCCCGAGCCCGATGTGCCCGGCATGGGGGCCGAGATGGCGCGACTGAGGGCCAGCGTGCCCAAGTAAGAGGGGGGTGGGGTGGGGGGCGTCGGGGTGTTTTGGGTGGCTTGAAGGCGAGGGCTGGGGGCTGACTGCACACCTACCGGTGCTTCACCTGCCTCCCTTGGCTCTCCCCATCATCCATAGTATGGCATTTTGTTACCGGTATTCTTCTCCCCCTCCTCACTTGTGGTTTCTATTAGAACGGGTTGGCTTCTCTCCTGACATACACCCCTTCTAACTCCCGCACCCCCACCTCCCCCCCCCGCAGGTACCTCCAGGCGCTGCAGGCCCCCCAGTGGATCAACTGCGACGTGCGCCGCTTCGACATGAGCGTGCTGGGCAAGTTCGGGGTCATCATGGCGGACCCGCCCTGGGAGATCCACCAGGATCTGCCGTACGGCACCATGAAGGACGACGAGATGATCAATCTGGACATCGGGTGCTTGCAGGACAACGGGGTGATCTTTGTGTGGGTGACAGGTGGGTTTGGTGGGTGGTGGAGGAGCGGGGATGGGAGGGGGGCTCCATCAATGACCCAAATCGGAAGGTGGTGCGTTGAGGGCGGTGGGTGATGCAAGACGGACCCTCCCTCCCCGCCCCTGCCCTGTCCCTCCCTTCGTGACCCCCCCCCCCGCCCCGCCCGCCAGGTCGCGCCATGGAGCTAGCTCGCGAGTGCATGGCCAAGTGGGGCTACAAGCGGGTGGACGAGCTGATCTGGGTGAAGACCAACCAGCTGCAGCGGCTCATCCGCACCGGCCGCACCGGCCACTGGCTGAACCACTCCAAGGAGCACTGCCTGGTGGGCATCAAGGGCAACCCGCAACTCAACAGGTGGGGGGTCAAAGACCATACCAAACCATAGGAGACCACAAGTTAGGGCAAAGCAATGGGGGTAGGAGTTGGCAGGGCGCCACAAGACAAAGTGGGGGGGCGAGAGAAGGGCTGGAGGGCAGGAGGAGGGAGGAGGACGACTGGAGGAGGGGACGGACTGACGGGGCTTTACAGGTTTGAGGGGCGGAGTAGTAGGATTAACACGCCCCTCCTCTTCTCCCAGTCTCCCGTTCTTCCCGCCGCCGTTGTTTGGCACAACCTGTGGTTTCCTATGGCCCCGTTTGGTCCTTGACCCCGCCGCTCGCCCCCCCCGCAGATACGTGGATTGCGATGTGGTGGTGGCCGAGGTGCGCGAGACCTCCCGCAAACCCGACGAGATGTACTCGCTGCTGGAGCGGCTGAGCCCCGGCACGCGCAAGCTGGAAGTGTTTGCTCGCAGCCACAATTGCAAGCCCGGCTGGGTGGGGCTGGGCAACCAGCTGCGCACCGTCAACATCATCGAACCCGAGCTGCGGCAGCGCTTTGCCGCGAGGTACGGCTTTGAGCCCGACCCTAACCAGGAGTGCATGGTGCATTAAGGAGGAGGAGGAGGCGGAGCAGGAGGAGGAGGTGGCGGATGTGAGGAGGGGGGAGGTGGGGGCGGATGTGAGGAGGCAGGGCAGGGCATCTGGGGGATGGTAGGAGCGCATGGGGGAGAAGGAAGTGAGGAGGGAGTGGAAGAGGCTTGGAAGGCGGTTGTGCCGGTGGAAGGCGTGTTGGGTGGCTGGCTGCTACTAGGGTTTGCTAGGCTGGGGAGCTGGGAGGGGGGGGGCTGTATGCAGGGGGCAGTCAGCGGGGTTTGTGTGCGCTGGCTTGTCCTGTGAGGGGGCCGGAGGGGCGCAGTGCATGCGAGGTTGGGACGGGTGATGTTGGGGTGAAGCGCGCATGGACAAAGCAGCTGACGTGATCTGGGGGTGGCTACGGTAGCTTGCTTGCTTGCTTTGACATGTCGATTCTGCATTGCAGTCAAAAGGCTTGGAGCAGCCCGCCTTTCAAGTACATACCTGTACATGCTGTCGTGCACTGTATGTAGTACAAGGGAACACACAGAGCCGTGCAACTTGTGCGCTTTACAGGCTGGCCGCATCCTATACCCGCCCAGCCTAATCCGGAAAATGCATCCCTGTTATTCCGATACCCCAGGAACACCTGGCCTATTCACAGACCAACTGCCCAACCGCTGTCGTACGAACTGCATGACGGCAATGTGTTTTAGCAGCACCACCTTTCACGACCGCAACGGCATCTACGGATATGGCCCATACAAAGGAATATCCAGCGGTAGCTTGATCCCCAGGGTCGGCGAAGTCTTAGGAATGCAGCGTGCGATTCCGTTCAGCGGCCACCTCAGGCCCACAGAGACACCGACCTGGCAGCCACCGACCAAACACTCAACGACCTAGCAGCCGCCGACCTGGCACCCGCTGACCTGGCACCCGCCGACCTAGCACCCGCCGACCTAGCTCCCGCCGACCTAGCACCCGCCGACCTAGCACCCGCCGACCTAGCTCCCGCCGACCTAGCACCCGCCGACCTAGCACCCGCCGACCTGGCACCCGCCGACCTGGCACCCGCCGACCTAGCACCCACCGACCTGGCACCCGCCGACCTGGCGCCCACCGACCTGGCACCCGACGACCTAGCACCCGCCGACCTGGCACCCGCCGACCTGGCACCCGCCGACCTAGCACCCGCCGACCTGGCACCCGCCGACCTAGCACCCGCCGACCTGGCACCCGCCGACCTAGCACCCGCCGACCTAGCACCCGCCGACCTAGCATCCGCCGACCTAGCACCCGCCGACCTGACCTAGCACCCGCCGACCTGGCACCCGCCGACCTGGCACCCGCCGACCTAGCACCCGCCGACCTGGCACCCGCCGACCTAGCACCCGCCGACCTGGCACCCGCCGACCTAGCACCCGCCGACCTAGCACCCGCCGACCTGGCACCCGCCGACCTGGCACCCGCCGACCTGGCACCCGCCGACCTAGCACCCGCCGACCTAGCACCCGCCGACCTAGCACCCGCCGACCTAGCACCCGCCGACCTAGCACCCGCCGACCTAGCACCCGCCGACCTGGCACCCGCCGACCTGGCACCCGCCGACCTAGCACCCGCCGACCTAGCACCCGCCGACCTGGCACCCGCCGACCTGGCACCCGCCGACCTGGCACCCGCCGACCTGGCACCCGCCGACCTGGCACCCGCCGACCTGGCACCCGCCGACCTGGCACCCGCCGACCTGGCACCCGCCGACCTAGCACCCGCCGACCTGGCACCCGCCGACCTGGCACCCGCCGACCTGGCACCCGCCGACCTGGCACCCGCCGACCTAGCACCCGCCGACCTAGCACCCGCCGACCTAGCACCCGCCGACCTAGCACCCACCGACCTGGCACCCGCCGACCTGGCACCCGCCGACCTGGCACCCACCGACCTAGCACCCGCCGACCTAGCACCCGCCGACCTAGCACCCGCCGACCTAGCACCCGCCGACCTAGCACCCGCCGACCTAGCACCCGCCGACCTGGCACCCGCCGACCTAGCACCCGCCGACCTGGCACCCGCCGACCTGGCACCCGCCGACCTGGCACCCGCCGACCTGGCACCCGCCGACCTAGCACCCGCCGACCTGGCACCCGCCGACCTGGCACCCGCCGACCTAGCACCCGCCGACCTGGCACCCGCCGACCTAGCACCCGCCGACCTAGCACCCGCCGACCTAGCACCCGCCGACCTGGCACCCGCCGACCTAGCACCCACCGACCTAGCACCCACCAACCTGGCACCCGCCGACCTGGCACCCGCCCACCTGGCACCCGCCGACCTAGCACCCGCCGACCTAGCACCCGCCGACCTAGCACCCGCCGACCTGGCACCCGCCGACCTGGCACCCGCCGACCTGGCACCCGCCGACCTGGCACCCGCCGACCTGGCACCCGCCGACCTAGCACCCGCCGACCTGGCACCCGCCGACCTGGCACCCGCCGACCTAGCACCCGCCGACCTGGCACCCGCCGACCTAGCACCCGCCGACCTGGCACCCGCCGACCTAGCACCCGCCGACCTAGCACCCGCCGACCTAGCACCCGCCGACCTGGCACCCGCCGACCTGGCACCCGCCGACCTAGCACCCACCGACCTAGCACCCACCAACCTGGCACCCGCCGACCTGGCACCCGCCGACCTGGCACCCGCCGACCTAGCACCCGCCGACCTAGCACCCGCCGACCTAGCACCCGCCGACCTGGCACCCACCGACCTAGCACCCGCCGACCTAGCACCCGCCGACCTGGCACCCGCCGACCTGGCACCCGCCGACCTGGCACCCGCCGGCCTGGCACCCGCCGACCTAGCACCCGCCGACCTAGCACCCGCCGACCTGGCACCCGCCGACCTGGCACCCGCCGACCTAGCACCCGCCGACCTAGCACCCGCCGACCTAGCACCCGCCGACCTAGCACCCGCCGACCTAGCACCCGCCGACCTAGCACCCGCCGACCTGGCACCCGCCGACCTGGCACCCGCCGACCTGGCACCCGCCGACCTGGCACCCACCGACCTAACACCCGCCGACCTAGCACCCGCCGACCTAGCACCCGCCGACCTAGCACCCGCCGACCTGGCACCCGCCGACCTAGCACCCGCCGACCTAGCACCCGCCGACCTGGCACCCGCCGACCTGGCACCCGCCGACCTGGCACCCGCCGACCTAGCACCCGCCGACCTAGCACCCGCCGACCTGGCACCCGCCGACCTAGCACCCGCCGACCTAGCACCCGCCGACCTGGCACCCGCCGACCTAGCACCCGCCGACCTGGCACCCGCCGACCTAGCACCCGCCGACCTAGCACCCGCCGACCTGGCACCCGCCGACCTAGCACCCACCGACCTAGCTCCCGCCGACCTAGCTCCCGCCGACCTAGCACCCGCCGACCTAGCTCCCGACGACCTAGCACCCGCCGACCTGGCACCCGCCGACCTAGCACCCGCCGACCTGGCACCCGCCGACCTGGCACCCGCCGACCTGGCACCCGCCGACCTGGCACCCGCCGACCTGGCACCCGCCGACCTGGCACCCGCCGACCTGGCACCCGCCGACCTGGCACCCGCCGACCTAGCACCCGCCGACCTGGCAGCCGCCGACCTGGCACCCGCCGACCTAGCACCCGCCGACCTGGCACCCGCCGACCTAGCACCCGCCGACCTGGCACCCTCCGACCTAGCACGCGCCGACCTGGCACCCGCCGACCTGGCACCCGCCGACCTGGCACCCGCCGACCTAGCACCCGCCGACCTGGCACCCGCCGACCTGGCACCCGCCGACCTGGCACCCGCCGACCTAGCACCCGCCGACCTGGCACCCTCCGACCTAGCACCCGCCGACCTAGCACCCGCCGACCTGGCACCCGCCGACCTGGCACCCGCCGACCTAGCACCCGCCGACCTGGCACCCGCCGACCTGGCACCCGCCGACCTGGCACCCACCGACCTAGCACCCACCAACCTGGCACCCGCCGACCTGGCACCCGCCGACCTGGCACCCGCCGACCTAGCACCCGCCGACCTAGCACCCGCCGACCTAGCACCCGCCGACCTAGCACCCGCCGACCTGGCACCCGCCGACCTGGCACCCGCCGACCTAGCACCCGCCGACCTAGCACCCGCCGACCTGGCACCCGCCGACCTGGCACCCGCCGACCTAGCACCCGCCGACCTGGCACCCTCCGACCTAGCACCCGCCGACCTAGCACCCGCCGACCTGGCACCCGCCGACCTGGCACCCGCCGACCTGGCACCCACCGACCTAGCACCCACCGACCTAGCACCCGCCGACCTAGCACCCGCCGACCTAGCACCCGCCGACCTAGCACCCGCCGACCTAGCACCCGCCGACCTGGCACCCGCCGACCTGGCACCCGCCGACCTGGCACCCGCCGACCTAGCACCCGCCGACCTGGCACCCGCCGACCTAGCACCCACCGACCTGGCACCCGCCGACCTGGCACCCGCTGACCTGGCACCCGCCGACCTAGCACCCGCCGACCTAGCACCCACCGACCTGGCACCCGCCGACCTGGCACCCGCCGACCTGGCACCCGCCGACCTGGCACCCGCCGACCTAGCACCCGCCGACCTGGCACCCGCCGACCTGGCACCCGCCGACCTAGCACCCGCCGACCTGGCACCCGCCGACCTAGCACCCGCCGACCTGGCACCCGCCGACCTGGCACCCGCCGACCTAGCACCCGCCGACCTGGCACCCGCCGACCTGGCACCCGCCGACCTAGCACCCGCCGACCTAGCACCCGCCGACCTAGCACCCGCCGACCTAGCTCCCGCCGACCTAGCTCCCACCAACCTGGCACCCACCGACCTGGCACCCGCCGACCTGGCACCCGCCGACCTAGCACCCGCCGACCTAGCACCCGCCGACCTAGCACCCGCCGACCTAGCACCCGCCGACCTGGCACCCGCCGACCTGGCACCCGCCGACCTGGCACCCGCCGACCTGGCACCCGCCGACCTAGCACCCGCCGACCT